TACACGATATATTCAAGCATAGACATTAATCAGAAACATAAAACAATAAAGTTTCCTCGATAGATAAAAATCACGAAATGACCTCTAATTTTCACATTTTTTCGATTTATCCTCGAAATGCTACAAGGTTATTAGGACAAAAATTAGATAATTAATTATATTTATGCATGATTGACAAATGTCACTACGGATTTTTTTTAATCCCTTTAGTTTTAGAGTTATTCCGCTAAAACGAATTTGGTACTTTTAATGCGCAAAATTCAACATGCAACGTTGCAACATTCAACTTGAAAATTCAACGTGCGTATGTCACGCGAACTTCAGGCATATATTTGTTTCAAAAATTTGGGCGGAGTCAACGTCAAAACTTTTTTTGGCATGCTCCCTCTTAACCATGTCGTACTTTAGTTCCTTAAGTAGTAATTAGATTAGACGATTAGTAGAGTGTTCCATTGTTGAAAGCCGAGTACGGTCGTAAATCTTACTATTCTATATACTTTTAGGTATTAAAAAGAAAGTAAATAAACGAAAGCTGTCAAAAATGACAGATCCAGAGGTGTTCAACATGTATGATAAAGAGCATTGACTATTGCCGTATTTAACGCACAAAATCCTAACAAACAATACGATAACACGCAAACAAAAAATTTAACAAAAATGTAACATCGAAAGACAAAATTAAAAGGAAACAAGAATAAATTCAGTTTTGAAAACCAGAAATATCGTACTCGCATTACATGACAACAAGCAATGTTGTCTGTTAATACGGCTGATTAAAATCTGTACGTAAAATATTGCTACGTGAAGATAATGGATCAATTGGTCGGAAAAAGGTGTTCCACATATATACATACATGTATAGATAGATATAGTGTACTATAAGGTGTGACAAAGAGTTGTTAAAACTACATATTAATTAATTACTTTTTCGAATTAGAGTTTCCGGAAATAGTTTTACTGCAGCGTAGGACAAAACTACTGACCTAGAAAATCGAAAGTGGATTTTAAAGTAATTCTAATGGTGCCATGTAAAAGATTGCGGTAGATAACGGACCTTTTTCCAAAGCAATAAAAAAGTAGCGAAGATGGTCACTCTCCGCCCCTCCCAAGATGTGGTATTTCCGCGCCCTACATCTACACATGTATCTATACAATGTGGAATACCTTTTTCTGACCATTGATAATGACTGTACTACTTTAGTCGGATTATATTGTGTTCGCGCATAGGCTTCTTCTTCTACCTATTGTTCAAAGCCTCTGAAAAATGAGGTATTTTTTGGTAATGTTTTACTGCGGGAGAATAAAATTTTAACAAATATTTTTAAAATAGTTTTAAAATACCTATTTGTAAAAAAAACTCTATAGAATGAAGAGTTTTCGTACTTGTTATTTGAATGAAATGGTTGAGGCAATTCCGTTAATTATTTTAAAATATTAGGTCCTCACCTATGAAATTATCGTTTTATATAGAGAATTGTTTTTTTTTTAACTGAAAATGATTTAATTAATCCAAGTATTTTGCCATTTTAATTGAAGTTCATTGATGCCTCTGCTATAGAAATCCTGGAGACGGGAATCGTCATCGTCATAATGTAATTAATAACTATAAAAACTATAAAAATAAATAACGTATGAACGTTTAAAAAGGCATTTTTCTGCGCCCCATCGGATATGATGTTTTTTCCCTGTAAAAAGTTATCCAAATTCCGAAAAAAAGAAAAATCTGTGGAACAAGGTCTGGTGAGTATGGTGGGTGACGGAGTTTTCAGTCGAATTCCTGTAGTTTTGGAAGGTCCGATGTGGGGCTCACTCACACACCGCATATGGGTGAGCGTTGCCGTGGAGGAGTCGACTACAGCAATTGACAAGTCTCGGTTGTAAGACAACCAGCTTGTCCATTTTTAACCGATTTAAAAAAGGAGGAGGTACCGCAATTCGACTGTATCTTTTTTGCAGGTATATTACGCGATAACTCCGGTAACCTATTCCGATTCTTTTTTTGTTGGAAAGAGTCTGTGCTGTGTTAGAGTCACGACAGTACTTGTATTCGAAAAAAACACGCAATTTTTCCATGGTCACAGAAACAGATAAATAAAAAAAATTGAACGACAGAAAAACAAATGAATAATTGATTTTTTTAAAGAAATATCATAGCTATACAATTATAACTACAACTTGAATTTGAAACATTAAGTAAAATGAAAGATATTGAACTTCAAACTTCCCAGTATTTGCAATCGGCAATATCATAGGTAAGGACCTAATATTATGGTACAATCGTATGGTAAATTTATAGTGCGTTCACTTTTTTTTAATTACCTAAAAGTACATAGTATAAGTTAACATGTTAGGGCTGAAGAGTGGGCAGTCAAAGTGTTCTCTGAACCCCTCCTCCTCTATGACTTACTTGAAGTAGGACAGTCACGTGCTCCTCCTCGGTGCGTTGCCTGACAAGCGCCTGTTCCACGTTCCACGACTGCTGCGTGCTGCCCGTGCCAAAACCGGTGCCCTTCGCCCAATACAGCTGACTTTTCTCCTCCGACTTTCCCGCTGACGACCCGTTTGAAGCTTGACTATTCTGTATTAATAATTAAAGCCAAAGCTTTATATTTTGACTGCCTGTTCCCGTACCGTATGATTTCGGGATAGGTTTTTCTCCGCTTTTAGTGCAATTGGATTCTTTTGCATTCCAAATATAGATCGAGGTGTAAATTGAGTGTTTGCAAAAACACCTATGTCTAAACACAAAATGTAATACTAAAGATTATGGCCCATAATCAGACCGATGTTTGCGTACAAAAACTACATTAGTTTTAAATTATGCCGCTGTTTATAGCGGCATAATTTAAAACTAATGTACTTTTTATTTCATGTAAAAAATATATTGAAAATCGACGGCATTAACATGTAACACGGCGATAAAGATTTTAATAAACATCGTCACACTCGTGCATGAACTCTGCGCGGTCAATTGTAATAGCAGTAAAACCGTAATTGTTCTCTGGATGATCAACAAATATTTTGTACTAACATACATTTTTTACATAAAAATACATTTTTTTTATTCCATAATTCCCAGTACCCAGAATGAAGATAGGCGTCCACAGATCCGCAACACACGCATCGGACGGATCGCATCAAACGGCGCCGTTTGTGGCAGTACGTCCACTGTATCCGCAGCAATCGGATTGCCGACGCAACTACTAGCTGTCGGATTGCCGACGCCACTTTTCGTAGTGAGGGTAGTGTGTATGCGAGACAATGTATTTGGAAAGTGATGAAGAACAATTTGTGGTGGTGGCTTGGTTGTTGACACAAGAAAGAAGAGAAAAAAAAGGACATGATATCTGCATACATGACATATTTAAGAAGATCGCAACATGGAGAATATCATACGCTATTCCTGATCTGGTAAACGACGACGTAAAATTCTTCCAGTATTTTCGTATGTCTCATACTAAATTTACTACCCTTCTTAACAAATAGCAATCAGTATGACGTCGTCGGCGCGCATCGGAAAAGTTGTCCCTCCGAGCAACTGCGTCGGCATTACCGACAGGCCGGCGCGTGCAGTCCGTGCGATGCTGATCAGTGGACGCAGTTGTATGAACTTCTATACAAAGAATAAAATATAAAATCCGTATAATGCGATGCGTGTGATGCGGATTTGTGGACGCCTACCTTTAAGCGACACACACTCATGGTAAAGTACACATATTTTTCCTTAAATCTAGCCATATGTCATTAGTAGCAGTTGACTTCGTTGTGAAAGACTTCGTCCAGGGAAGTACTGTCACCTTACTTATTTTTGCCGCCAAGCAGTAATGTGAGCATTACTGCGTTCTTGGTAAAGTGTAACACTTACATCGTTGGATGTAGGCCGGTGATGCGTGAAGATGGCAAGACAAGCGAGTACGAGTCTTACAGCGCCCAGAGCCAGCAGCAACTCACGTAGTGCCCTTCCCGGCTCGCTAGAGGGTGATTGGGCCTCGAGCAAAGAAGAGACGACGCGGAACGGCAACGTGCCGAGCGACCAGTTACCGTCGCGACCACCGTTGCCGCTGCCACCCACTACTATGCTACCTGTTCAAAAAGTTAGAGCTTGTCAGTTTTGTAATGTTGATGTGATACTATACAAGTCACACCCATTATTTTAATAATTATTTGCGTTATGTTTTTATTTTCCAGTATGTTCAATATCAACAGAGCCTCTTACTAGATTTTATTTGAAAACAAATAAATCAATTCGTACAGAACATAACAAGGAATAAACAAATAACGCACACACTCATAGCCCCGTACTAGGTAAACTTTGTGCAGCGGGTGCTATGGACACACACATGTCCAACCACAAATTAGACTCAAACTCACGAGACACATAAATTTAGGCCGTACAAATATTTCGTCTCAGGGCTTCTGCGTGGCAAAACAGCAATGTAACCGGCCACGGAGGCAATTAAGGGAAATAGAATTCGACCCCTCCTACGTAAAGTATCATATGTCGAAATTGCCAAGTTTACAAGGGAGTGTTTTAAAGTTTTGAATTCTCTGAAATGAGCATAACACGTGACTTTAGCATTTTTAGTTTTATTCGGCAAAGCTCATTACTGACATCGAGCATTATAAAATCCCAGATATCAGTTAGATGAACAACCACAATTTATTTTATAATTTTATACTGTTACCCGACCCGCAGTCTCACTTTAGTTTACCCGCTTGTTGACCCACATCTGCGTTAATAGGATAAAATTATAAAATCAATTGTGGTTGTTCGTCTAGCCGATATCTAGGATTTTATAATACTCTATGTGAGTAACGAGCTATGCCGAATATAACTGAGAAATTTAAAGCAACGTGTTATGCTCATTTCAGAGAATTCAAAACTTTAAAATGCTCCCTTGTATACTTAGCAATTTCGACTTACGATACTTTACGTACGAGGGGTCGAAATGAGGGTGATGTAATAAAAGTACTCACGGCCATCCTCGTCATGCGTGACCCCTAGCAGTAGCCGCAACAAGTGCACAGCCCTGGCGCCCTCGTCCAGCAGCGCGTCGGCGTAGCCGGGCAGCTTGAGCAGCAGTTCCAGCGCCACGAGAGCGTGAGCCGGAACACCAGTGCAGCCACTTTCTTCTATGTTATTGGCCGAACTCACGCCAAGCTCTACTACCTCCTGAAAGTATAAGTTGATGTGAAATAAACCCCAAATAATAAAAATCTGATTTCGTCAATTGTACAACTATTCCTGTGACTACTCGTCCAATTGATTTTTTTTTCACTTGTTTGCTATCATCAATGTCGGAATAGGGTATTAAAAATTAATAGATAAATACAGGCGCCACAAGTCGCACCTGAGATGAAGTTGGGAAGGGGTGGTTTGCATTCCATGAATATAAACAATCTACAATATCTGCATTAGTTAAAACAAGCTTTTTCTTGTAACTCACAAACAAATTTTACTTTACATGGTGCCACTTTTACGAATTAATTTAAAATTCACCGTCAGTTTTCTAAATAAATAGTTTTATCTGAAACTATTTCCGGAAAACCGGAACTCGAAAAAGTAATTAATTAATATTTGATGATTTTGTCCACTTTGAAACACCCTATTCCGACTATTAATTCGATCGGGTGAAAAGCTATAGAAAAAAATATCCGCAAATTGTAATTAGAACGAATGGTTGGTTCGAAAGTAAATTTCGTGGTTTACCTCGTACGGATCGTCGAGTTTCACCCAATCCAGGTCGTGGTGATGCTGCCGCGGCGCAGGCGGCGGCGCGGGCGGCGCGGCGGGGCGCGGCAGGCGTGCAGCCACCAGCGCCAGCCCGCCGCATGCGCCGAAATGCCGCAGGATCAACCCCGACCTCGCCCCGTCGTTGTTACTCGACGTCGACGCCGCGCCTTCCCACGAGGGACCTGAACAAACGTCAGTATAAAACTCTCGCAATAATGGGCGCCAGCAATTTGTCAAAGCCACCGCTCTTCTCACGCCTTTCATGATCATATAGCTTTAGATTGCAAAATGAAACTAAAACAAAGTTAAAGTACCTCCATTCGTATTGAGATGCAGCGTCATGGTGAGGTGGGGTCCGAACACGTGCGGTACGGCGGCCGTAAGCTGCGCCAGTGTAGTGGTAGGCTGGATGAACCCTTCCAGCCCCGGCACTTGCACGCGGATCGTTGTTTCTATGAGATCTGTCATGAACATAGAAAAAATGTCTAATGTACGATTTTAACTCTTCTGCCCTTTATGTTGCAACAATGGTCGATAGTCGATGTAACCTAACACTTTTGACGTAAGCATTTCATAATATTAACATTTTACATAGACAATTTCAACTATATTGGGCAAAAAGAAAAAGGTTGTAAATATTTGTGTTTCCACAATTCGCAATAAAAAATCACCACTGCCCCGAACAGTAGTTGGCCTTCAATGTTATAGTCTTAAACCGCAACGGTCAAGTTTTTTGGCATCAGTTTCTATTTATATGGTCACTAATGCCAATGACCACATAATGGAGTGTGATTTAACTCTCACCATCACTGACAGACATCATGGAAGAATCGTTATTAGGTTTTGTCTGTCTCTTTTTATTATTCTGTTGTTTCAACGAGGTGTTTTTGACGTCCTTCACTCGCTTGTCCTTGGAGGCACTGGCGGCGGCCAAACTCAGCTCCCAAGCCTCAGCAACTGTCATTATAGCTGTGTCTGAAGCGCTGCGGAGGACCGAAGGGTTCCCAGAGCTGGGTGTGTTGGTTACGCACACTTTTGTTGTGTCTTCTATGATTGGAACTGTAGAATGTAAAATATTTTTTTTATTAATCGCATTTGTAAGATTTTTTTTAGATAATTTCTTGTAATTTAAAGGTAATTTTATCAGAGATATTAAACCTACCTTATGATGAGATTATGTGAAATAATATCATTTGTCGCTTTGTTCATTACCTTTGAATTATGGACCAAACTTCTAGCAGACTTCACGGCTCTTAGCACCAAAAAAATGTTTTCTTTTTATATATTATAATGCAACAGTGTGAATTTTTTAACTGGGACAATATGGGGAAATCCGAATCCATGGGAGATACAGGGAAAATGTCTTAGGAACCATTAGGTCGATTTTTGTGAAAACAAATTAAGCATGGTATATTTTTTTGTTCAAGCGTAAGTTGTCCACAAAAATGAATAATATTTTTTTTAGCATTAAAATCGACCCACTTTCTTGTCATTTCAATATTTGATTAAACTTGATCAACTTCTGCAGTCTTAATTTTTTCTTCCGATACAATGAAATGATACTTACAAGAACTGAGATATAAGCATAGATAGACATAGGCAATATAGGCATTAAAAAAAATTGTCAATATTATTCATTTTTATGGATAACTCACGGTTGATCCAAAAAAAAAATACTAAAACAAATTTGTTTTCACAAAAAAGGACCTGACGACTCCTAAGAAAGTATCTCTGTATCTCCTACGACTTTGGATTACCTCATACTGTCCCAGTAAAAAAAATCACACTACAAATAATAATATATTTTTTCATTGTCCGGCCCGTAAAACCAACAAAAAAAAAACAAATGATAAGAATGACAATTTTGTACGATAGTTGATCGTAATAGTGATAAAATGACAGTGAAGTGATAAACGGAGCTAATTAAAACAACCAGCTCCGCTGAATGCGTGACGAACACTAAATTTATTGTAAACACGTACGTGTAGTACATCGAGGGAATAATAAATACCGATACAAGTAGTGCTAAATATAAAAAGTGTGTTAAAAAAGTATGGTTGAGTACATACGCGGTGGTCGGTGATCGCAGAGCAGCGACCTCACAGTGGTGTGCATAGGCAGCGTGAGCAGCGCGTGGCAGTTGGCGGCGGGGTGCCTGGGCGCCATCACCTGGCACGCCACCGACGCGCCCGCCCAGCGAAGCGCCACGGTCACTCGCTCGGGGGACAGCACCAGACGCAGTATCAGTGCTCGCGTGAAGCCGGAGATGCCTTCTGGACCTGCGAGATGTAAGTGTAAACGTAAGCCATCTCATAGACCTATCACTCTTTACGTACCTGTAATATAGTCACATTTAACACGTTGAGATGTAACTTTTTAACCGACTTGAAAAAAATTAGTTTCTCAATTCGTTGGTATAATTTTTTATGTATGTTACGCGATAACTCGATTTGTGATCCGATTTTGATGATTTTTTTTTGTTGGAAAGAGTAGTAACTCAGTAGTGGTCCCATTTAAATTATAAGAAGACAATATTCTACCTCTAAGAGTGGCAAACTAGGGGACGAACCCGGTTTCGCGCACTAAACGGCAACCGATTTCAATAAATCTTAGCAAATAGCAAAGCGCCTGGTGATTAGCGACACGTGCATATTAGTTAAGAGTTACACTCAGAGCTTAAAATCGCAAAGATCTGAGGGGCACTGCCAATGTTCCTGCCACTCTCAGGATCGTAATCCAGAACTCTACTCAATACTCAAGTCAGGACTTGAGTATTGCAGTGAGCACTGAAAATCATACTCAAGTCGTATTTCCAGTGCTTGAAATCATACTCAAGTCCGCTCAAGTCCTGACTTGAGCATTGAGTACAGTTCTGGAATACGACCGTCAGACATAAGTTGACAAGTCCCGAGTGTAATCGCCTTTACTCTTCAAAACCGGAACGCAGAAATGCTTACACTGCGTTCCGTTCCGTGCTTGGCGGTAGAAATACGTAAGGTGGAAGTATTTCCTGTCCGCACTCTTTCGCAAGGAGCTCTACTAAACATTTTTATGGGAAATACAATTATATGCACAGTTCTCTAACTTTCGCCGTTACTTGGTATGCATAATGGAGGAACGGACCTATACTCGCTGAAGCTAAATTGTTGAGCTATATACCATATACTGTACGCAATTAAAGCCACGCCGTCACTGACTTTAAATGTGGAGTGTGATTCAGGATTCCACGTTTTATATTATGATGCAAATAAAATTAAATAAATTTCGTCAAAATCGTGAGTCACTTTCTTTCGTAAGACGATAACTTCTACTAACTTGTCTGACCGTCCTGGACAGCCGCCAACAAATGACGACTATACATATGCAGAGTGTTTTCTTTTAAATGGCACAGTATGGGGAAATCCGAAACCATAGAAGATACAAGGTAACTGTCTTAGGAACCATTTAGTCTTTTTTTTAAACAATTTTAGCATAGTCAATTTCTAGGTCAAGCGTGAGTTGGCCATAAAAATGAATAAAATTAACATTTTTTTAGTGCTGATCGACTCTTTTGGAAAGGGATCATTTCATTGTATGGGACGAAAAATAGCGGGACAGCAGCAGTTGGTAGAAGAATTTCATAATTTTTTTCATACAAAATGAATAAGTGACTAATTTTGTTTTGGTGGTAATAGACTCAGTTTCTTATAAGGATGACATCATTGTATCGAAAGAAAAAATTGGGACAGCAGAAGTTGATCAACTTTCATAATATGATTTTTCATACAAAATGAATAACAATTACCATGCTGTCCCATTTCAAAAAATAACACTATATATGTAACTACTATCACCACTCATCACTTATTCACACTAAAACGCAAAATGTGTGCGATACTAGCTAAATAGAATTTACCAGTACAATGCAGCGACTCGAGTATACTGTGTAACGTGGACGCGAACTGCTTCTGGTTGGCGGGATGGCACACAGTCAACTCGGCGAATAGACGGATCGTGTTCTCTTCTAGCTGCGCGTATTGAGCGCCTTCTTGCCATGTGCTGAAACAAATTACTCTTCAGGGATTTTTCCATGCTACATTAGGCTACGATACTGCTACCACACCGCGATCTTTTATGACGGAAAGTACTATTACTTTGTTTGGAGAATATTCCCTCAAATTCGTTAGGGAGATATAGGACGGTGTGTACTATTTGCTATCAAACAAGTTCATTAGTGTATACCTTTCGGGATGCCTTGGGTAACAAAGCAACGTGAGCAGCGGGCGCCAGAAGCCTGCGCCGGTGCCACCGAGCCAATCCTTCAACCGCCGCTCCATGCACAGCAGCCGCGCCCATTCCACCAGCTGGCACATGCTCTTCATCGACGGCAGATCTGTACAGGCAACCACGATACTTCTGGTCACAGTTTTGTAATGCAAGTGAGTGTTACCACTTTGGAAGAGGCGCGACAACACTGCAATCTTGATTCTTCTTGTATATGTAATACTTTTATATAATTATTAATAACAATTTTGAATCATAATGTTATACTCTGCCCTCTCATAATCATCATTTGATATAAATATTTAACGTATTCTCAATCTCATTTTTCTTGTGATATCTTTACCTTGGTATAATAAACAGAACTTACCAGTCTTAGCTCCATCAGACTCCTTGTCAGTGTCTGACATCCGCATATCTTCTTGTGAGCCGAGCTGTTGCTTTATCAGGTTCAGTTTCGCTTCGCTGAAGTCTGTTGAAAGACATTTTGTCATTGTATCTTTCAGCTAATATATATATCTAATAACATATACATATGTATGTATACAGCAGCTATAGCAGAATTAATTTTTTGGTATTAAAACTCAGTAAGTATGATGATATATGATGAGTATGATACTGTTTTCACAGATATATACTTAATGGTTTCTAAGACAGTTCCCTTGTATCTTCTATGGTCACTGGTCACGTCACCGTGATGTGTGTATTTTTTATATATATATATAATTTTATATATATATATATATATATATATAACAGTGTTACAATATGACCAGTCATGTTATATAATATCATCTGTACTCTACCTAGATTAATAATAGCACCCTTTTGAAAAAATAACTATTATTACCTGCAATAGCCTGTACGACTGCAGACGGCAACCTTGAATGCAACAAAGCGAGTGTGGCAGCAGGCGACATCGCAGCTGCGGCCAAAGTCTGCAGCTGCCAACCGCACAACCGCCACGCAACGCTTGTGAAATTTGAACACTCGGGCGCATCTGCACGTTGCGACGATGTGGGGGACCCGTGCACTTTTGTGTCGTCTGTCAGGCCTTCCATGCTGAAAAAAAAAATAAATAAAATATAGCCATCACTATAATAAATAATCTAATTTAAGAGATACGAAAACAGAGCATGAAAATAAATACTGCCCTCCATGTCATAACTAACGCACTGCACTTTGGTGAGGTGACTTTAGACATATTGGCTCATTAAAAAATCTTTTTTTTTTTTTCTTTCGAATAATATTAATTACACTGATTTTGCTTAAGAAAACTGAAACTAAACAAGATGTATGTACAAAAATTATATAAAACAATCCGAATATAAAAATATTCAGCTGGAAAAAAAAGGAAGGTTATATAAAAAACCGGACTGCATAAAAAATAACTGAAAAAAGATAAACAGGCTCTTTAATCTATAGAGCTTTGTTTGAGCAATGTAGAATGCACTACGCGTGGAATGTGTTTTGTGCAGTACCTATCTACTTAAGTGACTTACTTTAATTACGTTATTTTTCACTTAACTACAGAGAATATGTATATAGAATAATAATTCGAACCACCTTGCATCTTTATCCTTAAAGGGCTAGAATATAAAAATATAGTTATCGTCGAAGAAAAAGTTATCTTCGGTTTTTTAAATCCAAATATTCGATAAGGACTTAAGGAAATGATGTTTAGTATACCAGTTTCAAAGTTGCATTACAGTCTTGACCAATCAAGCATTGTTTGAGCTAAAGGCATTTAATATTGAAAATGCAAGGTGGCTAGAATTATGTGTCCGGGAGTATATTATAATATAAATATAACTTGGATATTATTAGGAGTGTGGGCCGGATAAAACACGTATTATGTTTTATACTTTTCGTCCCTCTTTCTGACACCGTCGGGTAAAAACAGCTTATGTTTATGTTAATAAATCAATTTCGCTAAAAATGTCGATTACGTTGTTTATGATAAGGCCAGCAGAATCGGTATTTAACGTGAGAAAATAATTAAGGTTCTGAAAAACAAACGAAATTACACCGAACTAAGGCTAACTGTTACATTAAGTAAGTTGCGTTAAAATGAGTTACTGAAAAATAACCACAGAATAAACCGAAATTAATCATATTTAACAACCAATCAAGAACTTGTTCAAATCACATTCAATTCCGAATAATACATAGGATTGTATAATAAGGACATAATAATTTTGTTTTCCAATAAAACGCAGAATAATTGAAATATCGAGCTGAAATTTATTCCAGGTGCAGTACACAAGTTACATTTAAGAATAGAATTCGTTCACGTTTTGAAGCTTTATACCTAAGAGTAGGGAACAAGCCAGGCAGCCCTGTAGGGCTGGTACGACAGGACGCGCCTTACGCGAGAGCGACATAAAGCGCGAGATATTGCTGTTCTCGCATAGAGATAAAATAAATAACAAATATAAAGTCTCTTTTAAGTTTATATTTCATTTACGATAAAAATAACTACAGATACCAGCAAAAATATTGAACAATGACCCCGAATGCGCAGAAATACATTTTAGGTCCCTTTGGTCGTGAGATGGGTAGCTACGATCTTACCAAGAGCGCGATTGGTAGATCAGTGGATTCTTGCCTTCCGCCCTGCGTATACCTCCCGCTTACATCCCGGTTACAGTCATGTGCACTGTATTTTTTACATATTCCCAGGAAGACAAGAGAAAATAAAAATAGGATAATAATTTTGCATGAAAAGTGGCGTAGTGAGGAAAAGTCGGCACACGTACAGTACGTGACTTTGCCCACTACGCCACTTTTTGTTCCAGATGTTTGCCGGTTTCTATAACAATAGTTTTCGGTAAAATATAAATTAAGTTGTTAGAGTAGTATTACGTCGTCAGCAAGATTTTTCAGAACTTTCAATATTTTCACAAAACTTTCCGGTAGCATGGCAAATAAAGCAATAACACATCTTTTGCATAAGATTATTTTTAATATAGTCTTTAATGTAGAGTATATGGGCGTCAGTTTAATCAACTGTACGGTTAGTCAAATTTTAGTAAATAATATTACACTTCTCACGTCATACCTTTCATCGTGTTCCATAGGTATATCCATCTGTTCCAGCAGCATTCTGAATAGCTCAGGTCGAATATAGCACATAGAACATAATACTGTAACAAAATAAAAGTTGTATTCATTTCGACAATGACATTAATAAAAAGAAAATTATTGGGGTATTAGTTTGACGACCGCGCTACAGGAGATGTCATCTAAGATACAAGCCCAGCAAATGCAGTTTCCATCGCGGGTACGACGAAATAATAATAAATATGGTATAAACTAGGCACTTAAATAAGTTAAAGGGCGCAAAGCAACATACACTTATTTCTTTTTGATTTTTCTGCCTATAACGGAAGTTATTTTCTTGGTCAGCCATTTAAGGATCGTACGTGCGCGCGCCAATGGTAGAGAGCGATTACGGCGTAACAATAATGGATTTGAAAACAATATTTCCGAAACAGCCCGTCGTCGCAACTTTTTTCAAAATAATACTTGCGAAGCAGCGAGTCGCGGTTTCGATTTTTCAAAATAATGCTTTCAAATGAGTTTGGGAAAAAACTATTATTGATTACTTCGAAAACATTTCGCACACTGAGAATGACAGTGACACAATGCATTTTTTTTTTATTTGGAGTAATGAGCAATTAGAGTTCTGAAAATTGTTAGAACTGCATTTTCTTAGAACGAAGATTTTTTCAGCTAAAATAAAAGGGAACCTACATAGTTTTAGAAGTACTATACAAATTTTCATCTACCACAATAAAACAAAGACACATTTGAGAATTTCATTTAGTGTCAGTATTCCTCACAATCGTTTCATGTAAATTAACATGTCTTATTATTCAATATCGTCATAAAGCATTCATAAAAACAAAATTATGCTATGAAATTTAATTTTAAACCTTGAAAATAAAAGTATAAATCGACCCCTCCTACGTAAAGTATCGTATGTCGAAATTGCCAAGTTTACAGGGGAGCGTTTTAAAGTTCTCCGTATTATTTGGCAAAACCTCATTACTGACATAGAGTGATCATCTAATAGATCATCTAACCGATATCTAGGATTTTACAAGACCCTAAGTGAGTAACGAGTTTTGCCGAATAAAACTGAGAAATGCTAAAGTCAGTGTTATGCTTATTTCAGTGAATTCTGAACTTTAAAAGGCTCCCCTGTAAACTTGGCAATTTCGACATACGATACTTTACGTAGGAGGGGTCAAAATATTCTATAACTTATCCACTAACCAGCGTAGATCTGGTTCAACTGGTACTGTACTATATTAGACTTAATGCAAAACATGTGCCAAACGACTATCCAAAAAGTGACGCGATCCTTCACGGAATTATTAGTAAATTCTTTCACAACTCAGCGATCTCTGTTACTACCAAAAAAATGTCGGTATCGCGCTGTCTCAAGTGCCCTTTTTATTTTATTATTCAGCATAACGTCACGAGTTTTTTTTTTTCATTATAAAGTTCGCTTTCTCAAATCTAAGATGACGTTATTAGAAAAAAATAGTTTTTATTCTCACTGTGCGATTTATAGGCATAAAATGCGATCCTCCGTAGCACAAGAATAATTTGATTGATAGGCTCATTGTGCATAATTTATAGATACCCAAAAAATATCACGTACTCTTCATGTCTTTTGCATGAAGTTTAAGACCTCCTGGTGACTTTGACGGGAAGACGTTAAATTAATAAATATCTTACCGGCATCAAGTGACTTCTTGAGGAGACTAGATTCAGGAACATCTTTCACCCACGTATAAACGAGCTCAAACAGATCGTCGGTTACTAAGTCTTCAAGATTCTCCAGTATTCGCTCTTCTTTCAAAGTCCATAAAACCTATAAAATGTACATCTTATTTAGTTTATTACTATATTTATAGCAGCGACACATTATACGTTTACGGTTATTCCACTTTTTCCAAGTCTAAGCATAAGTAGGCAAGCTACGCGAAGTAACATTTAGGAAGAGAAATATTCTAAATGGACCAATATTCATTATTGCAACAAAAAGAATACAACAGAAAAATGAATTATAGAAAAGGTGAGCAAAGGTGGAACTTATCTCTAAAAGAGATCTCTTCCAGCCAACCCAAAGCAGTGAGAACAAAGGTCATAAGCGGGCAACACTGCGCAAGAGAGAAAGAGGGCGAAAAATAATAAACTTAATAGATATAAATGGACAATACAAACACCGACTCATAAGTATTATAAACAAAAATATTTAACACATACATCATGTCATGTATAACATCTACAGTTACAATAGAAAATCAATCATTAAATAAAGCGAGCATTCGGACGTGCTTCTTTAGTTGGACAGTAAACAATGTGACTATACTCACCGCGGCCAATGTGTGTGTGAGCGCAGCGGACACGGGCTTTCTCTCACGCAACCACAGCTCCGCGGCGGCCGTCAGCCACTGCAGGTAAGCCGCCACCGATCCGTCGCAGCACCAGCGGCACAGCTGACGTACCAGCTCGCAGACGGAGCTCATGCTGGCGTTGGTTCGGCCGGTGTTCGATACTGTAAACGCTGTTGGCAAATAACAATATAAATAAATTCATTGACATGTTCTCGTCACGGTTCATAGATTTTTTTTAATACTAGTTAACAAATGTTGTTTATTGTCAATTTTTTGTTTACATAATGTGATAGATGTATTTTTATGGATTCCTGTCGGTTTTATAAGTATTAATAAATATTTAATTACAATACTTCAAAAAGGTTATGACAGAATAACAGAGGCCGTGGGTTGCCCGCGACCGCTGGGTCATAAACCGTTTTGTCTTGTTAATTAACACTGTCTCTGATTTTATTATAAAATGTATTATGTTTTCAAGACAAATAAATGAGTTTAATATTATTATTATTATTATATTACATCTTTAGGTATGTATGTCAATGATGTGAGTATGACCTACTTATGGATGTGCTGCTACGCGATAACGAATTTGTGCTTCGTAAATCTGCTACTATTACTTTAATATCTATTATGTGTACTTTATAAGCTGTTTGTACCCTAAATAAATACGATCCACTGATCGTGCGATCGTGTCACGTGCTAGTTGTGCAATGCACAACTAAAAAGGTTCCGGTACCTATCTACAACAGGGAGGGCGATGTACGTGCACCCGGAGTCGCTCACCCAAGGCACTTTTCAGCATCGTGAAGTCTTGCTTGCACAGGCAATAGTGCCCTTCCCGTACAACCAAAAGGTTAAGTAGAGAGATGGTGGACTAACCGTGCGCGTGCGCCTGCGAGTCCATGTGCAGCAGCGTGGTGAGCAGCGGCGCGCGCAGCCTGGGGCAGGCGCGCGCGGCGGCCAGCAGCGCCTGCGACGCGTAGGCGGCGCTGTTCCCGCCGCCCACCACCGCGGCGCACAGCGCGCTCACGGCGCCCGCGCCCGTCACGGCGCCCCAGCGGGCCGCCGGCAGCCGCGACCGCGTGCACGCCGCCACCACAGACGTCCACATGTTGCTGCTACATAATTGCTCGTTCCTTTATGGTGCCCGGCCCGTCGGACTCGCACGCCTTCGAGGACCGACGGGCGCGGGCGCAGAAAGAACAGGTTGCCGTTGTGAAGCATTTATAAGATTTGCACGCGTGATGAAGCGTCTCTGCCTACCCCGATTACAATCTATCATATGTGTACGTCGAATGTTACGTCTAATTGTCACATCATGATCGTAGTATTTGTAGTAACTATAATTTAATCTCAATTATTAATATATAGATTGAATGTTGCCAAACGGTGATGTTTATTATGCTTGAACTGCAAAACCCCTACTACGACAATACTTGCTTACAAATGCAACACAAAAATCTTACGCAGAGGAGTTGTGGAGCTGGTTGTTGAATGCCGGTTGTGCCAGGAGCCTCAACTGCAAAAGCCCCATGTTGGAGCTGTCCCGTGGTTTGTAGAGGCGAATCTGCACAGTGGTGCACACAATGGGTCTGGAGACGGCTAGGCGGATGAAGGTCATGCCCGCAGTGTTCTGAGGAGGACCTAGCGGAGCGAGTGTACCACCGCAACCTGCTTCTACTGCTACGGCGCCGGGACACGCTAAAATAAATAATTATAAAGTTACAATTGATTATACCGTAAAATAGGTATAGAATATAGATATGTATAGTATTACCCGGAAGAAACAAAAATTATTATTAATTATTTCCGTTATCACTCTCCCCCATGTCCTTTTACGCTTTACATTGTGTGTGGGAATAGAAAATAATTAATTTATTGTGAATATATTTACACGATACCAATTTACAAGAAAAAAATACATTATAAAACACTCCATTCCCTAGACGATATGCAAGCAGTCCGTGCCGATGCCTCGAGTTCTGTGGTCTCATAAATGAAATTGGTTCGTTGAGCATTGTGACGGCACGAAGCAGCGGGGAGTTTCTACGCGATACTGTAATTAATATGCTTAAATCTTGCATTGCGTGTGGCAAGTAATATGAGTGACACTTACTGGCTAGACTAGTGAGGTGCGGCTGCAGCTGCACCTCGTGCAACTGCACGGCGTAGGGCAGCGTGAGCGTGAGCGCCAGCGAGGCGTCGTCGGCGCTGAAGAAGTGATACGACCAGGCGGCGGCGCGCACCCTGCGCGCGGCGCAGGCGCCGCTCGGCGTCATGCTGCCCCCGCCGCCATCCAGCAGCACGTCGGCCGCTTGGGCGGTGGGGTTGCCACACGACACCGTGCCTGCGTCACGTCAACAAATAGTTTTTAAGGTCATAGTCGTAGCCGTATACGTAATGGTAATGATAATAATTATTAATAGGAAGGTTGAACATTTAGAAAAAAATCCTTCAATCCGGCTGGATTCGAACTAACGTCTTCTAGCAAATCGTGCCAGACGCTATGCCAACTAAGCCGATTTAGGCTTACGATTCTTTACGTACGAAGGATCGAATGGGTGGCAATACGTACAATACGTTAACATCTGTAAAATTTAACTTGACAGCGACAGAAAGAACGTTACCATTGTATCGTACTTTATTTGGAACTAAAAAAAACTAAATACTAATAAAAACTAAAAAAAACTAAATATAATATTGAAAGAAACACCGCATTATGTAAACGAGGTACTAAAATGCACAGTACTCACAAAGAGGCGCAATGTTCACAAGCCCGCTGGCAGTCTCAATTACAGGTGGCTGACTCTTCTTGCTGTTGGCTGAGGTGGACAGATTTATTAGCTGCGGTGGCAGCTTTAGGTAATTCATCAAGGAAGAGATCAGCCCGTGACTGCAGCTTGGGCCAGCCTGCAATATTACATGTCAAGTAAGCTATGACTCTTCTGAAATGGTATAAGATCTTCCTGTCTAACGACGTGCAAGGTCTGTACTGCCCTCAGTAGAAAGAAAGGCACAAGTAACAAATTCAAAATTCGGAGAAAAGAAGAAGAGGCTTGTTACTCACATAGAGTGATCATCTAATACATCATGGATCATCTAACCGACATCTAGGATTTTATAATACTCTATGTGAGTATTCTAAAATAAAACTTTGTCGAATAAAACTGAGAAATGCTAAAGTCACGTGTTACGCTCATTTCAGTCAATTCAAGGCTCCCCTGTAAACTTGGAATTTCGACATACGATACTTTACGTAAGAGGGGTTGAAATATTTGTTAAGTTTTTCTGATAAAAAGAATGACCGACTTTTTATATTTCATATTTAAGAATTAATTGAGAAGCACGACCAAGTACATAGATAGTACCACTTCCAGGCTATTAAATTAACGCCATCTAGATATAAGGAATTTTGACATTCTTCAGAGTTACGATCTGCAACGGAGATTAGCAGTCCACTGAATTATTGGTCCATGGTTAAACTTATAAGAGCATTTGTCCACAACGTCCGATTCTTATCAGTTCCCGAGAACTTAACGATAAATTTTATCTCCAGGTGTAGAAGCATACTTGTATTTTCTCGGATTAGAATCGGACTTAGTGCACAAGCGACATCCGAAGTGAGTCCCGTGTTTTCTAGAGTTGTAATTTAGTCCCGGATACGAGACAAAAAAGATAGGGAACCTGGTGGCAGTTGGTGAGTTTCTCAACTGCAAGTTCTAAGCCGCCGGCCTCGATGAATGCGGACAACGCCTCTGGCTTGTCTAATAGTTTGCTGATCAATTGCTGCATCGCATGTGACAGATTCACTATTTCTTCCCTTCCTGCAAATAAAATAGATAAATCAATATCGAAAATTGATAAATTCTCGAATATAGTAGAGTCCTTCATTTTCAGTACGGTCTAGGTTAGACACATGTATCATATTATTCATAGTCTACAATAATGCCCCAATGCATATTGAGATTTCAGTGTGAGTCTCTTTGATCACGATGTAAATTTAATGTCGTCGTATTCATGAGAAGAAAAACGAATTGTTAACATGTCTTTTAACAAGATACTTACGTAGGAATTCCATAAGACTTGGAACCATAAGTGCAGGCGATGACGCCACGTTGGCCATTTGCGATACCAAAAAGAATACTTCCTCCTTCATACAGGATAATTCAGATGTCGGCTCTGAATTCAAACCTGGAAAAAGAATCGATTATTAAACATATCTCTCTCGCCCCCCTCTAAAAATAATCGCAGCCGATCATATATCATCACAGTGCTAAAATAGATAGCTTCGAAAATATTTATGAAATTACACTAACATATAACACGTGGGAAAGAATTGTGAAAAATAATAGGGTCATAGGTACTTCTTGTACCAAGCCACAAAATTTATATATTTCTTATAGCAGGGCACAAACTTGATTCGATTTTATTTTTAATTTAACTGATTTTTACTGAAGGTTATATAGAGTTAACTATTATACTATTGACATTCTAGAACAACTGACAGGAATAGAAGAATAGACTTACTCGATGTCAAAAACAGGAGGTTCAATGGGTCGCACAAAGACAATGTCCTGTAGAACCTGTGCATTATTATTGGAGCTTGAAGGACTGTGAATAAAAAGAAAAATATATAACCAAACATTCACTCATGTACTATAAATTACAATGTTGCATTTATTTGTAATGCTTCTCACATTGCGCTTCCATTTTCTTTTTGTTAGCGTCGTTTTGACGTAAATCACAACACGAAAAATACTACGCGTGGTGTGAAAAAGATAAATGTCGAAATTTATATGAGGAGCAAAGATTACAATGTTCATTCTCATCACGACACTAGATAATACTAATTTTCCAGAGCTCTTGTTTTTCTACTTACTAAGATCGGCAACGCAAGGTGTTTTTGCGGCCTGCTGCTTCCTTTCATCTTCGACGTTAGTCGATTCCGGTTGCTGCGAGCTTTGCGCCTTGCTCTCGTCCGTTTGCGATTGCTCACTTGCCGACGGTACGTTCGGGCTTGAAGCCGACTGGCAAGATGGAAACTCAAGTTAAATAAAAAATTAACCAAAAAACTGGAAAAAAGTACCTGACATGTAATAATTTGTGAAGAACTTAAAATACTGAAATACTGGTGGTCTGCCACGCAGGGTTCCAGGATTCGATTCGCGGAAGGAATTATATGTGTGGCCTACAATTATTTATCTTGTGACTTTGTGTGTACTTTGTGGTTGTCGTACGTGTGTGTCGAAGGCACCCGCGCCCGAGTGCGTGCTTTAAAAAGTTATTTAAACATATTACGTCAAGGTCATCCTAGTATTTGATACTCAAACACGAGTAAAAAAAATTGTTTGATGTTTTTTAACACACTTGAGTAGGATTATTCTGGTGTCCGATCGGCACAGCGAGCAGCTTCCTGCAGTAGTGCAACAGCTGCACCAAGACCGATCGCCGCAGCGGAGCGCGCCGACTGGCCCCTCCGCCGCCACCGGACAGGACGTCGGCGAGGAGGCCGGAGAGGCGCGCTTCGGAGCCGTTGTCGGAACGGGCCCCGGTGCCTTCGCGTATCCAGGACGCCGAGAGGTACGCTGCGGAAGCAAAAGCGGCCGCTTCACAGTCTGCTACATAGGACCAGCCACCGACACAGCGCGCGGCGTGTCGTCGCGTCGACTCACCGACAGTATCTAAGAGGGAGACCGCGTGGTGCGTGTAGCGGCCGCTGAGCACTTGCAGCATGGGATGCGCCACGCGCAGCAGCGTGGCCTGCAGATCGTAGGCGGCGCCCGCCTCGGCTGCCTCGCCGGCGCCGCTGCGCCACACGGCGCACACCATCCGCAGCGCCGCGTGCGCGCCGGCCGCGCCCCGCGCGCACACCACGCGCGACAGCACCGAGTGCAGCGCCGACGCCGCACCGGCGCCCGCGCCGATGCTCACGCCGCCCTGCATCACCCGCCCATCAGTACCCACTCTTCTAGCATACGGTTTAAGGCACATTTTTCATATCATGTATCGACACATGACTATGTAATTATAACATTACATTGTGTATTAATAAAGGCGGTAAATAAGGAATTAAGAACGTGATTCTATTAGAGTCGAGTTTCGTAATTCCCGTACCGCTCATGAAACATACAATTTTTTCACCACATTTGCAAGTAATTAGTATGATTGCAAGGAGGCTAATCTGACTATAATGCCCCAAATAAAACCCTCGAGCCTTTTGTCTTCTCGTTACAATCATGGTAGTGTATTGAGAAGAAAAAGGGCTCGAAGGTTTTATTTAGTGCATTATAGTCAAGTTAGTCTGCATACAATAATGCTATTTACGTGCAATTGTAATGAAAAATAATTAAGACCGTGTGTAAGTGATGAAAACAAATTAATGAGTCCAAACATTCATCCATATCAAGGTTATCTACCATAAATTATAATAACGTCATTGGATTTCCATAGGATATCAAATTTCAAGTCATTAACTGGGAAAAAAGTTTATGTACTTTAAACAGCTTGATGTTCATTAAACAAAGTTAAGAACTATCCTGACTAAATAAGCCTTCAAATAAAAACCAGTCCTTCCATTTTGGAACTACGATAGGACAAATAAACACAAACAAAGGTTTCAAACTTCTGGTTCCCTTCTTTTTATGTCAGGGATTAATAAATACATACAATATTACAAATATATAAGACCAACGTCCTGTAATTCAATATTACTTTCCTTTTAAGTTGTAATTTATTTACCTACATATTGAATGCTGGTGTCTGTTTCTTATAAGTAAAATAAATAACACATACATAACTATACTACGACACACATCTTCAAAAATTGCCTAGACGAGAGTCAATTGAAACAATTTTTACGATAGTGCTGTTATGTCATACAAGCCACTATCCTTTGTTCCTTTTTAGCGACAAACGTGACTGACGTGACCCATATTACAAGCATAGTCCAAAGGTGGACAACACCCGCCAAGAATAAGAAATGTAAATCACTCACAAGATAAGGTTCCGAAGAAGAAACAGCACCGTCAGTGTTAACATTCATGGTAATGAACTTGACGATAGCCGGGACGAAGTGTTCGCACTCCAATATCACTCGGCCCATGGTCTGAGTGCTTCCCTCCGTTTGTAGAGGCAGGCTTGCGATCCACGCCAGTGCTTGCATTGATAACACCCAACAACGCAGTGAGATGTTCTCTAACCTGAAGGTTGTAAAGTTATAAAATTACGAATTATTTAAAATGTTTGTTGCTTCTGCACATGGGAGAAGTGTCACATTTTTCATGATTTTTTTTAACGATATCAAGCGATGGGTTGAGTCGTGGTCGAGGTCGTGCGCCTGGTGGTACGCGACACGCCTATCTATGACAGTTACAATGCCACTCAGAGCTTTAAGGATTTCGCAAGTATCTGAAGGATACTGCCACTGTGCCCGTCATCCTGAGGTATATAAGGAAAAGACTCATGTGCCTGCATTTTCACCAGCATTCATACCCTTCAAAAGCGGAACTCACATTACTGTTTGACAGCTGAACTACGTAATGCTGCATGTTGCAGGGCGACATAATTCCGTGCTTAGTTTGCAGGGGATGATTCAAAAAGTCCACTGCACTAAATGAAGAGATCTGGTGTTCGATTCCCATTATCATTTCAACCGGAGACGACCACTGCTAGATACAGGCCTCCCGTCGTATCGCCTTCCGTTGCTCCTATCCAGTGGATTTCCGCAACCTTCATCAGGTCGATGGCCTTGCGGGTGCAAGACCGGATGTCTATCTGCCCACGCTGCGTCTTTTGGTAAGCCGTCGCCACTCGACTACACATAAACAACATCGGCCACCTGTTCCACGAGCAATTTGCCTCGCCCACTGTCACTTAAATCCTAATAAAACCAATTCTCGATTGAACCATTTTTGGAAGGTCCGAGTGTTCCGCATTATAGTTATTTTCCTAGTTTAAGATCAGGTAATAAAACAAAATTGGTGTGGCGAGGCAACCAATTAATCTGCGTTTAGGCTTAAGTGGTGATTGGTTCTGTAGACTAGGCTGTACTCTATGAGTAGAATTGCTGGCTGAACATAGGTAATGATTATAGTTTTGTATTTAGAATGTTAAGAAAACAGAAGATCTTGACAGACAGAGAGTTTTGATTTGTAACGCAATACTAAAATTATGTAAAAAAGTGAAATAAAGTATATTTTTAAGGATTAATCCCGATTTATATTATTAAAAGTACCTCTCGCAATGCATTAGAGCTATACCCCTATTACAGTTCCTTCTCTGACAATCTCAATACTTACTGGCACAAAGAATTGAGCAGCGCATTGACGGTGTCCGAGGCTAGACGTATACGTGGTGTGTCAGCGGGCACAGCTAGCGTAGCCAGAGACCACGCGCCACCGCAACCCCACGCCGATCCGTTCAGAGTTAACCACAGCGAGACCACGTTCTCCATGAAAGTGCAGTCCATCTAAAAAACGTCGTTAACGATAATGAGCCGTTTTTTCTAGCTATCTTTCTATCTTTAAGATTAGACTTTATATAACGCCAGGAGCTCTGCAAATCTTTTGTTAACTCATATGCGATTTAGGCCATAAAAGACGTGTTATATTATCTTAGTAACCTGAACCCTACAAGTACTACTTCAATATGAGAATATTATATTATTTTCCCCCTTTGGAACTCTAAAATTTCTTTCTTCTTCGCAACAAAACCGCCTGATTTACGTTAGTTTATTCTATTATTTTGAATATTCTATAAGGAATATTTCAATAATTCATGGTAATGATGGTACTCACCTGATAATGAAACTCCAACGCCAAATGTCTAAATACGTCATATAACGTATGCGTTAAGGGTGGATGCGTCCTAGGCTGATGAGGCTGTCTCTGTGTTGAGGCAGCGCCCCTTTGCGCTGGCGCACGGATAGCCGCGGCTAGGGCTCCGCCACCGGCTAGTAGCACTCTACGTGCCGCGGCTTCACCCGCTGCGGAGAGTCCGCTCTCGAGACGGGCGTCCACGCAACTCGATATGTTGCTGTCAAGGACAATAAAATATTGGCTCAATTTCATAAACTATGCAGTATGCTTTGGTCATTTGGTCACATTAAAAAGGTGGATTTGTTTGTGGGTTGACAGAACAAATTTGAATGGAAATGTGATGAAAGTGAACCTCGATGTACTATCTCCATCAGATGGGGCGCGGATGTCCTTAAAAAAGCCAGGATTAAAGTACCAAGAACAAAAAGGCATAAAGACACTGATGCGAGCGGAAGAGACGATGGAGGTTTGTCAGGAGCGTAGCGAATGGAGCATGACTCAAATAGTCGCTGTTTGAACTGCCTACCATTGACATATATCTAAATAGACACCGCAAGTGTACCTACTTCGCGTGCCCAACGTAAGCTATAAATGCTGTTACCGCTGCTACGCTTCAGAACGCGTCCGGCCGTTAATGTAGTTCATTAAGGCTAAGTCATTACAATATAAACTTTAATATAGTATTTTGTCATGTACATAGTTGAGTTAAAAGCATAATATAATGCAATGGTAGTGGTTGCTTCCAGATTGAAAAGTTGACGAACATAATTTCTAAGTTGCACGTTATTTTTTTATGTACATTTGTTAATGTTTAGTGGCAATATCTGTTCTAGTTCTAGTTTATTTTGTTGACGAGGTAAATAAAATAGTATTATGACATTTTGTTAGCATTTTAACTTGGTTACCAATATCCGACCCGGATCGAAGGACCATCGATTCGGCCTTACATGATGGTCTTTCGATCCGGCTCAAAGGACCAAATGTAAGGGCAGAATCGCGTAACCGTTACCACGAGATTGTTCTAGGAGTAATCAGTGGAATCATAAAATATTTGTTAAAAATGTACATACTATTAATGTATAAATATGTTAAATGTTATTGATATTTAATGTTAACACGTTGATAAGTAACTTAAAATGCGAACAAAATGTCATAATACTATTTTACCTCGTCAACAAAATAAACTAGGAGAACATCTTACTACAGCAAAATTAAAACTAGAACTATAACATCTTACTGCAGCAAAATAAAACTAGATCTATAACACGTCAATGCAGAAATCAAGGTACAATAATAGTATGTAATCATACAATATCGCTTGCTAACGGTGACGGTAACTTCACAACCTTGGAAAATGCAAAATCCCCAACCCGCATAAACCCAGTGTGGCGGACGGTAACCTAAACCATCTCCTTGGAGGAGACCCATGCTCAGCAGTGGGATGTAGAATGAGAATATTGAGTGAAGTAAAACATCCGCATCTACCTAGAAGTGTTAGTCGCAACTGGTTTGGACCGCGCCTGATCCTTCTTAGCGGCAGTAAGCACGTACTGGACTTCTGACTCTGAGTCGTCCGACTCGGCGACTTGCGACAGCTCCTCCATCTTTATCGACTGCGGGATTACGTCTACTGAGTCTGGAACTGAAGTTGAAAAGAAGAAAAATTAAAATCAACTTCATTAGGCCCATGAACTCTGACAAAAATGTTAGTATGACGTTGTAAATGTCTATTCATTTACCGTAACCACTACTAATTTAACTACAGCAACTATTAATAGTTAAAATCGTTCTTACGTCGTTTCATCAGTGACCGTCGTAATTGCAATCTTTTACACAGTAATTTTCAATTGAGAACCCGATTCGCCTTGAATCCACCCCGTAGCAGTTCGAGACCAAGTGGAATGTATAACAGCTTGATTATTATTATGATAACAATGTTGTTCTGCTATGAATAGTAATCCTAACTATAGAAACACTTGCCGAATCTAGGCGCCTTGCCTTGCGGCGGGAACACGTCTCCATCTGGCGCGACGTACACCACCCGACCCGCGCCGGTAGCTGCGCCGGCGCTTGCGCCCGAGCTGGCACCGCTTGACGAGCCGCTTGCCGACCCCGATCCCGTTGCTGTGTCTGTCCAAGACTCGTCGTTCGTTGTTCCGGGTGAGGTTTCGCCGCTTTCGTATTCCACTAAGTCCTGAGAGGATAAACGTGATACAGGCATAGAAGGGGTAGAAATGGCATTCTACAATATTGGAGAATTTTTATAAAATTAGTTTTTTAGACAAACTAGTAATCAAATTAACTAGTTTGTCTATAAAAAAAATTATTTAATTTTTTTTTTCATAACATCAAGTGACGGGACGAACACGTCGTCCGCCTGATGGTAAGCTACACGCCTGTCCATAACAGTTACAGTGTCACTCAGAGCTTTAAATTGCAAATATCTGAGGGGCACTACCACTGCGCCAGTCACCCTGAGACGTAAGTTGACAAGTCCCATGGGCCTTTAATTTCACTAGCACCCTTACCCTTCAAAACCAAAAGACAGCAATGCTGACATTACTGCTTGACGGCAGAAGTAGCTGGCAGTACTACCCTGGACGAACTCTTTCACAAGGTGTTCTACTGCTAGTAATAATATCTATTTCATTAATTGGTTTTTGTGACTGATTGGACTGCATAAGTGTACAAATTATAGCACTTGCGTCAACATAAAAATTACAAAAACTTTGCCGCAACAAGGCGAATCACAGTGGATTATAGACGAATCACACTCTTATAACGCCTTTATAAAACGCGTAATGAATTTGAAATTATGCTAAATACAGGAGACCTTTATAAGAATCATTCTATAGCCTTGGAGATCTTGATTGTAGTTGAAGTTAGTTGAAAATTGTAGTTGTATAAGTTGGGGTGAGTTAAAACACAGCCACGAGCATAGAAAATTTAAGGAGAATTAATTGAAAGATTTGGAACACAAGTTATAATATATGGTAAATTGACTGCGTAATAAAGTCAATTGAATTAAAATGTGTTCGATGCCCCGAAAATAAGCTGCAGGCTTACCCCAAAAAGAACCTTTGTACGTAAACTGTAGTCATCAATAGATACCAATCAATGCAAAATGATCAAATCAAATCGGTATGTTTGCAAGAAACATGACGACCGAAATAACAATAGCAAGGTAAGTACATGTTTCACCAGAAAATAAAAATAGGCATGTAAAAACGGGTCGTCACATGATTCAATTAAATCATGAATATGTAATAATTATTATAATTATATTATAATGTTCACAAATTAGTCTTTTTTAAAGTTGGAGTAAAATGACATTTGTAGGGTTGCCAGTTTTCATAAAATTTTAAACAGTTATGTGTAGTTGTCGATAGTTTTATCGATAGATTGTGAAAGAAGATAACATTATGCTAAAAATGACTGAATTGTGAATATACCGACGTTCTATTGATTACTAATTGCGTTATTGCGTTCTTTATTCTTATTTGGACAGTTGGTCTACTAGCATCGTGATCAATTTTTTATTTACATACATTTTAACAAAAATAACCGGATTTAATTATCCATCTCTTATATATCTCCTCTTTGTATTTTTCATAAACATAGTTCTAAATACAGTGTATGTCTGTATGAACTTACAAAAATTGACAATTGACATGAACTTATGCTCAATAATTGGATGAATTGTGGGTCTAGGATTATTCAAATGGAACAAGACCGTCTATTTATTCCATAAGCGTGACCAATATTCAGTCTATAGTCGATGAAATATTTATCGACTGCAATCACTAAATGCTCGCAAGCGGGGAACACTTTTGCTCAATGAACTGTCATTTTACTCTTTCTTAAAACGACAGACTAAAAATAAATAAAATGTGCTTGAACGTGTACTATTTACCTGTAGTAGAGTTGTAAGTGCGTGCTGAGGCCACGGAGGCAGAGTGACGCAGAGCCGTGCTAGTCCCAATACGCAAGATGGATCTAACAACCCCGCGCCGCCAGACAAGGCGCATAATCGTCCCACGACCTGTAAGTACATGTTTACTTAATGAAGAAAATTTGGTAGAGAAAATTGTCCCGTAGGCTACTCTCACATAACTTACACAAATACATGCAATCGACATATAAACGTATCTTAATAATATAACATATACCTTACTGTATAAAATGTGACATACATAATATACAATACTTATTTACATACGTCACTTACCAAACTATATATTAAAATACAAAATAAAACAGCCAATTCGCACGAAAGCTACAGTTTCGGAGATGCACAAAATTCCTAGCCTCAAATTCTTGGTCATAAACTTCCGCAAGTGATTACCTTGGCGCAAAGCAGCAGCGTATCGCCTCCGCTGCTACTATCCATGGCGAGCATGTGCGCGACGAGTGCCTGCGCGAGCTGCGCGGCGAGCGGCGCGGGCACGACTCGCGGCGCGCGACTCCCTGCCGGCGGATCGTCCTCCGGCTTTCCACCCCCGCGTTTGCCCACCATCGCCATGCGCGCTTTCAGACTAAACCGGGCGCGCTGAACAAATACACACAGAACAATGTGTTTGTTAAGAAATATAAATATTTCCAAGTATAAAAAGTCACTTCACCATATATTTTAGAAACATATATATTTGTACGTAAAACATTCAGAGTTCTACACTAAAGGATCAGACCTTCCTACTCACTATACATAAAGGTACAGATTAATACTCCCCCGTCTCAAAATGCACGCAGATAGCGCATTTGTCATGTCCATTAAAATATGTAACAAATCGCCAGACGAAGTTTTTTTATCATACCTATCTGATAGATATCAGAGCTGAAACAAATTCTTTTGTCTTAATGGTACTATACTGTAGATGAATACTTAAGATTGATGGAATTATAGAATTATGATATTTTAATTAGATTTTATTGTGGAATACAATAAAATCCTGATTACCGATTACATAATACCGTCGGTGTTTTTATAACAAGGGCGTAAGCGACATTTCGAAAAAAAATCGAGAGCACGTTTTAGCTTTTCACGACTGTTTTAAAATGTTTACGTCCTGAAATTAAATTTAAATTGAATTTTAAAACTTAATTGACACCTAAATTGAATTTTAAAACAGAACGTACATATTTTAAAATAGTCGTTAAGATCAAAAATATGGTCCCTGATAAAAATTTCGCAATGTTGCTTTTGCCCAATGATATATTCACGCCTTTGGATTCTTATTGGGATAGGCAGGCCATTTGAATGAATGAATGAATGAATATCGAGTTCTTAGGTTTTCGCGATTGTTACACATAGGAAATGAAACTATTTGTCCGGATTTAAATCGCCTATATTTGTTTTTTCAAACAAACCGACGTTTCGGGCCCTTTACAGGTGCCATGGTCACGGTTGATTGACTCAACCGTGACCATGGGACCATGGGACCTGTTAAGGGCCCGAAACGTCGGTTTGTTTGAAAAAACAAATATACGCGATTTAAATCCGGACAAATAGTTCATTTCCTATGAATGAATGAATATTTATTAATCGTCACTTTGCATGATTCTGTCAAAAACGTTTATTGCTTCACTTCCTACCTTGTTATATTGTTTTTACTTGCACATGTATGTGCAAATGTGGCTGTAGCCAGACTTTTTTAAATTGGTTACCATGTCATTACGCTTTACTTGTTTTAAAGTATGTTATCATGTACCATGGTGAATAAAACCAATACAATTAATAGTAAAACTAACCTGCTGTTCCTCCAAAGCGACCTGTATCCCCCTCCGCGCGGCTTCTAGCTCCTGCATTTGATGTAACAGCTTCTTGTGGAGCTTGCGTCGGTGTAGCTTGCACTCGTTTGTTCGGGGTGAAGCGGTAGAGCCTGCGTCTGAGTTTCCGCCGCTGCCTGGCCGTCCGCCGGTCACCCAATCCCATCTAGAAGTAAATAGAATTTCAATAAAAAAGAAATTAAAAAACATTTCTTTGTAATATTTACAGGAAAGTCATCGCGAGCAAAGCCCGAAATATTCCGCCTGGCATCGTCCAATAATTGTGGTCGTGAGAAACTCCCGCGTTTTCGGAGACCTTGAACAAGCATCAGTCAGTTGTGACAAGTGTTGGGTAATCGACCATAACGCCGTCTTAGAGTGAATACCTATGTGACTTCTATGTAATTTTTCAGGAAGAAGATAAAAATGTGGTGTAGAATGCAGTAAACGCAATAATATTTGTAGTTAGCATTTTAATTAGTTAAATTATACATCTTTCAGGTTTTTTTTATGATACTTAGTGATGGGACGAACAAGTCGTGCGCCTGATGGTAACCGACACGCTTGTCCATAACAGTTGCAGTGCCACTCAGAGCTTGAAATCGCAAAGATTTGAGGTGCTCTGGGCCTATCACCCTGAGATATAAGTTGAATAGTCCCATGTGCCTGTAATTTCACCAGAAGCTTCACCAGCAATTTCACCAGCAGCTTCAAAACTGGAACGCAGTAATGCTCACATTACTGCTTGGCGGCAGAAATAGGTAAGGTGGCAGTAGTTCCCTGGATGAACTCTTTCACAACGAGCTCTGTTGCTACTTTAATATAATATAATTAATATAATTGGATTGCAGGTTTATATTCATTCATGTAGAACAGTTTTGTTAATGTATATTCTGATGTGTAATCTGTTGCTGAACCTTATCCAATAAAATAAAATAAATTGTATCTTGCTCGAATAAAATATATTCGAGCAAGAAGTGTATAAGTTTTTCTTCAATAAAAATCAGTAAAAACGAATTATGTAAAAACGCGTTTGCGAGGTTTTCACTCAAGGCGAATAATATAGAATTTTTCCAAATGTTTTTTAGATCAAAAACCGACCTCAAACGTACGTGGAATTACAATTGTTTGCCAAGTTTTATTGAAATATCCCCTAGTTCGCCACTATACAGGAATTGACATAGGAGATAATAAAAATCGGATCTCACTACTCAAAGTATATTGAGAAAAAAACGCCTTGAATTGGAGAATAGCAAAACCACCCATTAAAATAATTGCTCCTTAAGTAAAATTTAGGCGCTAGTTCTAAAAATGAATGTTCATGATGATTTTGATGATGAATGATTTTGTTCAAAATGAAATGGGACCACTATGGTGCCCTCTTTCCAACAAAAAATAATCATGAAAATCTGTTCACAAATACTGGAGTTATCGCGTAACATACATACAAAAATAAACATACAGTCGAATTGAGAACCTCCTCCTTTTTTTGAAGTCGGTTAAAAAAGAAAATAAAATATATAAGAGAAAAATTGTGAAAAATTCAGAAAAATCAAGGTTTTTTTCTATATTGATATATACCTTCCTGAACTGCTTCCGTGACCAAACGGTTACCATATGCTTACGCTGGACTGCCACACAGAGGTCCCGGGTTCGATTCCCGAGCCGGGAGAAATATTTATATGGCGCTTTAGTCTTCGTTTGTTCGACTGACAGTAAAGCAAGCAAAATTAGACAGTACTGCGATGACATTACAATTTAAATTCAACGTTTTAGCTTTTTCATATTCCTTTACATGTCACTACGTTTAAATAGTTTGACTTGGGACATTTTTTTCGTGGTTTTTGTATTAGAACCGTCGTCTATTTATTTGTAAGTCAATGTGGCCTACATTTATTTCTTTCTCGTGAGTTTGGGTGTAATTTGTGGCTGTCTATGTGAGTGTCCATGGCACCCGCGATGAAGGATTTCCCTAGTGCGGGGCTATGAGTGTGTACGCGTTATTGTCATTATTATTCCCGTGAGCTAGAACAACTAAAGTACCGTCATGCTATGATAGCCGTTTTGAAAAATTTATGAAATGTATAATTTTACGACACAACTCGACATTTATTTTTCGAAATTCGAAATTTTTAAAAGTGAAACCTATTACGATCGTTGCTTAGGAGCGACGACAGTGAATTTTTTATTTATAGTATCAAGTGACGGGACGAACGAGTCGTGCGCCTGATGGTAAGCTACACGCCTGTTCATAAGAGTTGCAGTGCCACTCAGGCTTAAGTTGACAAGTCCCATGTGCCTGTAATTTCTCCAATAATGTAATTTCACAATAGTAGTACGGACGAATATTGATTAAATATTTATGAATTATTGAATGTGGCTTTTTGTAGCACCCTTTTTTCCGTCTCTTTTTGTATAAATTTGTTACTTGTGTGCAAATAAAGTATAGTAAGTACATCGAGTATATAACAAGAAATAGAGACGACGAAATAAGGGCCACCCATCCCTGGCAGCTCATCAGGCAAATGGGCCGTATGTCACTTTTAAATATCAACTCTCGTTTGCGCTGAAATCACAAATTAGAAAAATGAACTAGTACAGCGCCAATAACTGACCAATGTGTTATATAATAATTGACGACACCCGTCAATTGTTTCGAGTTGTCACAGTAATGATTTCGGAGGATAGTCTTCAAACAAATTAAATGACATTTCGTCTCTATTTCCGGTTGTATACTCGATGAATAAGTATATTCATTTTCATTGCAATATTCGGTTCATTGAAATATTAAGTAAATTTCTTTATTTTCGTTTTATTAAAACTTTTTAATTAGCGAGCCCTTGTAATAGTAGTTATAAATCTAAAAACTTATAGATGCGACTCGCATTTGATTATATTTTTGTCGACAATGAATAGAGATTTCACCTCACTAATAACTGTCAAAACGGCCATCATAGCATGACGGTACTTCAGTGGCGAGTCGATCCCTCACCTGGTGTGCTTGTAGTGCGAGGCGGCGACGCTGTCCAGCACCGAGGCGAGCGCGGTGAGCAGCGCGGCGGCCAGCGCGGGCTGCGGCGTGGGCGAGCGCAGCAGTGCCAGCGCACGCGCACTCAGCGCCTGCGCCACGCCCGTCTCCGAGTCGCCGTGCGAGAACAGGCTCTTGCGGCACATGTACATCACCAGCACCAGGCACCTGGTGACCACAACAAAAGTTTGTTTGGCGTTGAGGTGAGCATTGTTTAGCAGTTTTGTGATGACAGTACAATTGAGGCTATCAGTGCAAAAGTGGTGTAACCCATAATTTTTTTTCTACAATATTACTTTAAATTCTATTAAAGTACACAATTGTTTTACGTTTGGATAAAAATATTTAATTATTGTTTTTTTTATTCATGAAAATAGCATATAAATAAAATAAATACACATATAAAAATAAATTAAATACATTCACGACGTAAAAACACAGATGCGTTTATTTCTATAGTTTTCATTCCGTTTTCGGTTTTTTTTATAGCTGTTGACATTTTTACCGAATTATGGGAAATATGGGACCGTTGAATTGTGTGATTTATGCAATCGCATAAAGCGTGATCAAAGTTAAGTTGATAAACTTTGATCATGTGTGCAACTTTACCTGTCCAAAGCCAAAGGCGGTGCGTCGACAGTGGCAAAGGCCTCCGTAAGGGTATCAGCGAGATGCGTCCCCCACCAGGCCTGTGAGCCGCACAGCCGTGCCAGCAGCGTGGCTAGCGCCGCCGCTGAGCGACCGCCCCACTCCCACAGGAGGGGCGACACAGTGGAGCACCACTCCAGGGATATGTCATCGTGTTGCTGGCAAAATAAAATCGAGTTTTAAAATTAGTATATCAAGCTGAATTGAGAACCTTTCATTAGTACTTTAGGAATTTGTTTTGAAGAAACTGTATTTTGTTTTAAAGGGGCAACATTATAACTTTAATAGTATTTTGTATGAATTTCTATTTATTTTATAATTATTATTAGTGTTATTTATATTAATTACGTTCACATTATCCCTTCATTGTAATTTCAATTGCTATTGTATTGACAATGGACGAACAAATCACTACGAAATAGAGGATACATAATTACCATTACCACCATGATGGAATAAACATATTTATTGTTACACTGTACTGTACTCCAAGTACAGGGTCAAGAGCACGTCAAGCTCGACACTTACGATTTAAATCCAACTCTATGCCGCTTATGATAAGAACGGTCCAAAGTACAAAGTGTCAAGCATGACGTGCTCTTGACTGTAGTATAACAGTCTTCATAAAAACAAATACTGTCATAATTAGGACGAAGCAGAATAAAATATCGTATATTTTTAACAAATTATAAACGGTAGGGTATCACTTACCGTGTCACCGACTTGGAAGAAGAAATAAAGAAGCATGTCGACAATATTCTCACTAATCACTCGCAACTTGTCTGTGGACGCACGTTCTAACAGGGCTTCAGATGTCACTTTTCCTTTACCAATCAAATCCAAGATCTGATCGTTCACATCCGAATTGTTCTGGAGCTTTCTCAACACGTTATTACATGTGTGCAATTGTTGTTGCAATTCTATGCACTCCTGGTAGGCCGTGACGACCTTCGGGTCTGTGTCGTTTGAGATATTGAGGTAAGCCATCATGTGAGCGGCGTTACCATTGTATAATTCCAGATAGGGGTTGAGCAAATCCATTAATTTGCCAGTTGCTAAACTGTGAAAATAAGAAACCACAAGCTGTTTTTTACAAATACTCCACATTAAAATGTACTAATAGTTATTTGTCATGCAAGGCTGCAAAGTTGTTATTTGACGCGAGTGCTTGTATTGAAACCCGAGCAAGCGACAGATTTTAAGATTCCTGAGCGTAGCGAGGCTTTCAAGCCACGAGACGCAAAACAACTTTACTGCCGAGCGAAACACACAACTTTTCACCTCACTATAGCGAGGAAAATGGTAGATGGAAAAAAAAACAGTTGAACTATAACAAACCAGTTATCAAAATTAGTTATCGTTGTCAATTCAATGTCAACAATAATAAGAATAAAGTATACCTCCGGATTTATAATTATTTAAATAATGTACGACAAATCGCGTAGTTAAATTTGTCATTGTTTTTTTTTTTCATCAAAGGAAAAGTTAGGTGTACTGTAGACTAGGCTGTACTCTATGAGTAGAATTGCTGGCTGAACATAGGTAATGATTATAGTTTTGTATTTAGAATGTTAAGAAAACAGAAGATCTTGACATATCACATTAAGATTATTGATTTGTAACCCAAAAACATGTAAAGAAGTGAAATAAAGTATATTTTTAAGGATTATTACAGTTTGAATTTATAGAAGTGCCTCTCGCCACGTAATCTGAGCTACCCCCTTATTTCAGTACCATATTCCATCGTCAAGTTTGAATTTCAAAACCCCTTTCCACGCTTTTGCGCGCAGATTTCTAATGAGAAGGAAAGCTTTTCCGAGCCATTGAGGCGAAAATATAATTACATGCCGCAGGCCCGCGCAATTCAGTTTTCAGCACGCAACCGGGATTTTTTTTAGTTTTTTTTCTACGTACACTATGGTCATAGAATGCATATATAGCGCTAAATTTGAATACTATAATTTCATTATAATGTATGTAACTGGGCGTTCTTCGTGATCATACGAAATATACTGTTTGGGTGTGAATCACTGCACATGTTATGCAGATTTTGATTTACACAAGGCTTTAGGTGGTTAACCATATGGCGTCATGTAGCCATTTTTTGACAAAATTTAAATAAGCGCAACAAACTCACCGGAACCGACAAGTCAAGTCCTGATGCAGCGCGTTCAAAGCGCTAATGGAAGCCGGAACATTGCTGATCTCGGCTATTTCCCCGTAGAACCATCCTAGGGGAATCTTGCACTTCATTGCCGACATGCCGTAGCGGCCGATCGTTGTTATCTACACATAAACAAGTATTTTACATTATCTTAAAATCTTTCAGGACTATTCCACATAGCTGGCGTTGAACGAGTTATAAGAGCAACAAATTATGCTTAGAAGAGGTGAAAAATATAGTCGCTTAGCAAACACTCGAGTCATTTCGAGTAATTTTAAAGACAATTGGAAAAAGTGCATATCGTCGGCCATCGAGTATATAACCAGAAATGCAGACGAAATCAGGGCCATACATTCTTGGTCATCAGCGGGGATCGGAATAGGTAGAGTTTTTTTACCTAAACTTCGAGGAACATAGACAGAAAATGGAGACTGCCTTACGACAATATTTTTTAGGTCCTGGACCTGTTCGGGATTCGGCAAATCACTTAAGTACATTAAAAATAGACATAATTGGGGACAAAAAGGTACACTATATTTATCTTAACTTTGCGACACAGTGGGTCGGATCAACAATATTGCCAACATTGGATTTTTACCACCCTAAAAAGATCTTATTGTCCTAATTAAATATTGTCATATCACATTAACTTAACTTAACTGCCTCCGTGGCTGAACGGTTACCATGCCGGACTGCCACGCAGAGGTCCCAGGTTCGATTCCCGGGCCGGGAGAAATGTTTGTATGGCTTACATTTATTTCTCTCGTGAGTTTGGGTGTAATTTGTGGTTGTCTATGTGTGTGTCCATGGCACCCGCGACACAGGGTTTCCCTAGTGCGGGGCTATGTTGAATGTGTGCTATGTTGAATGTGTGCGTTATTTTGCCATAAGTCTAATAGATTAGTAGGAAAAAAATAAAATGTGAATTTTTTGTATGGGACCATACCTTTAGTGCCCCATCGTTACGTAGTTTAAGGCTCAACTCACACTGGCGCAGAGTCGAAGCGTCGCGACGCGTCATGTTTTCCGCCTATTGTATATTCATCACTATTTTCCCATTATTAAGGTATAAATTTGTGTTATGCAAATATGGAAATAGGCGTCGACGCTTGGATGCAGTCGAGCGGCTTCACGCGTCACTTGGGCGCAGTGAGGCGTCAGACGCTGACCACTCTGTGATCCGGGCGCACTAAAGCGAACGTCGTCGCGCGACGACGGAGTAGCATTGTAGTAGAAAAACAGGACGCGACGCGACGCTTTGACACTGCGCCAGTGTGAGCTGAGCCTTAGTCGATCCAGTTTTGGAATCACTACAGTAATTATCTGAAGTAATAACAAAACATCCGTATGAATTCGAAACAGAAGTTTTAATTTACTACTGAAACAAATAAACACGAAAACCAACCAATTTACTTTTATTTTCCTATATGTGAAGCAAGAGACTTTAATTTAAAACAGTTTTAATTCCGAACCCAAAAACTAATTATTTATTATCAATGTATTCAAAGTATAATAATAATTCGTGATTTTTAAAATTCCGGGATGAAAACATTGTGATGATCATTCCGGTATTTCAGAGTGCGGTATTATCCACTCTACGTGTACTCCTTCTTTGAAGTTTAGGTAAATATACTCAATCTATTCCGATATTACTATCTACTATTGTTTATATGTCGCGCCGTTTTTTATTTTAAAGAAGGCTGGCAAAATGTGTTAAGCATCCAGAAGTTTTCTGATTATGACATGAAAATCGAGTCAGAAAGTTAAAACCTAAAATGCCTAAAACACGAAGAGTCGTTGCGATAGTTTTAGGATTTTGCAGGAATGTCCATAAAACAGAATGTTAGTAATACAAATCTTATTAACTCTAGTAGTTTCCAGTTTGGCGGGAGATAGTCTATTGTAAATATATACTTTTAGAAAAAAATTAATAATTTTTCTTAAATATTCTGAAAAATTGGTGTTGCAACAACTCGTCGCAAAGTTAAGATAAATATAGTCTAACCTACCTATCCCAAATAACGTCAATTTTTAATGTACTCGAGTGATTTCCCGAATCTCGAAAACATCCAAGAACTAAAAAATATTCTCGTAAGGCAGTCTCCATTTTCTGTCTACGTTCCTCGAAAAAACCCTACCTATTCCGATCACTGCCAATTAATGTATTGAACCATTAAGCGTATTTATGAGCAATTTTTGCCTATTTTCTGATGCGTATAAGTAGTGAATAGGTATTTAGGTTTGGGCGCGCGTTTAGTGTGCATATGTATAGAAGATAGGTCTAATAATACGTCTGTAGTGATTCCAAGACTGGATCACCTAAGTCTTTGCACTAAAGTTATGGTCCCATAAATAAAATACACATACATATATTTTTTTTCCTACTAAACTATACGATTTATGGCAAAATATGATATGACAATTATTAATTAGGACAATAAGATCTCTCGATTGGCATTTTTTTAAAGAGGTGTCGTAAAAAAGTCCAATGTCCGCAATATCGCAGATCTGATCGACTGTACGTAGCAAAGTTAAGATAAATATAATATAATATACGTCAATTTTTAATATTCTTAAGTTATTTCCCAAGTCCCGAAAAGGTCTGGACCTAAAAAAATATTGTAAGGCAGTCTCCATTTTCTATGTTCTTCGAAAAAACTCTACCTATTCCGATCCCTGCTCATCAGAGACACATCACATATAAATATCAACTCTCGTTTGCACTGAAATATAGACAGCCGCCAACAACTGACCTGTGTATACGTCTCCGTATATTCCAAAAATATTCTGTATTTAAAAAAAAAAAGAAAGAAAGAAAGAAGTTTATTCACTGAATTGAAACACTACACACACATATATCTAAAATTACGACTACAAAGAAAACAACAAGTGACTTATTAATGTGCGTAGTGGCTCAAACGAGGAAAAGGATACGACTCAGCAATATGTCTATCTCGGTCGAAACAGACGCTGATTTTCAGTCGTTCCTGTATCGGCGTCGACTGAATCCCGAGGAAATGGTACATGTATATCCTTCCTTTTTAATTTTATTGTAATAAAGATAATATCTCTACTTGACACCCGTCAATTGTTTCGAATTCGGACTGGCCAATCGGAGCGCAGTTGTCACAGTAATGATATGGCAGAATAGTTTTCAAACAAATTAAATGACATTTCGTCTCTATTTCCGGTCATATACACGATGTCGTCGGCTAATTTTAAAACCTCGTAGTCTCCGTTTGGGCGAAATACCTTTTTTACTCTTCAAGGATAATACGGGCAATTTTAATTGCCTAATTCTTCGTCATCTCACCTTTTTAGCACCCTTTTCACTGGTTCCTCGCCACCTAATTTTGAAATTTTGAATGGTTCTTAAATTCCTTTTCTTCTTCGTCACTCTTAGTTTCCTTCTTTCCGTCGCCACTCTCTACTAAATATCCGAAGCGAGCACGCGTGCTCGACTTCGCATGAAATTCTGACCAGCCAAATCATGTAACCTAACTGCTTGTAAAGCATAACATTTGTAGTACTATTGAAAATCATGTAACCGGACTGCTTATAAAGTATATTTTGTAGAAAATACAGGACCTCTTGGGTTAAGATCCTTTTTACCATAACCTGTATTTCAATCCAAGTGGTGAGTGTTTTATACTATTGTATCTGTTATATATCATTATGTTTTGTTACAGCCTTTACTTTAACAGTCCTTTTCCCTTCCTGTAGTTCTCTTTCTTTATTTCTACAATAAAATTTAGGTCGATCGAGCGTTGTATTTAATTACGCAAAGCCCGCATGACAAGAATCTACAGGAAAAAGTGTCAAGCAAATCCCTTTTTTAGTTATAAAAAAGAAAGGAATAATCATGGATTGTCGTATTTTTTTATTTCTAGTCATTTTGTTTTTTGTGCCTATACAAAAGTGCAGATTATGAGGTTTACGAATTTAGCCGACAATATATTTTTTGTAAAAAAAATATTATACGATTGTTAGTTATAAAGTGCTCTATTTATGAATAATAAATAATTATTGTACGTAGAAAAAACTATTTGAGGAAATTGTGCATAACGGGCCATACAAAGTTGACTTGTCTTTTGGGTATCTTTGAACCCAAGATCAAAAGTTTTTTCAAATAGTTGTTTTTCTTTTCAAGTTCGTCATTTTAGTTAAATTATTCTAAATTTGGGTATGGAAGGACACTCATTAATCAACAGAAGCTATTTCAACAACTATATCGACATTGGAAAGGTAAAATGTCTAAAGAGCGTTTAGATAATATTACAGGAGAGCGATTTCATTTATGGTTTTAAAAATGATTTACAAAGTAAATCAAGTTTGTTAACATATTGTTATTGTTGTATAAATCTGTTGCCTCCTTCAAATCATGATTTAAGAAATTTTTATTAATTAACTCAGTTGTCTAACAGCACTGGCTGTGCTGTGTCTTCTTGCCATTTTTCTACTGACATTAATGCCCCAACAACAAATACATAAGAACACAATACACGCAGCCCGTTTTGGTTTTATTACATCCCAACTACTCTACACGTACACCCATTTTTACTGTATGTATTATTACTTTTGTGATTTTGATTCACGCTTAGGTCGATTGTATTTTGTTTAATTTATCTGCTTGGCCGAACCGACATCATCCTTGTTATTTATTCGGCTTCACTGAAAACCAGCGTCTTGTTACAAAAAGCTGAGTGGAGACCATTTTGGTAACTTTTAAATGTAATTTTTTTGTGTTGTGTCTTATCCTAAGGTTATTTCATTTCATTCCGTAATATATATTTTGTCATAAGGATACCAAATAAACTACTTTTCTTTCTTTCTATTGGTCTTCGATAGAAGAGTATCTCACCTTCATATACCGGCAGAGAGGCGCAGGCTGAATGTCAGTAAGGACGAGGTGTTTAGTAGCGATGTCCGTAGCGAACGCTAGCTTGGTGCAATCGGTCTCTTCACTCGTCACCCATATGTCGATGCACAGGGTCACTAGATCCGAACATGACGGGATTATCTGTGAAACAAAATGTATGGTTCCATTTCTGTTGTTTTGGGAATTCTAATATCTATTGGACATTTTGCTCAATAGAGGAGCTGCAGCAGATTAACTCAATGTTTCTACTCATTCTGCTTGTTTCGTGCTTTACTCTTAGGGCGCCTTCATATTAGAGGCTTATAAAAGCGCTACAGTAGCACCACTGTGGCGCCGCGCCATAGACGTGTCACCCGCGCGCTATTTTTGCAGTCACAATAAGGGTGAATTCAGACGAACGTAATTTTGTGAGTTGCGAGTTGTGTTATTTGAGTTGCGTCATTTACGCTGCATTCGGTTACATATAAACCCGGGTACTCATTAGCGAGCTGTAACTGTAATGTAACAGATACAGTAACGAGGTTCTAGTGTGTACGCTTGAAACAGCAAACCGGACGCGTTCCGCTCGCGGCAAGCTCGCGAACCACATACACACAATGATTTTTGGTTATATAACATGAAACAATTGTTCCACTCGACGACGCAAAATGAGTATCTGCCGACTCACACCCGTAATTCCAACTGAATTTCCGTCGCACCGTGCAATGTGCTGGTGGAGGTGGAGAAGGGTCGAGAGAGGTGGAGAAGGGTCGAGAGAGGTGGAGAAGGGTCGAGAGAGGTGGAGAATGGTCGAGGGAGGTGGAGAAGGGGCGAGAGAAGTGGTCAGTTTCAGGTATTGGATGCGCGTGAGTAGAAACGTTTCTTGCTCCATTACACTATATGACGCAAACACCCCGTACAAACGCACAAAAGCAACTGAAAAAAATAGGTTCGTCTGGCACCCTAACCGAATTTCAGACGAACGTAAACTACGCGACTCAAAAAACGCGACTCACAACTCACAAAATTACGCTCGTTGGCCCACCCTAAGTGAATCAAAAATTAATAAAGCATTAATTTGAAGCGCCCTTATACAATTTATTCATAATTCTATTTAATTTTTTATATTATTATTGTTTGTTTTACGGTTTTTTTAACAAATTTTAAAATTCACGCCAAATATCGGGGAAAATCCCATTTTGCAAGATGACACCTGCAAATGATAACTAGAAAAAAGTGCTCCCCGCCGCGTCCAATTTTACCGACGAATGCAATGTCTTTCATTCCTGTATGTAAATTCATCACAAATAGAAAAAATGTTTACTACTATGCTATTACTATTAGTGTTTTATATTACTTTATTACCTCTAATATTTCGACTGAAGGACATGAATTCAAGGTCGTGAAATAAATTTTTAAGAACTAAAAAGAAATTAAAATAATACGTGTACCATTGTGAGATATTTTGATATCAATACCAGATAAATTATTAAAGGTTTATTTGCAAAGAAAGAATAAACTTACCAAATCCGTAAGTCGAATGGTGTGCCCGAAGTCGAGCACGATGTAGCGACGCGCGCCAGAGTGCATACGTTCCACGACGAGCGTGTGCTGGGGCGGCCGCGACACTAGCGCCGCCCACGGAATGCCGCATTGCTCTTGCTCCTAACAAATAATCAATTCCTATAACTAACTGACATTTTTAAAATAATCTAGCTTTTTCAAGTTGTCTCCATCCATTATATTTCAAATAAATATTGTTAATAAAAAATGTGTAAGATATGTTTATTTACAAAGAGCAACCCCTAGACTTTCTTACTCATTCTTCCCATCAAGCAATCTCAGGGTCGTATTCCAGAACTCTACTTAATGCTTAAGTCAGGACTTGAGTATTGCAGTGAGCACTGAAAATCATACTCAAGTCAGGCAAGCCATTAGGGTCGTATTTCCAGTGCTTGGAATCATATTCAAGTCTGCTCAAATCCTGACTTGAGCATTGAGTAGAGTTCTGGCATACGACCCTCAATCTGTCTTATGAATGAGTAGAAGAGTTTAACCAATGTGACGATTTCAAGTATAATTTGGCTTACCTATTCTACCAGTACATTTTATAAAAATGTAGTTTTGAATTACATTTATCGTACCTAGCTCAAATCGGGGGCATAACAAACCGGGGGCAAACGACCGGACCCGAAATAAAGATCATTTTACTTTAATCATCATCAACTCATTATGCGTCCCACTTCTGGGCTTGATCTCCCCTAAGAACCTCTTCTTAGGGGAGATTTGTGCCCAGGGTTTAGGTAAAAAATTAGGTATTGTGACAGCAAATACGCAGATAGTAAATATTTTAATTGTCACACGTGCTGCCCTAACACGGTTGTATGAGATGACGCGAGACGCGAGCGCATATGCCATAGTTTGCACAAGGCCTATTGCATCCGTGACCGAACGTAGAGGTCCCGGGTTCGATTAGCGGCCCGGGAGAAATATTCCTCCTCCCCCTCCTTCTAAACATAGGTCTAATATCTAGTTTGGAAGCTCATATATAATTGTAAATTATATTGTACGTCTTTCAAGTATTTGTAACATTTTGTGTAACCTGCATATGTGATGTACGAAATAAAAATATTATTATATTATTATTTGTATGGCCTACATTTATTTCTCTCATGAGTTTGGATGTAATTTGAGGTTGTTTACGTGTGTATCCATGGCACCCGCGACACAGGGTTTCCCTAGTTTGGGGGTATGAGTGTAAGGGTTATTTATTTATTTATAGTACAATGGTACTTATTACCATTGTTACTTCTCAGGTCTGCCGCACTGTTTATAATAGAATATTGCTTATTCACTAACATAGAAAGTTTGTTCTGTTACCGTGAAAATTACGTTGCTTACGGCGCAACATCCGCCTAAACTATGCGTGTGGTTGAATTTTATTAAAATATATGTAAAGGGATATAAAAGTCATCATTATAAACTATCCTTCATACCTTGAAGAACTTTTCATCGGTGAAGTCAAGTTTATCATGTGGATCGCACTCCATGGGCGAGCTTTCGACGTCTTCCAGCGAGTCTGGGTCCTGAGAAGATTGCTTTGCTTGCCCCTCTTTTACAACGTGCCATAACTGCGAACGACGACGTTGCATAAGTAGAATTTAAAACGAGTAACAATACAAACTTTTAGTGTTATTGAAACTAAAATACTAGTCAAAAAATACCTTTTTCATGATTCCAAGCAACGGGACGAACGAGTCCTGAGACATAAGTTGCCAAGTCCCATGTGCCTGTAATTTCACCAGCACCCTTTCCCTTCAAAACCTACTACTAAAAGAACGGCGCGACGCATACCGGAAATGTCTGAATTCTACGTAAGAGTGTGAGGTCACTTTCTGTGACCCAATCTCGAATTAAATTTCTTAAATTGCAACGTGAGCGCACCGCAAAATTATGCAAACGTGTGCGTCTGTACACGGCGCGCGCGCACACGCGTCTGTACACGGCGCGCGCGCACACAAATAAACCGCGCTACTACGTTTGTATGAAGTTACCTTACTTGTCTCATACTATGCTATGAACCTCCAGCCGCTGCTGTTCTTACATACCCCTTTCACTTCCTTTGCTCGCATCTTTCCTGCACGTCCGTTTAATCTTGGTACTTTAAACCAGGATTTTTATTTTCAGGTTTGCACAATATATATTGCACACACAAATATTTGTGTCGTTATGAAATACTTTTTTATCAAACCATCGAAGTATTTGCAATTTATTGCGTCCTACAAATAAAATTTGCTGCACTCTGATTGCTATTCTCACCTGATTGGGATCTCCAGGCAGCGAACTCACAACCGCAGGATGATGCCGCGCACCGCTGGACTCCAACTTGGTGCCATCAGACGCAACGTGACAAGTAACGTGAAGAGGCATCGCCTCACTCAAGCCCGCACCGAATATGGAGACACCGTTATTTTGCGCCCACCATGCCGTGTTTGACGCTTTGCTTTTTGTATCTGGAAGAACCGGTTTTATTTACAATCAGTGATTCGTTTAACAGGATATATTAATAAGTCAATAAGCTGTGGTAAATTCAAAAGAGTGTTATTGTGGTGAGATTTTGTTTCAGAGGTCTTTTTTTATTAAATTGAAAATAAGATAAACTATATACTGAATTTTTTAGTATTAGACAAAAATAAATTTTGAGTTTTGAAGTTCGTTCAGTTGCCATTTTGTTTAGTCATGTACATACAACATGCAGCAAAGCAATTTAATTAATACCGTGAAAGGAAATTCTTAAGCTCGTTCACTCAAATAAATATATCTTTTACTCATAGTATTCACAAAAGATTAAATGAAAACTTTCTATCTTTACATGCTTAATGTATTTCAAAAACTATATAAAACTTAAAGAAACAGAGGTTACGAACTCATGTTCATAACTAGTGTTCGTACTAAATTTATTATGAAATACAAGTCAACAATTCTCACAGCGTTGTTGAAATTTTATGGATTAAAAAAAGGTTTATGATCACTGCTTCTTTGTTTAGGTTCTTCTAATTCTAAACAAAAAACGAAGTGTAGAAGTATACGCATTTCGTTTGTATACTAGTCTAGAAAATCAATAGCAATTTCATATATAGGCTTAATACGCAGACCAAATATTGTAATTTTTCACAACACTATTCTATAGTCAGGTCGGGTTATTGACCTAAACATTACATTGATCGTCTCAGGGACATTACTTATTATTTTTAAGGATTCTCTTCGTGACATTCCAATTGAAATGAATTCCTATGCTATCACTGAAAATGGATACCTAAGCAACACTTACCAAGATCAGGCGGTAAGTTGAGCAAGTCCTTCAACTGATACTCTTGCTTAGCTACAGGAGGCGTGCTGGTGTCGCCGGTTAGTACACTGGCATATGTCACAGGTGTAGATGTCCCGCGGCCCAGTTCAGGCACTTCTGCCGCGAAAATCGTGCGCTCTAGTGGCAGACCGTATAGACCGAACCTGGAGGTATGAATGATAGTCAAAATATATTTCTTTAAAGCAGTTGATAACAGGTAAAACTAGTCAAATTCACAAAAAATAAATTAAGTAGATCGATTCGGCTTGTAATTCCAAAGCTGATTCTTTTTTTCTTAATATCTCTCGACAATCTCTATATCTATAATTATTTAAATTAAAACAATGTACTCTATTCTTGGTTTGTTTAAATTTCCTTGCGAAAAGTGTAAGAACATTCAACTTTTGATAACGTTAACTCCTTAACAATATATCAAGCAAGTTAACAAAAATATAACTAAAATAAGGAGCTACAACTTACACTACCAAGTCGATTGACCGCGTCCGGTCTGCAGCGAGTACAGAGGGCAAATGATAGAAATCTAAAGACAGCCGAAACACGAAGATTGCAGAAAGATATTAAGAACTGTATGGTATATTATATTTATAATAGCTATTTATTTGCCCGTGCATTTCAACACTGCACCCATTGTAAAAGTTTTGTAAATGATTCTTAAAAAGTTGGGACTACCACATTGGAGTACAGGAAACCAAAATTACCATGGAATTCACAAGTAGACATCCGAAAGTCTTTTTTAAATAAATTGATACAATATTTTTTACATAAATTCATACCTAGCTCTCAACAAATGATGGTAAACATCAGCTCTCTCCCTGAGACATTTTGCAGTCCTCTCCAGCAAAGTCAGACATCTAGATACAAGGTCAGCAGCCGTAGTTCGTCCCAGACCCTGAGCAGCGTGCTGGGCTAGTGCGACCAGCCATCTTAGAGCTCCCGGGGAATCGCAGGCACCGAGATATGGTATGCACGCGCTTACACTAGTTATGAGAGTCTGGTCGAATGTTGATTTCCATGGCCGAGGCAAACTTCTTGAACCACTGTAAAAGATGGTTGGAGTTGAATTTGCAAATTAGGAAATATGTAAGATATTTCAGTTATTGTAAACCAAGTGATGCTATAAGACCGAGCTGTAGATGAAGACTAATCGTAATGAGTAACGCAAATGTAGCACACGACTTGTAGCAATTCATTTGTGGGGAAAACAGCGCATATTTTTGTGTTTTTAACAATATACAATTTTGAAAGTTACAAATTTACTTGTATCTAAATATCAGCGGCGAGAAACTATCTTTTGTAAATTGCGCTTCACCCAATACTCCAAGACTTATATTCAATTCAACGATCTTTTAGTTGTACTTTGACGAGAATGGCGGACTTTTGTCATTACCACAATTTGGGTAGGCGAATTTTGCGTTCCGAAACAACTTTGGTATGTAAAGTACTATTCACTTAAGCAATTTTATTAAAAAAGAACATGGAATCGACTACTCACCCGCTAGTGGTTAAGATGATTTTGATGCATTTCTTAGCTATGCTTCTATTCGCGCAGAGCACGCAATTCTTTATTAACTCATCTGTATGTTTTTCTATTGTTTTCACACACTCCACTTGCTGACTTTCGGCTGGTGACAACGCGTCTTTGTCCTTCCCCTTGTCAGTCTTAGCAAGACGCATTCTTTGCAACCGTATTGAAATTACCCATAAGAGCAAGTCCAAAGCTAGCATTCGTTTCTCAATATCCCCTTTGTTTACAGCAATTTCGCAGAGAGTGTTCAAGAAGCTATTAGATTCGAGCATAGCTATTCGCTGCTGCCGTTCCATTGGTACTTCTGTGTGAGGACTGGCGCGCACGGTAAGAGAGATTTGGTGCAACCAATCGCAGCCTATAAATCCAGATTTCTTCGAGTTGCTCTCGCCAGATTTAATCGGTCCTTTAGACATATCTTTAGCCGGATCGAATAAGGTCTTTATGTGAATGAGAAAGGTTCGCCCTCTGGCACGGTACAGTCTCGGGCTAGTCAGAATCAAAGTGCCAGCCTGCTGAGTCAAATCCAAACCGGAGGACAACAACAACGGGCCCGCCAGAATTTCAGCATTATGCGCTTGCAAATACTCCTCGCTGCTGACGGGGTTCTCCAGGCACACCAAGTCCTGGTCGATTACCCACGGGAAATGCATCGGGGACTCCGACAGGAGGCCGAACGAGGCGTCTTTCTTGTAGCCGATGCCGTGCAAATTCTGTTTCAATAACGTCACCTGTATTATAGGCAGGTTGGCAGTGCACGCCGTGTGCAGAGTGAAGCCGAACTCTATGTGGGCCAAGGAAACGCTGTAGGGCAGAGTGAGCTCCAGGACGTGCTCGTCCCAGGTGGAGGAGGTGTTCTGCAGGCGCCACGTGCGGTTGTTCTGGTGCTCGGAGCGCGAGCGCTGCGCCGGCGACAGCTCGCACCAGAAGCCCGGCACCACGGCGCTGTACGGCACCGTGGTGTTCGTGCCGTACGACCCGGTCAGCGAGATCAGAGTTTCCAGATCCGCCTTGTCCAGTTCCGTCTTGTTGGCCAGTATGACGGGCGCGGTGGCGGGCCCCGCCTCCTCCCGCGGCGGCCTCTGCAGCATATCGAAGTCCAAATTCGCGAATTCGTCTTCATCTATGTCTCCGGTCGAGTCTTTCTCGCCGTTGTTCAGGGCGTAAAAATATATCATCCCATGTTTGGTGGAAACGCTGAGACGTTCCACCGAGGCGCAGTATACGACTGATGTGAATTGCCCTTTGGGCACTTTCTTTTCTGATAACACTTTGAAATCGGGCAGCGAATACATTCGCAAGCTGCCGTCGACGCCTACGGCCGCGAACGAGCACTGATCCACAGGTAGTAAACACAAGTCCACCGGACTCTCACCGTACGGCAACTCTTTAACTGACACGGGATTGTCTTCGAGAGTGAATATGGATGTTTTATTGTTAATCTTGAAGAGCAGAAAGTATGCCTTGGTATCAGATCTGTCAGTTTTGTCTGTTGATTCAGCTACTTCGTCTACGTCCATCTTAACGTCACCGTCTCCATCAGTGTCCTCTTCAACTCTCACTTTCTCAGGTTCAATGCTGGACACAACTACTAACAAATGTTCCTTGTCTTCAGTGGGCATTAAATGTGTGACTTTAGAGTCCTCTCTAAGATTGAGCTTAGCTGGAAGACTTAGGCACTGAATTGCAATCCCTTGTGACACAACCTCTTCCTGTGGAGGATCGCTATCGAAACCGTCATTGTTGCTATTGCTAACAGCTGTGGTAGTTCCCACTTTGCTTCCGCCAAATGTTGTGACTTTCACCTTCTCTGTGCCGTCCCCACCTTCATACCACTTTAGATCTGAGATTTCTAAGGGCCCATTCATGTTGAGGTAATGTGTTATAGGATCCGCCGGCTGCAATACTGCATCGGTTTGGTCTGCGAGCTTCGTACCAACAGATTCTAAGTTACCGCTCTTCCAACTTTTCAACTGTGAGATCTGTCCGACGAAATCCAACATACTGCCCTGTCCAGACTCAGGTAAATCCGGTAACAGAGCTGTTGAAGGAGGAGGAGGTAAGACTTTGAAGTGTTTTGTGAAAATTATCTTCTTGGGTTCCCAAACCTTGCAATCCTCTTTGCTGGATGATGCGTTTAGGTTGATTACGTTACTAATATGTTCATCTATTAAACTGCTTGTGCACTGGGGAAGCTCTGTGTCTTCGTCTGAATACTGGAAGTAAATTTCGTCGTAAATGTTCGCGTCATCTGTTCGTGCGACCGTGCAAACTTTCTTGCTACCGCCTGGTTTGGAATTACCGCTGCTATTTGAAGTGTGCACTACTGTCGTGATGGAACCCGCTAAAGAGCTGTGTATGTCATATGTTAAGAGGAAGAGCATTTTATTCGTGGGACTTTGGTTGCTTTTAGCTTCGTTCTGATCGTTCATAGCTTGCACGCTTTCTTGTGATTTGTCCGACTCGAAGAGTGCCTTGCTGGAGTCTTCCTTGATGGGCTGGTCTGTGGGGGCGTTGGTCCGCGTGATGGTAACGGCACAGATGAGTGATGGTTTGGACTTGCTCCCGCTGGTCTCTTTCTCAACATTTTCAGAGTTTTGTGCTTGTGGGAAGGTCTCCTGTCGTGTCGTCATGCCCACGAAAGCCATCGCTGTGAGCTCTACACCGTATGTTGCTGTAAAAATAGGTAAAATTAATCACTATAACAAACTAGTGGAGTAATTTATAAAAATTAATAAAAATTTAATTAATCACTATAATTTAAAAACTAAGTTTTGCGGAAAAAGAATGTTAAGACTTACAACTGTCCTTCTCCAAGCTAGCTGACCAGACTTTGTTAGAATCAGTAGCCAGGATACCACTGAAGATGGAGTCATAAGGTGAAAGATGGATGAACTTGACCAGTTTAAGGCCGCAGTCGAACTTCCAAATGTTGACCTTCCCTTCCGTGGTGCCGGTGGCGATAAGGTCGCCTGTGTTGCCTTTTGACACCACTGATACGTTTGGACAAGGCACTGCACATGCTGTAGCGTTTGTGACCTAGGCATGAATTATTTCATGAGAGTTAAAAGTACAATATTTGAATTGGTTTAATCATTTCAGTCAATTTTGTTAAATATAGTTTAGGGCGTAAAAGTTAGTTTCCAATAATCGCAAACATGCTGCAACAATAAAGTGAAATAAAATAGGACAATGCAAAATCCGAGACCATGCAAAGCCTTAAATTAATTGGACATACAGAGCATTAAACGTTAGTGCGTCATATCAACTTTGTGTAACGCCATTTTGCGTGCTTATCGTGACAGCATTACACCCAAATTCAAAATACTACATAAATCTAATTCCTTGTTCGTAGATGATTTACAAGTGTATATCAACATTAATCGATATACTCACAGAAATGGGCACGTTGTGGGTGTATTCGCCACGAACGAAAGGGCAATTGGGCGAATGTCGCTCATGTTCGACCCAAGGTTCGTCGGACTTCTCCCAGCAGACGAGACACACCATGCAGGTGAAGCACATGGCGCGGTCATCGCCGCTGGGTGACGGTTGGTGGTAGAACCCGGCCTGAGCCATGCGCGCTGGTAATGCCCATCTACAGAAGAAAATTTCAAAGTTTGTTATAATTATTAATATAAAGATCGAACACTTAGAAAAAATTCCTTCGATCCGGTCGGATTCGAACCGACTTCTTCTAGCAAATCGTGTCAGACGCTATGCCAACTAAGCACTCCCCAGTATCAGCAATACCCAGAGACCGAACCAATGTTGAAAGGCTTCCTAACCAGAGACCGAACCAATGTTGAAAGGCTTCCTAAAGTCCATAGAAAAGTTGTCTCTCTAAGAATGTACTATTTAAATTTTGCGACTTTTTTTCGTGACAGTGGCTACACTTACATTTAACAGCTGTCACCTACGATTGTTCCGACAAAAAAAAACATACAGTCGAATTCAGACCGTCCTCCTTTTTTTGAAGTCGGTTAAAAATGGAGCACTACACAATAGAAGAACGATTATACATATATTATTAGTTTATTAAATATATATTATTAATATGTGTCACATCACGTCAAATACGTTGTTGTCGACTTTAATTAAAATTTAAAAATCTCTACAGCCAACTACTAATTTTGTTTTGTTCTGTTCGTTCAATATTTCGTAATATTCAATAATTAATGTCCTTGTGGATAACTATTTTGGCCTAAGTTATTTAAGACAAATATTGATCTTTGTAAGATGTATTTAAGTTGGCTGTTGTTATTTCTTAACAATAAAATTTTAAAAAATACGTTTATTTTCACCGCGTTCGTTATCATTGTGAAAACCCATTACGAATATGGAGAAAGTTACGCTGAGACCGATCGCAAATTTCGCGGAATTTTCGGTCTGGACGACATGTGGTTTCAGAACGACGGCGCCACCTGCCACACCGCGCACGAACCAATAGATTTATTGCGGCAACGACTTCCACACTAAATCATTTCATGAAATTCTGATGTCAACTGACCATCAAGATCCGTATCTACTGACCCGAGATATGGAGTTTTCCGGAGGGACTACGGGCTCGACGGCAAGACCAGGTTACGGCGGGCGTCCGGGCCAAGCCCTCCGCCAGTTATACGTCTTCACCGGCGTCTCTGGCGGAGCCAGACTTGGGTATGGACTCGCCGGGGTTTGTGGTTAGCTGCAGGGACAAACACGTTCGTTTGCCCCGGTGGTGTGTGACCGGGGCGTTCGACCCGCGCGCAGCTAGCGCGTCTAAGTATCGGTCTAGTTGAGGGCCTGAGGCTAGGAGACGCGCGGGACACGTGAGTTGCCCTTGAAGTCGGTGGCTATGTCCGGACATTGTCGCAGGACACTGCCACTTGACATCTCCGCCACTAGCCCGGAGAGCTAGTAGAGGATGACCTATAGACATCATCCGGTCCGTCTGGCTGCGTAGGAATTTGGGAACTGGAGAGACGCAGTTATTCAGCGTTGGGAAGTGAGCGTGGCTTACTGCTCCGCCACCAGTGAGGAGATATGGTAGTCGGGTTAGAGTCGGCGACTCAGCGGTGGCAACCGCTAGTCGTGCGGAGCGCGACGGGAAGTGAGCTTCGGTACTTACGCTCGCACAGGTCAAAGTGCCCTTTCCGCATAACCAAGACGTTGATAGGGAGGGGCACTATAAACAAAACTTATATAGAAAGATATGTGACTGACCATCAAGATCATGTGATTTAACGCAGTGCGATTCTATCTAGGGTATATGCGAATAAACCACAAACAATTCCTGAGCTCAAGATCGAGATCTAACGCGTCATCGGTTAGATACAGCCACATCTTTGTCAAAACGAAACTTTCATGAAAAGAGCATAGGCGTTTCGTCAGAGCCGCGGAGGCCATATGCCGAATATTTTATTTCATGCTTAATAGGAACATGTCTACTTTATAATGCAATAAAAATATTACAACTCGCTCAAAAAATTCTTGTTTTATTTTTAAATGAAATAGTGCACTCTTATTGAGACACCCTGTATTAACCGCTGGGTCATTGAGGTGGTCATTATCATCGACAGCCCGACTTCACTAGATATAGTATGCTAGGTATAGGCCTCACGTAGTTAGCGCCATCCATCAAGATCCTGCAATTGCAATTTAAATGCCTAAAAGTAATTTTAGCCTTCACATAACTATGAAATATTTACCAAAAACCTGACACTATGCTGGTGGTACGATTTCTACACAATTCGGATCGCTCGCGATAGTCATTGTTGGCAATTTTATATGGACGCAGGTGGGTGGAGCCCGCAATTTATTCATCTCAGTCTTTATTGCTGGGTGTACCTTTTTCTCGTAATCGAGTCCACTATTGTAAACATCTACTCACAAACAACATAAAAACTGTTGACCATCACTATAAGTGGGCAATTTTAGAACTGGACAAATAATTGAATTTTTTTTTATAATATCAAGTGACGGGATGAACAAGGTCTGCACCTGATGGTAAGCTACATGCCTGTCCATAACAGTTGCAGTGCCACTGAGAGCTCTAAATCACAAAGATCTAAGAGGCATTGCCACTGCGCCCCTCGCCCTGAGACCTAAGTTGACATGTCCCATGTGCCTGTAGTTTCACCAGCACCCTTATTTACCCTTCAAAACCAGAACACAGTAGTGCTGGCAATACTGCTTGGCGGCAGAAATAGGTAAGGTGGCAGTACTTCCCTGGACTGCTACTAAAAATTTTTACTTATAATTTGTAACATTCACAAAGTAATATTTTCTTAGTCTTACCGGCTTCAGATTTTTCACTCGAGAGGGTTATGTATATGCAAATATACGCTTCTACTTATTTGTCTTTACCATTTATATAATAATATATTAATTTGTTTGATGTTTAAATAAAAAAAGAATATACAAAAAAAAATCTCTATAATCTTTCTAAATAACAACATAATTTGAATCACTTTTGAATGAATGAATGACATTGTAATTATTGCACAGTAAAAATCACAATGACACACAACATTAATGTAAAATATATTGGAATAGACGCCTGTGTTGTTCACTTTAGTTATTTCCATTGGGCAACGTAACTAATAAAAACAACAACGCAATTATTCATCTTGTAACTTCAAATCACTAAAAGCCAATGTACTCACTTATAATCCATGTGAGGCCATCTCTTGAAGGTCTCCTTCCTCTCAGCTTCCGAGTACATCAACGGCCTGGATTCTTCATCACGTGAGCAAGGGACAAGCTCATTTGCTCGCTGTCCGACTGCAGACGCGATGGCTAGTGCTGGAATCCGCCTGTTCTGACTCTTTAGCTCTTGTACCACACCGGTGGTGACCAGACGAACGGTGGATTGTGGTAGACGGATGGTCACTGTGCTCCACTGTGAAATATTACAATGCATAACAATTTTGCGAAACTGCTAACTGATTCAAACCACGCCAAATAATTTATTTAAATGTCGAGTACTTAGGTTTTAGCGATTGTTAGACATAGGGAATGAAACTACAGGGAAGATGGCTTATCCGTATTTCGTCTGATGAAAAAACCCAAACAGACATAAGACTACAGACTATGTTTATGTAAATATTAATATAACCATGTTAAGTATCTTTTTATTATATTGTATTATTAATTAATAATACATTTAACTTAATAAAATTCATATTGAGAAAATAAAATCATTTTTAAAATATATTTAGCGTTAATTTGTAATGTTCTTTTTAAAATTAAAAATAAGGTATTTAATTAGTAACTATAGTCGAAAAAAAGGGTAGTTTGCATTAATATAAGACACAGCTAGTTGATGACTTTACTACCTCAGTCAACCATGACCATTAGACCTGTAAAGGACCCGAAATGTCGGTTTGTTTGAAAAAACAAATATACGCGATTTAAATCCGGAAAAATAGTTTCATTTCCTAAATTATTTCAAGTGAAAATACCAGTTACAGATGGAAAATACACATAGAAAGATACGTGACGTGTTCACCTTACAGCTTTGTCTCTTTCAGATAACATGAGACAAGACGCGTGAATTAAATCCATAGCCTAACTTAAGACAGCTAAAGCAGACGCCACTCTATCCCAAGCATGCGAACCAACATTACTGTACCTATGTTACACTGTCACAGACAATTACAACATAGGTCATGTAATTATTGATTTACCAGTTTTCCATACATTTAAACTGCATTGTACTGGAGGTTTAGCTATTGTCAATTTACAGTAAAAAAAATGACGTCACTTGAGCGTGAGCACACACAGAAACTGTGTGCATTGATATGCTGTTTAAGGATATCAATCCACAACAAAAAAGTTTCTGTTGCGAATTTTGTATATTTGCACCTGCAGATGCTGCGATATCCTACCTTTTGTGCCTTAACGCCCTTACGAGCGGGTTCGATATTGATGGCAGTCTTCAGTTCGTTGATGAAATCTGTGAGACCCTCGATGGAGTGCTGATCCAAGCTCTGGAGGCATTGATATAGGAGAACCGCCTGCAACAAATATTTTCTTTGTTTACTTCTATAATAATATGCATAGTCCAACCCCTAACTCTTGACATACTCATTACAACAAAGAAAAAACTTAATACATAATGTTATTTTTGTTCCTAACATCAAAATCTACTTTCTTATTATAAATAGCAATATTAACAGTGGATGGAATCGTGGACAGAGGTAAACCTCGACGTACATATATCTCCATTAGATTGAAGGTGTCCATAAAAGAAAGCCAGGTTAAAAGTACCATGAATGTACGAAAAGCCTGCTGTGAGTAAAAAAAAACAAGAAATTTGTCAGGAGAGTAGGGAGTGGAAGTTCTTTGTCTTTGCCTACCCCAATGGGGAACGGGCGTGATGGTATGTATGCATATTAACTATTACCATTAAAATACCCTTAAATATATAAAAATTCATAGTTATTTTGACACATGTTCTATAGAAGTGAATAAATCAATAAACTAGACAATTCCTCATAACGCAAGCTCCGGTAGCTACTAAAAGAAACTACAAACATAAAACAAACCTTTTAAAAACTTCTAACCCTTTAGCGTTTAACATACCTCGTATAGTACATTTTGCATCATATGTATAATATAATAGTTACAGCGGTAATGGAAAGGTAGGATGCAATGGAAAACATAATTATTGTAGGTCATGCTTGCAAAGTAATAAGTTCTTAGTCTTCTTGGGGTCATCAGCATTGTTTGATTACAAAGAATAATATTGATAGCATTCAGATTTAACAGTTAATAAAATTATAACTTAGTGCAATCAATCATATTGATATTACGTTTAACACTTGAGTGAGCATAAACAATGCGTTAATTTATAATTCTGATTCACTAGTGACCAAATTGCGTGAAATTGCCGAAATGAGAATTACACAGTTCATTATCAACAACCCATTGCACGTCCCACTGTTGGGCACGTATCTCTTACTAGGGCGGTTAGTTACATTATATATTTTTAACGAAAAATATACATCGTGACGTTGAGTTGTGGAACAAATTACGATTAGACTCTAACAAAGGAATCAATGCTGGCCACAGTTACCTATAAGAAAAAGGAGTTGTCCAATTTCTACTTGCTTTTGGCTTGGTAGAAAATGGAGATCTCCTTCGTTCACAGTAATTGTGACGGATGTCGGATGGAGAAGGGTATTAGACCCCCACATGCGGATCGGAGCTCTTTAAATTATTTACAACGCTGTTACTGCAAGTTATAACCTAAACTGCCATTATTTAAAAAGACAACATAGAAGGGTTATGGTGGGATTTAGTTGATTTAGATTTATTTACTCTGGCATAAAGACGACCAAAATGGGATAAAAAGAGGAGTTTCTTTCGAAATCTAATAAAAATACTTTTTAAAACTTTTTGTTAAATATCAAATTTTCAATATAATGCGATTTCATAACAGATTATTTAGAGATAAGACATTCATCAGAAAATATTTTACAGCAATTTATGTAAGTAATTTAAGTAGTACTGTTATTCACGTATTATGATAAGTCTTTTGTTAAAGGTACTTATTTGTATTTATTTAACTTAACTGGTGTAATTTAGGTACTGTTGTTTTCAGTATTTAATAAATAAAATCATTAGTATACGTAATTATCATATTATTTACATATACAATATATTCGTTTGCTCTTACAACGACTCTGTGCACGTTAAACCAGAGAATTAATAGTACCAGAAAGTGATGGGTAACCCTACCACTTCACGTACACACGCTTTGCATTGCGTTGCGCGTGCAGACAGCGCCTTGCTGTATGTACTAGTAGTAGGTTAATAAGTTTCTAGCCTTGTGTGGAGTGTTCGAGGTGTGACTATCGTACTACACTTGTCGCAACCGCCCAGCTCTAGAGGCTGAGTTTTCTCAAGTGCATCGAAGCCTTTGCGCATAGTTTTCCAAAGCGGTCCCTACCGCCCGCCCCCAGTGGGCGCTGAAGAATCCCAGGGGGCAAAGTTTGAGAACCTACGCCTTAGAAGGTATCAGAATTAATTTCGAAAGTGTATTATTAGTAATTTCACGTCGATTTCAATAAAAAACAACTCGTTAATTTAATATACTACGTACATGTATCGAGCGGTGGTGTCCCAGTGGAACCGGACGGATTGAATGTCTATGGCTACGTATACGTAGGACTTTAATTTCTACGTTACGTATATTACGTATAATGTTTAGTAGGAAACGGTGAAGAAAACATTGGGATGAAACCTGCACGTGAAGAAAATACTCTTCCTTGTGTGAAGTCCCCAACTCGCATTGTGTTAGCATGGCAGATTATGGCCAAAGACACGTGTCCAGGAACGGGACGTTGATGATAACGACTACGTACAATTAAACTTATTTTAATCACACATGCTAGTAAGTAGTAGTATAACGTGTAGCGAAAGTATGTGGTACTTCTATCATACGACGTTAGGGCGGTAACGGGCTTTTTGTTTTATTCTACTCTCTTGCCGCCTGCTCGGAGCGCGGGGATCTTCAAGTAAACCTCGCGTCACGGCCCGAACTGGCAGTGAGTGAACTTTTTAATTTAATTTATAAAAAGTAATATAAATACAATACTGATTTCAACTTTCACGATTTTCACACTTTATTGACGATATTGATTGATTGATATTATATATTGGTTTTGAATTCGCGACTTAATCGGATACAAAAACTTTTTATTTACCTGACATCTCGGACGTATTGAGACCTAGGCGTTGCAATACGTCCCGGATTTAAAATCAAATAATAATATAAATAAAGTTAGCATTATTTAATTTATAATTTTTATTAGGTACATATAGAATAAATGCCATGACATAGATAACTTTAAAAGATTTTACGTTTTATTCATACTAACCAAAGCTAAATAAAAAAAAAATTGTGTAACATTTATTTGTGAAATATTTAAAAGATTATAAATATTATATGAATAATCTACAACATTAAGTCTAATTTTCCTTTTCTTCAACTTCCTCGTAAATGTGACAAAAAACTGTATGCCACATGAGCAGAACAGCAATTACAAATGTTCGAGCCATTAAAGATTTGAATGTCCCTGTTTAATTGCCCACCACCTTCGTGACACAATGTCCTACAAGAAACTAAATATAATCTTGTCCGGCTATTATTATTATTATTACATAGTTTTCCAACTACAAAAATACTATTGCTTTATCCTTTGTTGATGCAGGAGAGTTATGTTGTGACGTACACTGCTTGAATAGTCTTATATGAATAAATGTATGAGTTTGATGGTTAGGTAACTTTACAGTCATATAGGTCTCTTTTTTTATTAGATAAGGCTGTCATGATGCATGAAATAATTCAGTATTATTTTCTAAAGTCCACACTTCAGAGATATTAGAGTTGAAAGGAGACCGGTCAATATAAATTACTATTGAGAAATTTAACAGGTACAATGTTGTTTCTAATGATTATATCTTAACTATAGTTAAGTATGAATCAAATATGAAATGCCACTGCAGAACTATAACCAATTATTAACCTACCAGGTAACAGTTGAGGTAAAATTTTAAGTGCAGCAATCAACCGATGAGCAAGAGATAATGGCAAAATAATTGATTAGAATGAATAAGGTCAATATCTGACATACAAAAATAATCAGACATACAATTACAATTCATGCCCTTTTTCCATGGAGATAGGCAGAGCGTCATGTAGCAGTGCTCACACCTCATCAACTGGCCTTTTGTTAGGGCATCCTCGATTTGGCAATGACAATTATTCCTTGATTGGCCCTTACCAAATTGCCTGCTCACACTAACTAGCTTTATAAAACTGTTTGGTCAATCTCGTAACTCCAAAGTTTGGACTTCATAAAATAGTACTACACTGCTATACTAGTTGCAACCGAACCAGGGGTCTACTCTCGATCTTCGTCCGACATACGTCCGAAACAATTACTGCCAAATAAGCAATACTTGAAAATGAAAAGACGCGTGATGCGAATGAAGCTTCATACTTGATACTTGTCTTTTAATTTTGTTGAATATTACTTATTTGACAGTAATTGTTTCGGACGGATGTCGGACGGAGATCGAGAGTAGCCCCCCAGTTTCAGAGGCTCCCAAGTTTTCCTAAGTGCTTTTAAGTTCTACAGAGTATTGGGATTACATTAAGAAGAATATTAATAACTTGACATCATTTTCAACAAAAGATACTGAAAACACGACTGGAATTTACTTTAAGTACTACATACGTGTAAAACGTATTAACAAACTAATGTAATCCTGTCGGCCTAACATTAACAGTGAGTTTAGACTATCAGCTAAAGCACTTGAGTGATAAGCCCAGTATTGTAACATCAGCGTTATTATGTATTTTTTTAGATATTTTTGGGTAGATTTTTTTTGTTTGTGTCACAAAACAAAATACTAATAAATAAATAGGTGGATGGCACAAATTACGGAAGGCTCATACCTAGCGAAGGGTGAAGAGGCGCTGTGGCTGATTAATGATGATTGCTTGTCATCTCAGGTCTAGTAAAGAGGCTACGAAAGAGTGGATCTTCAAAGACTTTGAGAGTTCCAATGTCTCATTTTCAAAAACTAATTTCTTTGAATGACATGAAACATGATGACTGTGGTTCCGGACGCCTAAACCTATGGAAAAAGGGCGTGAAGTGTGTGTATGTGCACACAACAAAATTACTATCAATTCTAATAAATCCTAAAAATCCATCATTTTAGAGACCAAAAACAACTGATACATAAACAAACAGTAAAACAAAGATAGCTAGACCTGCCAGTTAAATTTGAGATATAGTGAATAGTGAAATCGAATGTAAATGGGAAAGGCAATTACTAATCGGTGTCTAACACACTGCACTTTAAAAATACATAGATGTAAGTTGGACTTCAATGTTTACAGCTATTTGCATGTACACATACACAGCTTCAACACGCGGACTAGCAATTCTGTATTATACAGGTATATCCTGAATTTTATGTAACCATTAAAATTTTTGTGATTAACTGTATTTATACATTTTTATTTTGCTAAAAATATGGGGCAATGATTATTTATTACTCGATATCTCATACAGGCAGACTTAAATTCTTTACAAAACAAAAATAAGTCACGGGTTAAGCAAAATGAAGGTCAATAAAACTGTAATGGTCTCAGCCAGTGCCATGAAAATTAAAAGCACAGTACATTATGGTAGATGATCGAAAACCATTGCACTTTTCAAAGAATTATTATTATTAAGAATACATATTGTTAAGAATGGTTGCTACCTACACCTATGCGCAACTATGGTCTCACTAAGGTAGTTTGCTAGCAGATAGCATAGCAAGTAATGAAGTTTTTTTACATATTCTCAAATAATTTCTGCCAGTGATTTTACAAAGAAACAAAAGCGATGCTTGGAATTAAATAGTATTTCATTTATTCACTTCTAAACTCTTCTAGTTATTTTAGATTTTGAGCACAGACAAATATCAATCTCTAATTATTTCACTTAATTGTCATCATCATATTAGCCAGAAGACGATCACTGCTGAACATAGGCCTCCCCCAAAGATTTCCAGACTAGCCGATTGGAAGCGACGTGCATACATCAGTAACCCGCCACCCTTACCAGGTCATCTGTCAATCTAGTAGGATGCCATCCTGCCTATTGCCTTCCAGTTCGTGGTCTCCATTCCAGAACCTTTCTGCCCCAACGCCCGTCTGTTCTATGAACTATGTGCCATGCCCACTGCCACTTCAACTTGTTAATCCTTTGAGCTATGTCGGTGACTTTACCAAATATGGAATGCATATAGGGTTACCAGAACCATGAACAAGGCTCACTATGTCTCAATGTGTCTCATACAATGGAACAGTTAGTTGCACTCACAAAATGAAGAAAGGGATTTAAACTTTTTCTTAGACACATTTCATTATGTGGTCACTCTTGCACAAATTGAGCAGTTTATTACTACAAAGATTAATTGAAAAAACAATTTCTTTTCAATAACTTGCTCAATTGTGGATAGATACTAAACATCTCAAGGCACAGAGTAGCAGAGACGTTTTTTATAACAATTGTATAATATTTCATATAATTTGGCAGCATCCATCATTAATTTTTCGGAGGAGGGGACAAACAATCATAACTTAACTCCTATACAGAAGTATGATTAATTATATTATTACACAATGATTATATCTATCAAAGTAATATACAATACAAAGAACTTAATATTTAATTCACTTTTTACAAGACTGTATGTTGTGAATACTATTACTTAACCAATTAATATAAGTGAAACTTTTATAATATTGTTTATAGATACATGTATAAATAATAGCATAGCATAAATTCATTCTCTTCATAGTGTTCCATATAACTATGTCATAGGAATTATACACGCCTATCTAGTGGAGAGCAATTCAGTTTTTGTAAAAGTACTGATCACTGAGAATTAGGAAAGGAACTTACCTCAGATAGAACAAGCTCGATCCTTATGATTTTGTCAGGTTGTGAGGATGGCAGCGGACGCTGCAGCGCGGTTCGTAGCAGCAACACCCCATTGTAATCCGTGCGCGCCCCTACGCCGCTACTGTCCCACACAAAGACCCGGTCGGCCCCACTCGCATACTCCACGCCAAGAGTACCTCCATCATCTAAAACCCATCGCATTCCGGTATAATTGGAATTGTTTATTGCGAACTGTCAAACGAAACAATGTAGGGCACGGAAAGATGATCATCCCAACCACCATCGCTACATCTTTACATTTAACCAAACGTTTAAAATCATGGAATTAAAACGAGTTTGTAACAACCTTTGTCTAAACAATAAATGCTTCACAAACTTACCCGCTGATAGGCAAGACGCTTCAAGTATCACACCAGAGTTCACATCCAAAACGTGTACACCACCTACATCAGTCTTCACCAAAATTATATTCAAATTACTGTGGTACGTTAAAGAAGTAACAGGAAAGTTCATGCGTATATAACCATCTTCTCGTAATATCAAAGAATCATCGCCCATCGTGGCCGTGAACACATCTGTCTATTCTACGTAAACGCCATTTGTAATTTATATTTTTTTATGTCAAATATTCCAATATGAAGTGGCCAGTCGTAAAATATGTCTGGAATTTCTGGAATCAGTCGAAAAAACGAAACCATTGATATTTACGATATGATTATTGTATGTATTTACACTTCAAATGCTCCTTTGTCGAATATGTCGAAAATTATATAAACATCACAACAAATAACAGCAAATTAAATAAAAATTACATAAAATCTGACGAGAATATAACAGTGTTGTTATACAAAAAAATATCGCCAAGACAGTAACAATAGACAATATAGTACAATAGACATAGAACGTAATTAGCCAAACGTTTGAACCAATACATACGTTATTCGTTATATTAATTTATAACGAATAACTTAAGTTAAAAGCTTTTTCTTCTGGCAATGTGGTTTTCTTTTGCAGTATCGGCTTTTAAAAATTATTCCAAAGCAAAGAACGAAATACTTACGATATAAATAGTAGAATGTATTATTATATCTTTAGTAACGGCGCCGAAAGCCTGTTACTTGTAGACAATTTGGAAATTAGCTGATATAAAGCTGAGTTCCTTTTAAATCTCAAAAAAATTCCAAAATCTTAAAGAATAGTTACTGTACTTATATACTATATTATGAATTTTCATACGTTTCATACATATATGTCAGTTGCAGCTCATATAAGTTGGTTAAGAATAGCAAACTACCCATCATATTTTTTTTCACACATTTTTTTATTATCTAATTATGTATTCAAAGCAGATACTCTAGACAGGAGAGCGATCTTTTGCTGTTTAACGTTGAAGGAAAATATTATATCTGTATTATATATATGCAGGTCACCTTTCGAATCCGCTTGGTCACTTGACACATTCCCAAATACAAGGAGATTTGTTGTCTCCAATGCATCATCGTTGTGGGCGGTCAATTCAAAACTTTTATGTGCACGAAAGGTGCCTACCGCTGCCGCACAATGCGTCATTTCGTTTTCAGTAGGTCTGGAGGAACCTGGGCTACAATCGGCAAGTACCTTTTGGCAAATTCTTTCGCCGCGACAGCAAGCATTATAGTTTGTACAATATGCCATCGATACCACATGAGAGATAGAGACTAGGGAATGCGAATCCGTACCATATTTAAAATCGAAAGCTATATGTTTTTATATAATATTAATCAAATATTAGTCTAATCTTATATAAGTGATTGAAATCAGTCTTCTTCGATTTTTTAACCCATTCTACTCCAGTGCTGGGCAAAGGCCTCCCATCTCTTATCCCATTGTTCTCGGTCTTGGACAGCCACTGTTTACAAAAATCTTTAACATAGAAATAATACAAAAATAAAAACGATACTTCGTAACTGTCAATAAAATGTAAAAAATCCATCCTCTAAGAAAAAATCAAACGTAAGTGTTTAGAAATAACCACATTTTTTTTTTCTAAAATAAAAAAAAAAACTTATAATTGTTGTATCATGTAACCTGCAGAGGATTCTGTTGCATTAAATTCCAAAATTCTATTATGAAAGCGTGAATAAAATTGTTAGAAAATCCGGATTTTTTAAATTACGGATTATCTAGATAGCAATAAATCCAGTTTGATTCTACAAATCATAGAAAAAATATATTTCTCTGATTAGAGAGAGATTAGATCTGAGATTAAAATATGGATACTGTTATTTCTATTAAGTTAATAAAAATATAACGAATTCTGTAGCACATAGCTACTTACATTCACGACGTCTTTAGTAGGACGTGAGCACTGTACCGTGGGGTACAGTAAAATTAGTGAATGAAACCAATAAATATATGTATATTCTCGCTTATACATTGATAACTCATTAATATGTATAAATAAATATAATCACATTATCCGCATTGATCCACTCATATTTCCTTTAATTTTCAAATCGTGTTTTCTCAATTCGACAATGTTGAGTAACGACAGTATTTGATTTAATGTGCGAAATGTCGAATTTATCAATTAAAATATCATATCATACAAGTGCCTATTATGCAAGTAAAGGTGAAACGACATTTTTTTACATTATTACAATACACGTTTTAGATTTGAACAACTCGAGAAGGATACGAAATAAAATAAAACATTAAATTATTTACAAAAGTTTATTAATTTTTGTAAACTGTCATATAAAAATAATTATAGTAAATTTATATACCTACGTACATATATGTACGTACTAATAGTCAATAAAATGCAATAGTAATACTTGCTTATCATAATAATAATTTTCCAAAATCGTTCAGACGTGATTTCGAGTACATTTTAGCAAGTGATGTGTTATAACATTCCAACCGCAGGATAAAAACTCCCGTGCCTATTTTGTATGGTTTTCGAGGAATTTTACTTCAAAATTTTTAGAGATGTTGATATAAAACTTGAACAGAAAAATAATAAAATTTTGCGTTCAACAAAATTTCTGGCGTTCTGGAGTCTACCAAAATCATTTCTGAGTCCTACTAACATGAAATAACGAAAACAATATAACAGTCTTAAGGAAATTTTATCATTTTCTTAACTAGCATATTGGAAGAGCGGCATCGCTACAATATTAAGCATTATTAATATTTTAAAGTTATAATCAGCTCTAATTTTTTTAAGTATAAAAGTCGAAGAACTCATATATAAAATAAACTAAAACTTATTTGACAGATTGATAGCAACAATTTTATGTCTAAAATCAACAGAATAGAATTAATATATTTAAACAAGTTGTGTTGGTACTTTGTGATAAGTTTTCTCAAGAACCACTCAAAATTAGCTCATGGGAGTTTTAATCCTGCGTTTGGAATATTAAAACGCATCACTTGCTAATCTTCACTCGAAATGTCACGGGATATGGAATGACTGGGAGTTAGTATAAAAATATGGACGGATTATTATTTTATAATTAAATATTCACTATAATATTAACATAGTACTTAATTGTAATATATAAACTAGTTACATTAACCATTACATATAATCGGCATGTAAGTTGTTAAAGTGAATTTTTGAGTAAAAACTTAAAATAATATCTTATTATAGCAATTAATAAATATTGTCTATACATTTATCTAGTATAAAAAAGATTTTGTCCCATATTCCTTTTTACTTAGCACATTGTCTTATGTCTACGTAAACACCATTATTGTCAATGTTCGGACGTTTACGATGTACTATAAATCCAATGGTGGCACTTTACATGACTACTTGTATTTGATATATTTGGCAAACAATCACAATGTCTAGACAGCATGTGTGACAAAGTATTTGCCTTGTTTGTTTATTCGACAAATACAGCAAACACCAAATTCGTGTTACCGCGCGCTGGTCGGTTTCTCGACGCACATCAAAGGAGACAAATAAGCAAATACGCAAGTAAACCGCCCACACTATGGTCATATTCGAAGCAGCAGCAGAGCTCCTTCTGAAAGAGTTCGTCCAGGGATTGCCACCTTTACCTATTTCTGCCGCCAAACAATAATGTCAGCATCACTGTGTTCTGGTTTTGAAGGGTTAAGGGTGCTGGTGAATTTGCAGGCACATGGGACTTGTTAACTTATATACCAGGGTGACCGGCGCAGTGGCAGTGCCCTCAGATCTTTGCTATTTAAAGCTCTGAGTGGCACTGCAACTGTCATGGACAGGCGTATAGCTTACCATCAGGATCACAACGTGTTCGTGCGGTCACTTGATATTATAAAAAAAAATAATTTATTATTTTAAGTCCTTATTTGGCTCCATGTGTAGACGGTCATATTTGTCAGTGTTTGCATGTTATTACGCCAGTATATACACACTTATCTATGCATGTTATGTGTAGGTACGTCAAATATTTTTCCAAGTACATACATCAAACACCCAATAACGATTTATTAAATTATATGTATAAGTAGCCATGGGAACTGCCATAACATCACGCGCGGTTGCATTTATATAGAACACCGAACTGTGCATGTAAATTAAAACATTCAACCATTTAAGTACCTGTAGCACCTGTTAGCTAACCGCGTAGTTATATTAAAAAAACGCTTAGTGACATTGATTTTTTATACTTTTTTAAATTTATTTTATGACCTTCATTAAAAGCGATACAGAGCCGGAACCACTGTTTCTACTAATTATCTTTAGTGTTGCCGTTTAATCCAATATTACTTTCTACTAAAAGAACAATAGCGAAATAATTGTTGAAAAAATTCTTTAGCGTCTTCAAATGTCATATTACGAACTTGAATAAAATAAATTCATTAGGTTTTTGAAATTATAGTAAACGCTGGTCTATGTGTGGAAATAAAATAATATTTAAATTTAACGCGAATGATTAATAGTATTATGTAACCTAGACAGATCTACAACTGACAGGAGAAAAAATGGCAGGTTTTTTAGTTACGGTTTTTTACAAATAAATTTTTAGATGAACTAACTTAATGTGGACAGACCCACGTCCATATTAAGTTAGTTCACGTAGTATCAAATGTACTGATCGACTGATTTGCATTAAAAGTAATCTCTGCTACTAACTACTTTATTACAGAAAATAAAATAGATAATTCCTTTTCCAAATATGCCACGCGAAAAAATGACAAAGAATCTCCCGATTTCAGGGATCGATGGCATGTTTCACAAAAACATATTTGATTCGGAGTTACTAGAGCATGATATTATGTATTAATTCACTTTTTTGTGATGCCTGTTGACCATATCTTATAAAAAAAAATTCTTCTAACTTTAGTCTAACTTACACAAACCCACAGCACCGGTCGGCTTTTATTAACTCTAATTATGGCTTCTGTACTGTATTTTGATATAATACTTTAACAATTATGTAAAACATAACCTCCGAATCTTCAAACTGTAAAAACTTTAAATCCAGGCTTCTCAGAATAGTAAATCCAGAACCCAATTTGTTCAGGAATTTCAACTTTGTATTTTTACTTATTTTTCATATACATACAGAAGCAAACAAATTAAGTCAACAAAAATTTATATGGGAGTTCGCTATTGTTCTTTTTTGAGAGTGTTGCCCTTTAAATTACAACTTTTACTAAGAAGTGTTGCCACACTGAGCCAGAGAGACAAAATATAAATCTCTTTCGCCTTCCACGGTACTTCGGCTATTAACGTCCTTATAATCTAAAACTCCCAAGATTCGAGCCACTTCAAACCAGACATAGTAGAGTTTGGCTCATGGGCCAACGGCCCATTCATTCCATATGCTAAAGGCGAAAATAGATAGAAACTATACACCGTTGTTGATATTATGATTCCCATCACGCAGTGGTACATTGTTTTGCCTAGTTCCGGGCTGAGGTAGCTTCTTATACTGGATAGGAGGTATTCCGTGAGGATGCCTGTAATGGAATAGTTAAATAAGTTGATGACGTTGAGTTGGTTCAATAAAAAAGCGTGTCATGAGGCTTATAGGTGACTCGGATTTAGGCAAGGTGAAACTGCAGAGCCTTGGCTACTGCCGTCACCTTGCCTGTTTATCAGTATTCTACAGGATATATTACGGAAGTTTGATCAATGATAATGGTCGTAGCTATAAAAACAAAACTGCGGCGTGCTCAGTGATACCGAGCCGGCGCGAAATACCTCAGCAACCTTGGGGATGCTTCGGCAGCTTTCGGATTGCTTCGGCAGGTTTCGGGACGCCAATTGCGACCATGCGGTTATGCGGGGCGAGGGAAGGCAAGCATCGCAGGACTGATCTAAAAAGAGGTCAGGCGCGAGCACGATGTCGCGACGGCATACTTCGGGATGCCTACCTAGGGATACCGCGGAATGTTTAAGGACATCGCGGCATGATTGCCATCAGTGTGTGCTTGCATGTAGGGATGCCCAAGGATCCCCTGCCGTCCTGTCCCGGCGCCGGGCCTAACTGGGTTTCAATCTCGTCCCATTAACGTCTCATGTACCCTCTAATTTTTTTTCGTTAACTTGGACACTTTGTTAGACCACTTTAAGAATTATCGGTCTAGTACATTCCTACAGGATATAGAGCGCTCCCCTTCCTCGCCCTATAGACTATGAGAGGACGGAGTGAGTTGGAGGTTGGTGAGAGGAGAGAGCTGAGTGGATAAGCCAAGTACCTGTGAGCATAGAGCTGAACTGTAGGGCTGGGAAGTAGTGGTGGAAGTAGAGCACGCGTCCCATTGCCCAGAACGGCACGTAATGTAACGCCCAGCCAATGAAGTTCCATCCAGCTGCATTTAGAAGGATGCTGGATTTACCACCTAGATAAAACAATAAATTATTGTACACTGCTTCAGCAAGGTGTTTTTTATTAATACAATGATCGAACACGCTGGATGCGAACCAGCGTCTTCCAGCAAATCGTTGCAGACGCTATGCCAAACCACGGAACGAACTAGTGGACCTTAAGATTTTTTCTATGTGCTTGTTGCAGATCTTTGTTTTTGGTTTTTAACAACTTATATTATTATATAATGCCGTAGCGCCATCTGTGAATCTCATCCGTTCGCCACGCCTGTCAAACAGTGAAACGGAACTTTTTGACCTTCGGCTCTTTACAGGCCCCACGGCCACTGCCGACTGACCATGGGACTTGTGCATGGAGGCCGAAAAGTTTGCATCACGAGTCACGAAAACCGAGAAGTAGAAACGGAGTTGTCTATTAAGGGATAAACCACACTTCGACCCTTCCTACGTAAAGTATCGTATGTCGAAATTGCCATGTTTACAGGGGAGCGTTTTAATGTTTTGAATTCACTGAAATGAGCATAACACGTGACTTTATTTCTCAGTTTTATTCGGCAAAACTCACACAGAGTATTATAAAATCCTAGATATCGGTAGACGAACAACCATAATTTATTTTATCTTTTTACAATTTAATTTAGCATTTCTATGCTAAAGTCACGTGTTATACTCATTTCAGTGAATTCAAAACTTAACGATCCCCTGTAAACTTGGCAATTTCGACATACGATACTTTACGTAGGAGGGGTCGACTTATCGACGCGGAATTGGATGAGGCGATCATGTTTTAAGTACACTTGTCGCATTAACGATTTCTGCGATTTCTTGGTTATAAGGCCAGACAACAGTCTTTAAGCTATGAGCACCGATACAGGAGGTATCACTTTCTACCTCTTCATAAGCTTCGCAAAGTGCATGACGTTTGTTTTGTATCTAACCTGGCTAATGGCGACATTGACTGTCCGGAATTACTATCAAAAATTGGTCTTAGCACTAACACACTGGCTTTGAGACGGCGCCCCTTGCTTCACATGCCACTTTATCAAAAATTGCCGACACAACACATTCATATTGCGTGGATGTGAAACATATAACAAGTACTGCACCGACTGTGACTTTGATTTGTTTGCGACAATCACTGCCACCATTAGTAGAACTATTGGTTTGAATTACTTTGGACAACAATAATTGTAGGTATGCTCAAACTTATTTTATATTTTATACAATAGATGTAAGGTGTATATGTAACATATATAGGCAATCGAAATATATAAACTATAAAAATATAAGTAAGATCAGCATTACTTATTGGTTTGTAATTCTGATATCCCAATGTTGAGGTTTGTAATAGGCTTTTTTTGATATTGTATAGTTTTATACACCATTTTTAACTTATAGCTGTAAACCTTCTTAAAATAAGTAAAAAAAATAAAATTAAGCCGATTCGCCGCCTTTTTCCACATTGATTTTGTTATAATAATTATAAGAAACTAGTGGAGTAATTTCACAAAAAATAATTGAATACCGTTGTATTAAAACATCGTAACATTCAATAAAACTTAAAAATATTTAGCACTATTCGTGGACTAGTTAAAATAAGACACTTACCTTCCGAAGTAGTACCAAACGCCTCCGCCCTCTTTTCCCTCACAGAATTAATGACGTATATCACAAAGAATACAAAGAGGAACAATAGATTGATCCACCAGACCACTGGATTGCCTAGCAGGTAGATTCTGTGCGTACTGCCAGAGAAGAATTGACCCTGGAATTGAATTAAGATTACGCTAAGTTGATCTACAACCTGTTTAGGGTTATTTGAAAGAAGTCTAACATTAAATGCCTAATGGTCTGCCCAGACTCTCCAACTAGCCTACTTGCACGTTTGCGTTTGAGAGAAGTTGACATCTCGTCAGTTCTTACACCACTATAGTAGCATTTGTGCAAAAAGAGCCTTTTTAGAGTTGTCAATATCACTGTATTAAACATTTACACTCCTTTCTTCCACGTAAATAAATGTTGTACCTCACTAATCTGCACTTAAAAGCACCGATTCCATATTAAACGAATTTTCTATATGAGGTAGCATGAACACGTCTCGGCATCGATGGATTATACATTTGTGTTTATTTACACTTCTTTCTTCTACCTAAGGGTTGAACCTCACTTGCCAGCACGCAATAGAATAGAATAGATAAATTAGACAAATAGATTCAAAGCATATTGCCAAAACTTTTACACGAGCTGCCTGGGGGTGAAGTATACGCAGAAAACCCTGAATACATTAAGGATGCAATATAACAACGCTTTCAGGACGCTAATGGGGCTGCCGCGACACTGTAGTGCATCCGGAGGCGCACACAGATGGCTTTTATGCCATTGTTCACAAGAGGGCTGCCTCACTCATGATGCGAGTGCGCAGCAGCGCTAATAGCATCCTTGCCGTTGTTACCAACAGGCTGGATTGCCCCTACCAATAACATTGGGTGCAACTATACGTGCGTAGGGTAGTGGTCTAGTCGTGGCATTTCTCTAGTATCAAATAATTTTGTGTTGTATTAACCATACGACGTAAAGAAAAATTTACTGTATTACTAACATTACTATAATAATAATAATAATAAAGAACTTTATTTATCTACATTTACAAAACAGTTTAGTCGTAAATAACATCACTTATAGATACTGTGTAGATAAAAAGGATAGAGTCTCAGCTTAAGCTGTTTTTCAGAGCCTACCTTTTTGAAACTCGCTACATTTCAATCATAGTATTTGTCTGACGCGTATCGAGTAGCTCCAAAAGATATCACAAAATAATAAATATACATATATAATACTCACTTAAAGTTATAATAAATCTATTGTCCTTATAGTACCTGAGATAGATAAAATATTCCACCTAAAAATACTCAAATTTGGGGTTTAGGTAGAGATGAACAGCACCCACACGTAAAAATATAATTACAAACTACATCCAATTACTTTCTGATCTTTGCCTCGAAAGTAACCAAAGCTTGCACTTTCTTTTAAAAGTACAAGATGGACCATGGTCTGAAAGAAATAATACTATTCTAACGTTTATTATTACGAATGGCTTCAAATCTGAAGTGCACTGATAAGTGAAGTCTAACCCTAACACATACTTATTATTATTTAGATCTATAATTTATTTAGACTGTCACAAAAACTCGAAAAACATTCCTTTGGATAGTTATGGTTTTTTCGAGAATTAATACATACCCTATAATTAATAGGCCACTGCCAAGGTTGCGAAGTGACCTCTCCCTCCTTGGGTTTGAGACCAGCGTTGCCTTGAAACATGACAGCGTGGGATTCGAGGAAGCGTTCAATAAATCCTGACGCGTACGCTTCGAAACTCACTTTTGGCACTGTAAATAGAATATTGGTTAATTTAGGTACCTTTATATCATATAAACCAACTTCGGTACGACATTGGAAGATGTCGGTGGTCTAGTAATTTACACTATAAACACTGAATGAGTCTCGGGTTCAATTGCACATCGGAACAATTTAGGAAATTAACCGTTCTAAATTGGTTATAGTTTGGGTGTTCTTTGTAGTGCCCCGGAGTATTTAGAATCCCATACTTTCAGACCAAGTTATTATTGTTTCTTTTTTCGTTACCTCCATTTACCGACCGAAATCAAACCAATGCTGTAAGGTAAAATGTCTTTTTCCATGTGCATGAACTTTCTGACAATTTGGCGTGTATTTACAATTACAACTTATATTATTATTGCAGAACTGTCAATAAATTACATTGAACAATTTTTTCAATTATATATGTCAATAAATGAATAATTAAATTTAAGTTAGACCACACATTGCACATCAGATCTTTGCGATTTACAGCTTTGAGTGGCACTGCGACTGTTACTCCCTAGATAGGCGTGTCGTTTACCATCACGCCCCCAACCTGTTCGTCCCGTCACTTGGTATAATAAAAAAACAGTATGTTTTGTTACAGAGGGTCTACTTTCGTTCTCTGTCCCACATTCGTCCGAAACATAGGCCTCCCCAAAGAACGCCACACTTGAGATCCAGACAGATTCCCGTGACCTTCACAAGGTCATTGGTCCATTTCGTGGGTGGTTTGCCCAAGTTGCGTCTTTCGGTATGCGGGCGCCACTTGAGAACTTTTTGGCCGATGTTTATAATCTATTAATACAAAGGAGCTTGAAATGAATCACGACGATTTGAAACCGTCACGATAAATCGCCGTGTGCTCCAAAACGAAACCTATCGTCTTCTAAATTCGTATACCTGGTAACTTCCATTAATACGAACTGTTGATTAGGCAAAAAAACAGAATTATAATATATATATTAATACCTTTATTTTATAAGTAAAAGATGTGTACAAATTATACTTAAAAAAAAGTGTTTTGATGAAATGCAATTTCGATAAACAGTACATCGTCGATTTATTTCTTCAAATTTAGATAAAAATGTACTCACGATCCTCAAAAATGTTATCCTCGACGTTCCATAGGGCGTTTTTGTCTCTCAGGTTCGGATTGCAGGCGACTTCTTGTTGTTCATATCCCCACTTGGGCAATTGCTTGCCAGTCGTTGTCAGTGCACAAGCCTGAAATTAATAATTGTAACAATATGTGCGAATAAAGTTTACAAGTCAAGCTGGTAAAATTTAAAATATAAAATCAATGTAAGAAAAATTTGACAACAAAATACTAACACTTCTTAAGAAGCAGAGCAATCTTATTTGGGCTCATTTATTGTATTGGTGTTAATAAGTTGTTGGCTTATAGATTTTGTATCAAGGGATGTTCGAATTTTAATTTAATTACTTATATTTTAACTAGATCGTGGTCAAAAAAGTACCTGCAAATAGTGAATGAACAGAATTTTACTCTTAACGGTTTGCACTACGTCGCCATCTTTGCCGCCAGAGATTATGATCTTCCATACATCATTAGCATCTCCGATGCCATCCTGAAGCAAAATAATTATTTCTGATATAGTTCACTACAAACAAAATAAATAGGACTTCACACACACGCACTTTTGCACGCACGCACACACTGTATAAATTGTTAAATGTTTATTTTTTAACCGACTTCAACAAAGTATTTTTTGTATTGTATTGTATTTTTTTTTTGTATATTACGCAATGACTTAGGCATTTGTGAACCAACTTTTATGATTCTTTTTTTTGTTGGAAACAGGGTAACCTTGGTGGACCCAAGAAAATATTCACCTCAAACTAGGGGACAAATCCGATATCGCGCACCTTCCGTTAACAGGTTTTAATAACACTTAGCAAATACATGTAATTCCAATAAAAAAGTCGATAAGCAACCTTTAGAGGTCGGTGTTTTTAAATAAAAAAGTTCTAATTATTTCTCTCTATTGTGTGTATACAATGTCTGTTATTGAGCCATAAATAAAATAAATAAATAAAAGACTGATGCACTACGGTAAGGCACCCACTTTCTGCCCAGTTCTACTGTTAACTAACAACTTACCTCTCCATATCCAGTGACTTGCATAAGTTTATTCGTAACTGGTGCCTTCTCTCTATGCGAGTGCAAGTTTCTGCCCGTAGGCGTGTGAGTTAGTCTAACTAGATCCCCGCTCCGCACTAAGACGACGCCATCGACTTGTTCCTTATTATAAGGCTTTATCATCCATCTGTTATTTTCATCTTTGTGTGTATATGTTGTTATCTGAAATAAACACAGAACAATAAATACTAAAAAATGCCTTATTGAGCTGTTTTGGAATACAAAAATGGTCTCTTCTTATTCTTATCTATATCTTATTTTAATAAATTTTGAACTTTCTGTTTATCGAAATCATTTTTTTGTTACAAGAAACGAAAGCAAAACTTATACCCCTGCAATATGGTCGCTTCTTTTATGGAGAACTAAATTAATAACTCCAATTCGTCGTTGTTCAGCAACCACTAGGTGGCAGCACATTGATTGAAATTTCAATATAATATCAAAATTGCAATAATAGGTGTTGATGGTATTAAGCTTTCAACGATATGCCAACACGATAATAAAAAATCCAAATAAAAAGTAATAATAATAAATTTAACAAGGAAATTAAATAAATAGATTTCATAAGAAATCTCCAGTAATGTATTCTTATAACATTCCTTATAAATTATGTTAATAATAGTAAGGTTATATTATAGTAAATTTTAATTTAAGGTTATATTATATTAAATCGGGAGCTGTAGAAGTCCAGAAGAGAGGCCGTTTGCCCCAGTAGAGGACACAATAGTAGGCTAATTAAAAACAGTAAAAAAGATATGTCCCAAATTCTGCACATTTATTACTCGGAAGTTTATTGTAGACTTCCGAAATGTCATTATCTGTGTTACAAATACCTTATAATTTTTGACAAATTCCTTTTTACTCTATATTTTTCTTTTATAATATCTAGTGACGGGACGGGACGAACATGTTAATAATTTCAATTTTAAATTTTCAAGTGCGCCTGACGGTAAGCTGTCACAGGCGTGTAGCATGTACATGTATTATTTAAAAAAAAGAATAACAATATCTCAATGATCTGTTACATTAATTTACCTAAAAAATTCGCTTATTTGACACCATTATTGTCGAGTCGATTTCAGAGCCGAGGTTACCGGATGCAATTGCGTTCCATTATAAAATGTTTATTTGATTGTTAAGGTGCGCAATCAAATAACGTAACAGTATTGAAGTTTCATATCATAAAAATGTCGCGTGTTTATTGTTGTTGCAAAATCCGGTGCAGTTAAGCAAATTTGACAAACAAACATATTGGAATTTGGTTACTACCTTAACCATTACAGATTTAGGGGCTACTCGCAACTATCAACTGCTCTGGGGCAAACCATTGAGAAATATTATATAAACGTCTAATTTAAAAGCTAAATGAAATGTTAAATAACATAGAAATAAAAATCCATTATAAAATTTTACTTATTTTCAAGTCAGATAAGTACGGGACTCCAAACAAGATTTCATTTTTTAATTTTTTATAATATCAAGTGACGGAATGAACAAATCGTACGCCTGGTGGTAAACGACACGCCTATTCAAAATAATTGCAGTGCCACTCAGAGTTTTACATCGCAAAGTTCTTAGGGGCACTGCCACTGCGCCCGTCACGCTGAGACATAAGTTGTGAAGTCCCACGTACCTGTAATTTGACCAGCACCCTTACTTACCCTTCCAAACCGGAACGCAACAATGCTCATATTACTGTTTGGCGGCAGAAATAGGTAAGGTCGCAGTACTTCCCTGGACGAACTCTTTCACAAGGCTCTCTGCCCCTACTAAAATAATTTAAATAATTATTATGTAATGTTTTCACCTACCACCTCTAGAGCAACTTAAGTTTTGAATATATATGCGAAATCTAATTCGAAATTTATCATGAGCTTTTCGTTGAAGGACATTATAGCGAGGAAACTAGCGCATTTCTGCAAGTTCCCAACCCACATTTGGCTCGCATGGGAACTGAAAATAAACGGCTAACTATTATTATTTACTATGTAGACGAAATACACAAACCTGTTGCTGTCTCGCTCCCACGCCTTGCGGATACAAATGGTGATGAGAGTGCAAATATCCGCCGCCAGTTCTATGGTTCTTAAGCGATATAAGTGCATTGTAAGCGAGAACGCGGGGTGCGCTTGCGTTGTGCAGACTATTGCCTTCTAGGCGGGCTTGAAAGCCGGACGAATAGAAGCCGTCGCCGTTGCCACTAAAAAAAATGAGGTTGAAACTAAATACAGAGTACAAAAGTAGTAGTAGTCATTTCAATGCTTGAACAAATTTTGCTTTAAGATATAACAGTTTCTTTTAATAACAATAACGCAATTTCCTTGTATCTTCTACGGTTTTGGATTTCCTCAAGCTGTCCCATTAAAAAAACACTGTATATGCACCGGGGAAACCCTGTGTCGCAGGTGCCATGGACACACACAATAGACAACCACAAATTACACCCAAACTCACTAGAGAAATAAATGTAGGCCATATAAATATTTATTTCGGCCCGAGAATCGAACCCGAGACCTCTGCGTGGGAGTCCAGCATGGTAACCGTTCGGCCACGGAAGCAGTTTCAACTACAAACAGTAAGTTACAGTAAAGCAAAATTGCTCTTGTCTGGTACTATCAGTAACGTCAAAGCCTTCCTAATTTCAAGATAGTTTTGTTGACAAGCGGAGATTGTAGCTAGTCTCGTCGCACATTTTGTTAACTCTTTAAGTGAAGACTTTTTGTTAATAAGAACATCATGATATTAATAATAAAAAAACACTAGAAAAAGTCACTAAAACCTGTCTCTGAAGCTTGTACAAGTCACGGACTTACTCCATCGCAATTGAATTATATAATGCTGTAACTACAGACAAAATTAAAGAAATACGAAATTATTTGAAAACCTTAAAACATACCTCCTGAAAAACAAGTTATTGACAATAATGCATTGTTGTAAGTGACACCATACACTTTCTGACATAAAATTTTATTATAATATACATGTATTATATTTTTCTTGTAATCAGTTGTGTGCTCTGCTGGCTATGCGACCCAAAATATGTCTCATGCCTCCGAAATAGGATTACACTTTCTTCGGTCCTGGGCAGTTAGGCGCCAATCAATGGCTTGATTTTTTTTATAATATCAAGTGACAGGCCGAACAAGTCGTACGCCTGATGGTAAGCTACACGCATGTCCATAACAGTTGCAGTGCCACGAGTTTTAAATCGCATAGATGACGAAAGTTGACAAGTCCAATGTGCCTGTAATTTCACCAGCAAACTTACCTTTCAAAACCGGAACACGGTAATGCTGACATTACTGCTTGGCGGCAGAAATAGGTAAGGTGACAGTACTTCCTTGGACGAACTCTTTCACTAGGAACTCTACTGCTACTGGAATTGTATGTGCTTAAAATTAGATATCTACATAAATACTGACCTTTTGCTAAGTACTGTGAGATGGATCCAAAAGAAGAATACGTAGAGTATCATAGGCCATATTATTAGGGTTATGATTCGTCCAATTAGATGCTTCACTGTTAAACTCTGCAAATTACAAAAAGTGAAGTTTAAAACGGTAAGACAGCATAAACTAAATTTCAATATCGTAAAGATAAATTGTACCTCTACCATGAGTTTACAATGACAGTTGTCGCTAGCGATCGTGTAAAATATTTGTATATAAAGTGTTACTTCTCCTCGTGATCGTTAGGGGCGTTGTACAATTTGCCAAACAAAATTTACTAATATTTTACCCGGTCCGCAGAGATAAATAAAATCAAAAAGTCAAAATAAAGCCACTGAATTAAATTAGGTTCAGTTTGAGCGTATGAATCGATACAATGTCGTCTTTAGAATATTTATTCACATACATTTCACACACGTTTCACATCGCATTTTGCTCGACTGCAATATAAATAGTTATAATGATTAAAAAAACTCGATTCGATTGTAAAAAGAAGTCCACTTACGAGGTCGCCTGGTAATATGTATATAAACACAATAGCATTCGCGTCCCGTGTTATCTCTCGATGAATCACTCGAATTGTGCTACAAATAACTGTTCCATTACCATTAGTATTTGTATACAAAGTGCTACTTCTTCTCGTGACCGCTAAGGGTGCTGTACAACTTTCCACGCGAAATCGATAAATATTGTACGCAATCGCTGGCGACAACTGTGACTGTAAACCATAGTCAATTGTCGTCCTATGTCAACTTGCAATAATAATGATAATAATGTGCCAGACAACCACACGAATTACCAGGCCTCAAACTATGAAATCCCTGTATTATGAGCACCATAATAACGAATTAACTCCGGGTGCTCAGACCAAAACCAATTTGGAAAAATGATTTCCCAAGTTGATACTACGGGGAATCGAACCTGGAACAGCACTCACAATGCAAACTGTTGGGCCACCAAGGTCGTCAAGATATCTTAATTTCTAAATATAATAAATAATTATAAATAAATAATTAAATATCTTAACTGTAGTAGCGAAGTAATGAACAGTTAGAATGAAAATGGCTAACAATGTCGTCACTCAGGAACATTCCATTTAGAACACCCAGACCAGTACCAAGTTAGAAAAAGTATATTTTCCAAATTGGTCCTTCCAGGAATCAGCTTACTCCTACGACCTACTTATTTTAATGCCCACAATACTAACATCTAAGTCATTGAGTTATCAATAGACGTCATTCGCCTCGTCACTGACTTGCGCTAAAAAAATAGCTCCGATGCCAGCCAGCTTGAGGCGAAGTGAGTCATTAGCCTTATAACGCGTCCATACCCATGACACATTAACGTGCTTTAAAAATACCGTTATTAATTTCAAAAACACGTATACTTACAACAGGTTTATTTAAGTCACCAAGGACATTCCAAAGGTCAGCAACAGTGCGTAGTCCAACAAACAGGACGACAAACAGGCCGACGAATTTAACCGACATCGTGCACGCTAGAGACGTGCCCGTGAATAGTTGCCATAGTAACAAGCGTATGTTGGAAGGGGCTTTGCCTTCGTCTGTTAGTGAACGGACCTACGAATCAAATTATAATAAAGTATAAGTAAGTGTCGAGTTTCTAGGTTCTCGCGATTGTGACACATAGGACGTGAACCTATGTTTCAGATCTAAGCCCCGTGTACTTGTCTTTTCAAACAAACCAACGTTTTGGGCCCTTCAAAGGTTATAGGTTACCTGTTATGTTTAATTAAATCAAGTACCTGTACCAGTTATGTAACTAAAGTTATTAATTAAAAACCTCATTTTCATTTTCCAAAGAACATTCCAATTTACGCTACAAATATTTTTACAAAATATTTTACTTTATTTTTACAATATGAATTTTTAATTAAATAAAATTTATCACTAATTCATAATGGAAATTAGAAATAAATTAAAATTAAACATTTTAAATTAAAATTAGTCAGCCAGGGCTCAAAATGTTGATGTTTGTTCAAAAAAACAAATGTACGCGATTTAGATTCGAAAAAAGTTTTAATTTCTTGAAGTGATATGTCACACAAGGTGATAATCTAGAATACTATATAACTTTCATAAATCATGAACAGACACGTATCTACACTGAGCGGCACGGAATCTTGGCCAAGCACTAATCTCGCGTTTGCAAAAGTTTTAAGTGTTTCTAATAAGTACTTCTCATGAAGGTGTGTAGAAAAAATGTTTACCCTCATTTCAAGAGGGCAATTAATTATTTTTGAGTGCACTGTCACACAATTTTTAAGTTTTAGTTGAATCGGGTCATTTGGGCAATAAGGTTGTGGGATAAAAGTTTAAGGTTTGCAAAGCGTACTGTTAAGTTACCGACGTCTTGTGTTTTTGAGTGTTTAATACCATATTTAAAAGAGAAAATTTGTCAATAAAAATGCCCTTAACACCAACCCAAGTTGCACAGGCCGTAACTTTAATTGACCAAGGGCTGTCACAACGTGAAGTGGCTATCATTCTGAATGTGCCACGTTCTTCAATGCAGTATGCCTTAAAACGATACCAGGAGACAGGCCACTATACTCGCAGACCAGGCAGTGGTGGTGTTAGGTGCACATCGGCTCGGGATGACCGTTTCATTGTTCTGGAAATTTTGAGAAACCGCTACCTTACCGCTGTAGAAATTCGCAATCGGCTCCAAATCGCGAGACAAGTAAATGTCAGCGAGCGTACCGTGAGAAGACGTATGGAAGAAGTTAATTTAAAAGCTCGTAGGCCAGCAAGAGGTCCAGAACTTCTCAGACAGCACCGAGTAGCTCGACTTAGGTTTGCACGGGAACATGCTAACTGGACACATGATCAATGGGCTACAGTTCTGTTTACAGATGAGTGCAGAATAGCTGTACGTGCTCCAGATGGCCGAGAACGAGTGTGGAGAAAAAGAGGTGAACGGTTTCTACCCATTACCACCACACAAACCGTCAGCTTTCACGGGGGCTCCATAATGGTATGGGGAGGAATAAGTTCTGACCCTCGCACGGAGTTAGTGATTGTCGACAATCGGCTGACTGCCACACGATACATCGAGGAAATACTCCAGGATCATGTTATCGTGTATTCGGAGTTCATTGGACACGACCAATTTCTTTTAATGCATGATAATGCACGCCCGCACATCGCACGTTGTGTGAATGAATATCTTGAAGAGGTTGGTATTCAAAAATTGCAATGGCCAGCTCGTAGCCCGGACTTAAATCCAAAAGAGCACATATGGGACACGCTTAAAAGGAAAGTAAAGTCTACTCCCAACCCGCCACAAACACTTAATGAGCTCCGAAATGCAGTTCTTGCCGCTTGGGAAAACATTCCTCAAATTGATGTCAGAAATATCATTCAAAGCATGCCAGATCGAATGCAGGCTGTAATTAGAGCAAGAGGAGGTAACACCAAGTACTAAAACGTATGAACATAAAGAAAGTTGGCTAAGTGTTAATTTTTCAATTTTTTAGAATTTCGTGTTTAAAAATCGTTTTTCTCGTAAAAGTGTGTAATTTAAAAAAAACCACTGTTTTTTGGTGTACAAACACTATAAAAGTGTAAAAAAACAAAAATAACGCATATTGAGTGTAACTAGACTTTATTTGGTAATAAAATAGTATTTTAATATAAGTTAATTTAATTTTAATAACTTATATTAAAATACTATTGTATTTTAATATAAGTTATCGCAAAATCCAAGTGTGGCCAAGTTTCCGTGCCGGTGAGTGTATTAGAAAAGGCAGCATTAGTAGATAAGTTTTTAAGTCACGAAGAGGAAAGATGTAAAAAACGTGACGTGTTTCCCACATTGGATTAGAGTATGGTGATCCAAGGCCCAATACGCTTCTTGTCTCATAAAGGAAGTGTTTTTCTTACCTTAAATGCTCCATACACCGAACAACTCATGAAAAACAAAAGAATAGGATCCAAAAGTATATATCGGTTTAGAGTTAGAAATCCCACATCTGAAATAAAAATAAAAGTTATGAAATAATATCATTACAATTTAAAATTGTATAGCCGGCTCCAGAAAATAAGGGTCATAATAAACCAACAACACAGCGGCAGCGTTTTTATGTCACTGACGCCTTTGTAGCATTACTTGAAAAATCATCTTTAGAATATTGACTTACTAATGATTTACCATGACTTTACAGAAACGTTGTCGCTAGCGACCGTGTAAAATACTTATACAAACTTCTTTTTGTGAACGTCAGCATAATATAACAAGATAAATAGTGTAACTCCCGCTTGTTCGGAACGTCGATGCCTAAACGTCGCTTGCAACGTGGGGATAACATGTTATTATGCAAAACATAATTTTCTCACAAATGGCGCTACGGCAAAAAATAGCAAAACAAGCACAGAAAAATTCGAAAAGTCCGCTGATTCGTTCCGTGGCTTAGTTGGCACAGCGTCTGACACGGTTTGTTAGAAGACCTGTTGGTTCGAATCCAGCCGGATCGAAATAATTTTTTCTAAGTGCTCAATCTTTGTATTTATAATTATAACTAATGGAGTAATTTCAGAAAAATAAGTGAATATCATGATAGTGGTGAAACATCCCGATATTAATAAAAAACTTAATAAAAAAAAGGCATTGGTCATATGTATTCTCGTGTTCAATTGAAGTAATCTTTTTCAAATGCAGTACATACCGACATGCTGATATATTTATACTAGCACCGCGGATTAGTATCTTGATTACGGGAATACGATCATGAAATAGAAATGAATAGCGAGATTGTATACACATTCCGTAACACAAGAATATTGAAATTGAAGAAAAATCAAATTTGACGTAAAAATATTTTAAACACCGAGCGAAAGTTTCAATTCTATAATGAATGTGCGTGAGACGACCCGTCCTTTGCAACGCGAGTGCACCGCGAGAATATGTGAATGTGTACGTTCGTTACACGACACGCAGCGGGCGCGGCGTGCACACATACGAGTCGTGTTGCGTTTGGAAATACACTACTCGTTTTATTATACTATACTATAACGTTAGGCTGTATAATTTCATATACAAAATTAGTCAAATATTTCAGATGGACGCTAGCAACAATTGGCGAAGCAAACTCATGGTACAGGCACTGTATTTTAAAGTGGTTAGTATCGCGATTATTCCAGTGGTCGAAGTAGTTAAATGAGAAGGCCACATAATGCAAACCAAGTTTATGCCCTAAACGGTATTCACTTGCAATTCTTTACTTACCACATAATAATAATATTGTGCCAACAAACGATGAGTCAAGTGATTTTGTCATTTCCCATATTGTTAAGAATGTTATTGGTATTATTAATGCACCCAGCGTAGTGCAGAACTAAAAAAATAAGAGAATATATTTAAAAAAACATCAAATCGTGTCTATACGCCAAAAGAAAGTGAGTTTACCAGTTGTTGACGACCTGCACGATACCATCTTTATTGGCGACTGTGTTCTGGTGTCAAAAGCGGAATAAAATGTTGAGGTTTATTTTAAAATTAAACCCAGTAGCCAGCGTCTGGCACGGTATGCTAGAAGACGTCGGTTCGAATCCGGCCGGATCGAAGGAATTTTTGTGAGTGTTCGAACTTTGTATTAATAATTATAACAAACTAGTGGAGTAATTTCACATAAAACATAATTGAATATCAATTCAATAAAAATTAATCAAACCCAGTTTTTCATCATAGCTCAAATATGAAAAAAAATCATTTTAATTTTGAAAACAATGGCCAAAAAAGATGACACAGTGCAGATGATTTTCTGGTAATGAGAGTGGTAATGATTTTGTGAGTAAAACCGTGTACAATTGATACTGTTATGGGGCAAATGTGGGAATTCATAAAAGCAGACAAAAACCATCTGAACTTATCGAATCTCTATTTAAATTATTATTTGTATAAAAGTAAAGACATTTTGAAATCAGTTTTAAAATATACTTACTATTCTCATACCCTCATATCTGGCACCGTCATATTTATCTCCTGGTTTATCAAAAGGAAATGTGCCATCGTAACCTGTCAGCTTTCCTGACAGTGCTATAAGCATCTGAAATTATTATCAAAAATAAACTAGGAAGGCTTTTTATATGCAATATTAACCCTACCTTCTATGTACAGATTTGAAATGGCTAAATTTATTAGAAAAAATAGCGAACTATTCATTAGTGTTGTACTCACTTCTATCCGTGACTGTAAGACCGTCTAGATATAAGAATATATTAAAACTTCCGCAAAGTACATTAAGCATCTATAAGAACAATCTATATTATAATGCGATAAAGATTCACAATAAACTACCCGAATACCTAAGATGTAAGACAAATCACAGAAATTTCACTAAAAAAAAGTATTATTAATTGACAAGTGCTATTATAACTGAATTTTGTATTGACAAACTTGCGTAGTTCTTTGGTTAAATTATGCTGTTATGTTATTTTATGTATTTGACGAAGGCTGATGGTGGATAATTGACATGTTATTTTAACCTAAATTGTATTTTTATTAATATATCATTATTATATTTTGTAATGTGTGAACAATAATGTAAGCCAAAATGTGGCGACTAAGTGCCGTACCCCTGTGGGGTGTCATAGCAATAAATACTAACCTAATGGAACGTGTATTGTTGTGACTTGCATTTGAAATAAATAAATAAAAGTAAATGATAAACCTATTGAATACCTAGAGCAGTACATGTACCTTGGGTAGATCATATCACCTGATAACCAAATGATAAAAGAGGTAGATCAAAGAGCCACCAACTCATGGAAAAGGTACTGGTCCCTAAAAGAGATTATGAAAAATAGAGATATCCCAACTAGTGCAAAAAAGAAAATATTTGATAGTTGCATCCTTCCATATTTAACGTACGGTTGTCCAACCTGGTTGCTAACAAGGAAAAACAGAAAAGCTAGAGGTATGCCAACACAGCATGGAAAGAAGTATGATGAACATGAGAAGAAAAGACAAAAATAATTCGACATAGAACAATGGTACAGGATGTTAAGAATTACATGAGAAAATTGAAATGGCGTTGGGTTGGACATATCATGAGGGAGACTGGAAAATGGACTAGAGATGTAACAGAGTGGTACCCAAGAGAAGGCAAACGCAGACAGGGAAATCAGAGAAAAAGATGGGAAGGTGACTTAAATTTGGTGGCAGGCCCATTTTGGCAACAACAGGCAAGGGACTGGAAAAACTGGAAGTTTCTGGAGGAGGCATATGTGGAAAGACAAGCTGATGTGGATGTAATTTAATTATAGGAAAATGTTTTGAATTATTAATATTGTAACTATTTAAGTATTAATTTTAATTGGAAATTTGTCTATTATTTTTAGTATTAATCTAGGTTTAAGATATTGTTATACTTTTTAATAATGAATTGTATTTTTCAAATAACAAAGTATACTGTAATATTTGAATTGAATTGTATCAGCAATAAAGGCTATTATTGTTATTATTTAAGCCTAACTTATACATTCTACAATAACATGGTGTAAAAAAATGTTCAAAGTGATTTCATGTAAAAGATTAGACTAAATAGCAGTGAAAGAATTCGTCCAGGGAAGTACTGCCACCTTACTTATTTCTGCTGCCAAGCAATAATGTGAGCATTACTGCGTTCCGGTTATGAAGGGTAAGTAAGGGTACTGGTGAAATTACAGGAACATGAGACTTGTCTACTTATGTCTCAGAGTGACGGGCGCAGTGGCAGTGCCCCTAGATCTTTGTGATTTAAATCACTAAGTGGTACTGTAACTGTTAACGACAGCCGCGTCACTTACCACCAGCAGCTTGATTTTGCTTCTCCCGATCGGAAATTGTGTCTCTTCCGATTCGAGGTGCATAATTGCGATACACAACTGGCCGATAGGATAATTTTGACATTTCAAATCGGAACAATAGTTCATTTAACTCACAAATTAGAAAGATATAGAAGGAATCAGTTCATCTTCACACTCGGAAACCCATTCGATTTCGAAACTCAGACAGGCTACCCGATCGGTTAGATTCCGATTTGTAAAAATCAGCATGCTGGTGGGGGACTTGTTCCTGCCGTTACTTGGTCACATGAAAAAAATGATAACAAACAACTTCGGCAAGACATAAATATTGAAATCAAGAAAGCTTTTGGTTATTTATTCAAATTTTCAATTGACCATGTACATTTTGCATAGAACAGTGAGTTTTGCTAAAGCCAATTAGTTTGTCCATTGTTAGGCTCGTATTACGCTCACGCTCTCCCGTATTAAAAGACTGTAATTGTCTTAGATGGTATCTCATCTGATTGTGTCTTTGGTAATAATAAATCAGACATCCTAATGCTGGCTTCGTGCGGCCCGTGGTCTCACCGACGCGCCCCGTGCCGTCGCAGGTTACGGGCATGTATGGATCCATGGCACGAATACGCCCGTATAAATCGGCGCGGCGCGACACAGCCGATGCTATCCCGACAAAGCCCCGCTCTCGGACGGGCCCTGCCACTGCCACTCTGTGTGGCCGGGGTGCATAGAACTCAATGGAACACACCTTTGCCGGTGCCAGAGCCGGCCCACCCCTGTTTGTTATAACGTTCGGCCCCTTATCACGCCGCCCCGTCACCCGGATTCTATGTTGCAAGGTACATAAAAAGTCGAACATTACAAAAATTCCCAGGCCCGAAACTATTTGTAAGAGTTTGTTCAGTGTGTTGGTAGAGATATGTAGTTCTTACTGACAACAGTTGTACAATGGTCTGTTCTAAATTGTACACAAATAAAAAAGATTATTTGGTCTTACTTTGCCCAAAGGTGGATGGACATCAAAGAAAAATGTCCTGTTGATATACCAGCTTGCCATTTTGCCGAAATGGGTCTCGTCCCAACTGTAAAACAAACACAATAACATTTATTGATTGAGCTCTTAGGTTTTTAGATTTATTTTTTATAACATCGAGTGATGGTACGAACAAGTTGTGAGCCTGATCTTAAGCTACTCGCCTGTCCATAACAGTTACCGTGCCTGAAAAAGAGCTTTAAACTGCAAAGATCTGAGGGGCACTACCACTGCGCCCGTCACCCTGAGACATAATGTGACAAGCCCCATGTGCCTGTAAATTCTTACAGGCACATGGGACTCGTCAAACTTAGTACCAGTTACTATTTAGTATCAGTAGAGCTCTTAGTGAGGGCCTTACTTATTTCTGCCACCAAGCAGTAATGTGAGCATTACTGTGTTTTGGTTTTGTAGGGTAAGGGTCTGGAGAAATTACAGGCACATGGGACTTGTCAACTTACATCTCAGGGTGTTGAGTGCAGTGGCAATGACCCTCAGATCTTTGCAATTTAAAGCGATGAGTGGCACTGCAACTGTTAGGGACAGATGTGTCGCTTACCACCAGGCACACGACTTGTTCGTCCCGTCATGAAGCATTACAAAAAAAAACACATTGGAATTAAAACTAATTTTTTTGGATCTAAATCGCATATATCACATACATTTGTATTTCCCGAAAAGTACAATTTGGGGCTATTCAAGACTAGAGTGAATAGGCATTTTTTAGGCAAAGGCGTGCCATCGTCGGTCACATCGTCGCTTAACATCAGGTGAGATTGTGGCCAAGCGTGTGTCTATTATATATTAAAAAAAAAAAAAAAAACATTTGTTTTTTCAAACAAATCAATGTTTCGGGCTCTTAGACACATCCCATGGTAACAATTGACACAATTTAGATCTCAAATATTAGTTCTATTTTTGAAATTTAGTTATCTTTTTAATATCCTTGATCCTTTAAGTTTGTCAACTTACCAAACATGGTCTGGTTCAAGTATTTTATAAAACCTAGTAACAAAGGTTCCGCCACATATTATTCCAAATGTAATCCACCATCTGAAATTAACATTATTAAATATTTTAAATAATTTTCATTTCAGAAGTTCATATTTAGAATATAAAAAACTCTTATAAGTTTACAATGAATATTCCATCACACAATATACTGAATGTTACATAGTATCTGATATGAATTTATTTAAAAGTAATTATAGTAAAATTAATATTAATTAAGTTTTTAATTAGAAAGTGATACAATACACTGTAATTTATAGTGCTATTAGGGAGCTCTAAAAGTATACAGGTAGTGGATATTTCTGCAAGAATCTAAATTATTGTTATAAAATTAACAACTAACGCATTAAAACTTCGAATCCATTGACACACTGTGTTCCAGTTTTGTTGAAATTTGAATTAGCCAGAAATCGTGAATTACGGAAAAATGAGGTATAATTATGAAATTTTATAAAATACAAAATTTAGAATATAATTATTTAACGCAATTTAAGAACCCTGTACATATAAATACTAATAGAAATTCAAGAAAACTTCGTAAACTTTAGAAACTATGTACTTACATTTTGGTGCTTTGTTTCGGTGTATAATTGGGTTTACTTCCTTCAGCCATGTTTGTCATTGTATCTCTATCAAAATGTTTTCAAAAATAAAACATTTTCAGTGAAAATACTATAAAATAACGGTATACTTTACAAATTCTGGTAACGTCAACAATTTACAAACAGCTGCAGAGAAACGAGAAAAGTCAAAAATACTGTTTTTTTATTTATTAAGAGTTTTGGCTTGGATAAAAGTCCGTTGAGCCATGTCGTCGTTTAATTATCAGTATCCTCATTATTATAAATATTTTCCATTGTGGTTCTACAACATTATGTTTTCACTTTTTCTTATATAACTTAGTTCTCTTGTTTGGGCTGTCTTATAGTCTTTTATGCGGCGGGAGTCAATATTTATGTTTTCACTTTCACCTATACCACATTATTATCACTTTGAACAAAAAACTTAGAATTCGTAATTACTGGAATTTACAGGATGAAGTCTTTTGTAATTTTTTTAATAAATATACTAAAAATTAAAATAATCTTTGTAAAAAACTGTACTCGTAACTTCAAAAACCCGCCATTCTCTCAAAAATACAAAATATCACAATGACATTAAAGCCGCGCTTCCACGAGTAATTCTCTGACGGAGTCCACTCGGATGCTACTCGACGCGTTAGGAGTACGCTTGGACCGGTCCACTCGGTTGACTAATAATTCCGGCAGTATCTTTAACTTTTGAGAGAAGGCAAATGACAAATGTGAAAAAATAACATAGAAAAAAATATGTATTTTTCTGAAAAATTATTATATTACTATTAATTTTTAACATAATATTGTGAATTTTTCAAAATGGAAATATTAGAGTTAACGAAAATAACGAATCGTAATGAAATTACAGAATTAAAGAATTTAATTTAAATGTGTACAAATTTCAACAATTATATTTTGTTATAATTAATAATAAATATTTTATTTTGTTGTATATTTTATTATTTATTTGTTGTTTCAACCTATTAATCGTTTTTATTAGTTTCAATATACATTCATTTTACCATGGACTTGTTTGAAGTATATAATGCACACGAGTCCAAATACCTCAAGTACTTTCGTAACTCTTACGTCTCATACATAACATAACTTAAAATTTGTGGAATTGAGAAAACACGATTTATAAATGGGAAATGAAACTATTTTTCCGGATTTAAATCGCGTATATTTGTTTTTTCAAACAAACCGACGTTTCGGGCGCTTTACAGGTCCCATGGTCATGGTTGACTGAGGTTGTAAAATTAAAAATAAGGTATTTAACGTATTTAATTAATAACTATTGTAACTATAATGAAAAAATAGGGTGGTTTGCATTAATATTAGACATAACTGGTTGAAGACTATACCACCTCAGTCAACCATGGGACCTATAAAGGGCCCAAAACGTCGTCGGTTTGTATGAAAAAACAAATATAGGCGATTTAAATCCGGGAAAATAGTTTCATTTCCAATTTTGGTATAATCAATTTTTTGGTCAAGTGTGAGTTGTCCATAAAAAAGAATAAACTTGATCAAAATGTATCTTAAATAGTTTCAGATTTCTTCACACAGTCCCATTTAAAAAACACTGTATGTTGTCGTTTATATGTATACCCTTAGTGTATACCTATACGCATCATTAAATATACTGTGTAAATAAAAATATACCCGTACAGGTAAGATCCATTGAATTTTTTTTTCATTTCCACGATTTTGAGTTAGGACTGTACTTGGTTCTTAAAGGATGGAAAATTTGGTTTCATGTACGATAAATCCCTGTCATTTTACGTATTTACGTATTTGTTGAAAAGTTATCGATTTTTAATCACATTTTGCCTATTTATAATATTCACTCAATGAACGAAATCAACAGCACCGAGTGGAATGAACAACGAATTTGACGTTTGTAAACAAATGTCAGGCGGGCTCATTGAAGAAGTTTACATACCTACAATTTTACTGTTCTCCAATAAACTTTCAAATGTTTGCTTGAATCACGCAATTGGATGTAAGAACACAAACCATACATAAACATATTGTGACGCATTAACGTCTCAGCCCAGACCACTATAATATTACAAGAGTCTCAGTCGCTTCGTGTGCTTGTAGCGATGAGATTGTCGTGAAAAATGCGTCGTTTCTGGATTTTTGTTGTTCAAGTAATTTTACTCAGTGTTTGCTTGGGGCAAGAGCTGTCTGCTGAGAAAAAGGATTCATTTTTGCGTGCATTAACTGACCATTTGAATAGGGAATATGGTCAAGAATATATATACGAAGGGGGCGTCATCCTAAGTTATACAAATATAGTAAGTAATAATTATTATTTATGTTATGAAGTGATTTAGAATGTGATAATTGTAGGAAGGTTATCATGGACGTCCTTTAATATCATTTTATCGGGGTTATTGAAACTGCGACTTTGTTTTACTAATTTAACTTATTGTACTTAATTGGTACTCGGAATAGTGTATTTAATGGTCAATAATCTGCAGAATAATTAATGGTAATTTTATTACTTGAGTTTTGGGGTATGAAACTAATATGGATACTGTCTTGTAAACACATTTTATGAATGTATGTGAACATATGTATTTATAAAATATCTAAATTTGTAAACCTCATATCTCCATTAATGTGAACTTTTGATTTGGTGCAAAAAAACAATTACATGCACTAGAGATAATTTTATATATAAAGTTCTAAGGTTTTTGCCATTGTTACACATAGGAAACGTGACCATGGGACCTGTTAAGGGCTGAACGTAGGTTGGTTTGAAAATAGCTATGATTATATCTTTATAACTAAAAACATGTCTAGAAATTATACTTTAAGCTTTAATTGCCTGATGTTGCATATTGAATAGTAAAGCAGTAAAATTGCAATAAAGCTCCTTGTGAAAGAGTTTGTGCAGTGCAGTACTGCTATATTACCTATTTCTGCCGCCAAGCGGTTTCCGGTTTTGAAAGGTAAAGGTACTGGTGAAATTACAGGCACAAGGTACTTGTCAAATTATGTCTCAGGGTGACAGTGGTAGTGCCCCTCAGATCTTTTGCTATTTAAAGCTCTGAGTGACACTGTAACTGTTATGGACAGGCATGTAGCTTACCATCAGGTGCATGACTTATTGTTTCCGTCACTTGATGTTATAAAAAAGTTATTTATACAACAAAGTGATTTATACATTGGCGTAGGTAGCAGGTCTCAGGATAACATGAGTGTTGGCCGTGTCCTTCAGATTTTTTAAAGGTCTGCAACTATTGTGAATCCCATTACTAGATTTCATAAAATAAATTATAATTAAAACTGTTTTTGTGGCTGGGAAATGCAAGAATTGATACACTATTTTTTAACCCTACATGCGTCGTACTGACATATTGTATCTATAACAAATTAATTTTTTATTTTATTTTTATAAATTATTGTAATTTTATAAAATTTGTTTATTATTTTGGAGGAATACATAGCTAAGCATTACACACGCCGCGTGGCTTTAGGATGCTATGGTATAAAAATCGTTGTCTCTATAGATTGTACATGGGCACTCGATGGGTTGGACACCCATAAATAATCACACAACCACTAACACTAATGCAACAATGATTAATTTTTACTAAGATTAATTGGTGTAACTTACAAATTTGTATAATAATAATTCATTTTTTATTATTTTTATTATTTATAAATAGCTTTGTCCCCCAAAAATGCAAGTTCATCATTTATAATTAATGATAATGGGGATCATGTTCAATTTAGGTTTTTTAATGTTGCTATTTTTTGTTTTTATTAATGTGATTGAATAATATTGTTAGACAATAGCTATTATAAATCTATTACAAGTAACTTTGAGGATACGAAGTCAATTATTCTTATGATATTGCATTAAACGATAATACTTGTCAATTTTTTAAAACAAAAATTCATCACAAAATTGTAAAAATTTATATATCAACTGTAGATAGAATGGTACATGGTAACAGGATGGTATCCACAACTCGACGTTCGTGACGTTTATATTGCGTGTTGTAAAGTAAATAGAATAAAAATTTTCAATTAATTAACTATAATTCAATAAATTTTTATTGAATGTCACAAATAAATTATTTTTTGTGAAATTACTCCACTACTTTGTTATAATTATTAATATAAAGATCGAACACCTAGAAAAAATTCCTTCGATCTGGCCGGATTTGAACCGACGTGTCCTAGCAAATCGTGCCAGACGGTATACCAACTAAGACACAGAATGACCCAGCGGACCTCACGAGTTTTTTATATGCTTGTTCTCGGATCTTTGTATGGTGGTGGTTTTTTATTAAGAGCATTATAGTAGGATATGCGTGGCTGTTGCGCTCTGTATCTGTGTTGTGCACTGCCCGTGATATCTAAATTTTAAAGGAGTTTATTATATGGACTACGAGTGGCCATCACCCATTTGTTGGCTGTAGTATTCGGGATAGACAAATAAAGAACGTTGGGAGTGGTTTAGAGTCTGCCTATAAACCGTAAGGGTTGTCCAAACGTTGTGTCTTGACCATTGGTAGAAACGGAACACTACGGGATCTACGGCGTTCGTCTTCGCTTTTTCACGCCAGTTCACTGTTATCATTAATAATAAATAAATAAATAACGCACAAACTCATAGACCCGCACTAGGGAAACCTTGTGCCGCGGGTGCCACGATATACACATAGACAACCACAAATTACACCCGACTCATGAAAGAAATTAATGTAGCTCATACAAGTTTTAGTAGCTGTAGAGCTCCTTGTGAAAGAGTTCGTCCAGGGAAGTACTGCCACCTTACCTACCTATTTCTCCCGCCAAGCAGTAATGTCACCATTACTGTGTTCCGGTTTTGAAGGGTAAGGGTGCTGGTGAATTTGTCAACTTATGTCTCAGTGTGACGGGCGCAGTGACAGTACTCCTCAGATTTATGCGATTTAAAGCCTTTGTGGCACTGCAACTGTAATGGACAGGCGTGTAGCTTACCATCAGGCGCACGACTTGTTCGTCCCGTCATTTGATATTATATAAAAAAAAATACAAATATTTCTCTCGGGAAATCGAACCTGGGTGGCAGACCAGCATGGTAACCGATCGGCCATGGAGGCAGTTTGCATTTGGACTGCTGTGTGTTTTGATACACTATAAGGTTACGAAGTTGTGCGGCATTTATAAATAATTACGACCAGTAATTGATCCATTGTTATTACCATTAATTATAGTTCAGAGCCAAGATCAACTGTATTAAGAAACTGAAGAATTCTTGGCTTCAATTATTTCAACCTTTTCTAATGGAGGCATGTGTTTGCACAGTAATCATGTGCCTATTAAAGTGTATGCAGTGGGATATCAGAATATAACATTAAAATAATTATAACATTTTTATAAAAAAAAACCGACTTTAAAGGTTCGTGGTATTACATCTATTTGCCAAGTTTTATTGAAATCGGTTACCGGAAAGTGCGCGAAACCGGATTGGTCCCCTAGTTAGCTACCCTTAGAGGTGGAATATTTTCTTCAAATTTAAATGGGACATTGGTCCCATTTAAATGATTCTTGTTTTGTTGGAAAGAAGGTACCTCAGTATTGACTGGAATATTTGCTTTGGAATATAATAAATAAAATGAATTATTCTGTATTGTCATTTTTCATTCGCAAAAGGCCATTCCTAAAAATGATTAGTGTACATCTTTCCGTGGTCCCGTTAATATTATTGGGTGTTTTTGGCAGCTCTAATGTAAGTTTTTTTTATCGCTACACCACATTGTTTAACTCCTGACGGAAAAAGATGAGTTTAAGTTTGAAACATTTTCTGTGTATTTGTGTTTCTGTCTGTTAGCCCAGAATGCCGGAATACACGTGGCTAAGTTTTCAAGCTAGGACAACCAGCTAGTGCTAATGCCAGTAAGCTAGTAACTCTAGCTTCGTGTACACAGAACTAGCTTCATTTATCGGCTAGTAAGCGTCTCAAGCGAGGATAGTTTAATAGGATGGGGTTCTATTATTTGCTATACAGCTTTCCAACAAAACAAGAATCATCAAAATCGGTTCACAAATTAGTAATCGCGTAATATACATACAAAAAATGTACAGTCGAATTGAGAACCTCCACCTTTTTACCTTTTTTGAAGTCAGTTAAAAAGAAAGAGGTGGTCTTAGTATACTTTGGGTTGGTAGATTGAACTTATATAATTTAAAATAATAGTACAAAAATGGACTTCAAATAAAAACAGATATTTTTTAATTTTTTTCTTTCAAACTAAATAAATAAATAAATAATAAATAAATAAATAACGCACACACTCAACATAGCCCCGCACTAGGGAAACTCTGTGTCGCGGGTGCCATGGACACACACATGTCTATGACAACCACAAATTACACCCAAACTCACGAAAGAAATAATTGTAGGCCATACAACTATTTCTCCCGGCCCGGCAATCGAACCTGGGACCTCTGTGTGGCAGTCCGGCATGGTAACCGTTCGGCCACCGAGGCAGTTAAATCATACCATGTTTATTTTCTAAAGCAATGTGAAGTTATTTTCTTTATCGTACTTTCTAGCCATAAAATTACTCAATATTGAAACCATAAAACTGCTACAAATCTACTCACAAAATGACTCGTGACTCAATATTATGAGCACATAAAACTATTTTATTAAAAAAATTTAAAGAAAAAATTGGTAACAATAACGGAAACGGTTGTAATAGCATTTATATATTTTATTATTATTACTACTGCGTTATTACCTTTAAGAACTAAGGTCAAGAACCACAACATGGGCCAATGCCAAAAATTTTGAACAAAGAATTTTAGTATTTTCTTAGTTCCCATTGTTTTTATCTCTTCTGACAGGGATATATGTTTGATCATGATTGAGCGTCATAGGGCAATAGTGGCTTAGTAGGTGAGGAGGTGGAAGAAAACACTAAAACAAAAAAATGCTCTTTGGAAATGGGATGCTTTTCTCGGATCTAAATCTCGCATGTTTTTTTTTCAAACAAACCAACGTTTCGGGTTCTTTACGGGTACCATAAGTATTTTTTTATAACAAGTGACGGGACGATCAAGTCGTGCGCCTGATGGTAAGCTACACGCTTATCCATAACAGTCACAGTGCCACTTAGAGCTTTAAATTGCAAAGATCTGAGGGGCACTGCCACTGCGCCCGTCAACCTGAGACATAAGTTGACAAGTCCCATGTGCCTGTAATTTCACCAGCACCCTTACCCTTTAAAACCGGAACACAGTAATGCTGACATTACCGCTTGGCGGCAGAAATAAGTAAGGTGGCAGTACTAGCCTGGATGAACTCTTTCACAAGGAGCTCTACTGCTAGAAAAGTATTATTCATCAACCCTATTACGAACTATAGTAATATTGGTAAATTAAAAATAAGGTACTTAAATTAATAACAACTGTTAATTCCGAGTAGGTTTGTGTGCATTAACATTAGACGTGACTGGTTGATGACTGCCATCTCATGCTGGCTTCACATGTCTCGTGAATTCGCGGGCTGCGCCGTGAAAGCTCGCGCCGACGACGCACCGAGGATGGTAAGAGTCGTATTCTAGAACTCTACTCGACGCTCAAGTCAGGACTGCAATGGAAACACAAGCACTATACGACCCTAATGGCAAGGACTTGAGTATGACTTCTACTGCTTTGAATCATACTCAAATCCTGATTTGAGCATTGTAGAGTTCTAGAATACGACCCTTAGAGTGCCACCCGTGCCGGCGCGTACGGGTCTGTGGCGCGAGCACGCCCGTACAAATCGGCGCAGCGCGGCCTGTGATTTCACGGCCCGTGGGGAGCCGCCTTCTGTGAGCCGCCATGGAGTCTGAATAAATAGTTTAATTAAAAATGCGTAGCAATCGCAAACACCAAATAAGTAGTAATGCTTCTTAAATTTTTATTGAATTGATATTCAATTAACTGCCTCCGTGGCCGAACGGTTACCCTGCCGGACTGCCACGCAGAGGTCCCAGGTTCGATTCCTGGGCCGGGAGAAATAGTTGTATGGCCTACAATTATTTCTCTCGTGAGTTTGGGTGTAATTTGTGGTTGTCTATATGTGTGTCCATGGCACCCGCGACACAGGGTTTCCCTAGTGCGGGGTATGTTGAGTGTGTGCGTTATTTATTTATTTAATTATTTTTTGTGAAATTACTCGACTAGTTTGTTACAATTATGAATACAAAGATCGAACACTCAGAAAAAATTCGTCCCGTGGCTTAGTTGGTATAGCGTCTGGCACAGTATGCTACAAGACGTCGGTTCGAATCCGGCCGGATCGAAGGAATTTTTTCTGAGTGTTCGATCTTTGTATTAATAATTGTAACAAACTAGTCGAGTAATTTCACAAAAAATAGGTCAATATCATATTAATACAAATTTAATTATAGTTAATAGCGACATCTCTAGCCAGAGTTGGTAGCTGTAAAGTTACCTAACTGGGTGACGAAATACTTTCATAGATTTCTCATGGATAGCGCTTCGGCTAAAAAGTCGTTGAAAACCAAATAAAAAGATCCGATCAACAAGCACATAGAAAAATGTGTGAGGTCCGCTGGTTCATTCCGTGGCTTAATTGGAAGACTTCGGTTCGAATCAGGCCGGATCGTTCTGAGTGTTCGATCTTTGTATTAATAATTTATAGTAATGCTCTTATTAAAACAAAAGTTTCTTTCCAGGACACCGATACTTATCGTATACAAGTGTTGGTTAACGCAACAAGTAATGAAAATGTTCGGGAAATTCAAACGCGAAACTGCACAGCTGTATTGATTGACAAAGAAACCGTAGGGATCGGATACTGCGGATGCAACGACTTGGAGGAAACAAACACTGGAATAATTAAAGAGGATATTGTAACCCAAGAGGAGAGTAAAGACGGTAGGGTAATTACAAGTTTAGATGTCGTCAGTCAGCCTGAACAAAGTAATGGAATCATTAAGGAGGATATTGTATCCGAAGATGAGACTACAGATGGCAGTGTACCTTTAGATTTGAATAATCACCCTGGACCTGTCCATTTGGAAAATGAAGTTTCTAATGGTCCGGTAAGTTTTATGTATTTTTTATTTTTTATCGTATTCCCATTGCAGGGCAAAGTATAATGTTATAATTATTATGTATTCAATGAGCATTAGCTCGTTAAGAAATACACTTTTCATGTAAAACTCATTTCGTACAAAAACTCAGCCATTTTCTCGGCAAAGTCTAACACACGCAACGCTATTTTCTTCTGCATACGATAGTGCCAAAATGCCGCCAAAAAATGAACCGGTGTGACGCGTAACATTTTCAGGAAGTTGCATAACAACAATTGTAATTTGTTTCACGTAAAATATAACTAAATTTAATTTTCTTAGAAATCTTTCTTCTTTCACCAAAGTATGCACAACTCCGATATTTAATCATTCTTATTGTTGTTATAATATAAATTCTGTGCAATCTTATACGTTTAACCTTTTATTGAAGTTCAAGGAATATCACAATAACGCTGGTACATAGATATCGTTCAATAATAATAATTAACCTAGAATCATACAGTTTTAACTAACTTTTCATTACTTTAAAAAACAATTCTTCACTGGATGGATTTCGAATATCGAAAATAAACTTGAAAAATAGAATTGATGCTATACCGATATTTCAAAACGAAAGCAAAGTAATAAAAATAAATTTTAACTAAACAGATATTCTTTTATATCTTTCTTAATTTTATGTGTACTTTAGGGAGACTTGATAGGCATGGTGTACAGTGAGGATATCGACATAATTAATCTCCGTAATTATTTTAGATATTGGTAATTATTACAAAAAATAATGTCACCACTATTCGGTTAAGCGTGAAAGACTCAGAGAGCGAGTGCGGGTCGGACACGTGTCGGGCCGGGTGCGCGGCGGGTCTAATTCCGTGTGTTTAAATGGACGACAACAAACCGAGCGCTGGCGTGAGACGGGCGCACGAGTTAAGGATGTTGCCTCAGCTTCTTCAGATGTTTGTTTTACCTAGATTAGTTAAGAGTTTGCACCTTGCGTAGCTTTATTTATTAAATTGTAGAATTGCAACTTTTAGCATGTTCATTTTTACTTTAATTAGTATATAAGCTTCATTGTAGTATATACAATAAACTAGCTCTCATAAAACTGCCTTTTACTTTTCTTTAAGTAACGCGCCCTCGGAAATACACGGAATTAGACCCGCCGCCCTCCCGATTCGACCCGCTCCCGCTCTCTGTGTTTTACGTTTTAAATCCACGTAGCCTAGCGAGTGAAGCTTTATTAGCTTTAACTAGCATAATTTTCGAATAGAATTACTCGGCCGCTCCTCAACCGGTAGGCATGAAATTTGAAACGAGCTAAAAAATAAAATTTACCATGTCGCGACGAAGCCCAAATTTTAAGTTTCTATCTGTGACCTGGGATAATTGATGTCAAGGGTCACCACGTCAAATCTATTTAAAATGTATTCAAAATAGAAAAGAAACATAATCTCAGTACACAGTACTAAAAAACCCGACCTCAAAATTATGTGTAGTTACATATAATTACCAAGTTTTTTTTTAAATTACGGATTTATCCCCTAGTTCGCCACTATACGGGACTTGACACAGGAGATAAGAAAAACGCCTTAAATTGGAGAATAGCAAAATGAACTATTAAAATAATTTCTCCTTATAATAAAATTTAGGCGTTATTTATAAAAATGAATCTTCATGCGTGAACAGCCACCCTTAGAGGTGGATGATTTTCTTTTAAAATTAAATGGGACCACTATGGAGGCACCCTCTTTCCAACAAAAAAAGAATCATGAAAATCGCTTTACAAATACCGGAGTTATCGCGTAACATACATACAAAAAAAACATACAGTCGAATTGAGAACCTCCTCCTTTTTTTTGAATTCGGTTAAAAATAAGAGTCGGTTCACATGACAAGCGTTACTAACGCGCGCTTACAACTACATGAATTTCATTCGTAAGTAACCTTATGTGGTCACGCCGACGCACATTTAATGCGCATAGAATGAGCTAAACACGCATTGAACGCGCGTCTAAACGCTCGTCATTGAACCGGGTCTAATATATGCTGAACTGTGAAAAAAGAAAAATAAGCATTAGGTATACTTTTTTTTACAAACTCATAGCCCCATACTAGGGAAACTCTATGTCGTGGGTGCCATGGACACATACATAGACTACCACAAATCACACCCAAAGTCACGAGAGAGATGTAGCCCACATAAATATTTCTCCCGGCCCGGGAATCGGACACGGGACCTCTGCGTGGCAGACTAGCATGGTAACATTTCGGCCATGGAGGATATATCGTCATTTCACCTAGTAAATATAGAATGGTAGTAGTATAAAGTTTTAAGAGCATCGAGCAGGTGACAATGGGGTCGACGTGCGTTCAACACGCATTTTGCTCCCGCGCGCTTAAAACTACTTCAATTTCATTCGTAAGTAGCCGTAGGTTCACATGCTCACCAATATATGAATGGGAAACATTTAACAGGTAAATCTCATCAAAAATGTTTCCCGTTCATATACTGAGCCTAATAATATCTAGTTAACATGGCATTGCACTTGAATAAACAGAAATTAACAATATGTCTATTAATATAGAGTTCAGTTATTTTCCATTGTTCGAATGCTCCTTTTGTAAGACATTTCGGAAGTACGGAGTCGAGCTTTAAGAGCGAGAGCGGACTAGTATAAATAAAATAAAAAATGAAATAAAAGAACAAAAATCTTTTATTCTCAGACTTAGTTTCACTCGCATAGGTTCATAGTTTGTTAGCAAGCAACCTTATTACTGTATTTGTAACAACTGAGTGTATGGTGAAATATATGAAGTGTACATTAAAATTTTCAAAATCGAGATGTTAAAATAATCAAAATACATAATGTAAAATTTACTGAAATAATAATAATTTAGTAAAAGTAAAAATTTAAAATAACTAAAATTCACAACTACTCAAGTAAAAATTCAAATTAGCTTATAAAATAATAACTTTAAATATAATATATTTACTTAAAAAAATGTGAATATCCAATCCTGTTTCCTAGTTAGTATCATGCATATGAACGACGCCGAGATATAACAGAGTTAGCATCTTGCCTTGAGAAATATTCCATTATACCGCGTTAGCAGTTGGCGTATTTTTTTAAAGTATTTCGTCCTGATGTCTATGATCGGGTTTCGGATCTAAGCAAAAATTTATCATTTAGTAGCAGTACAGCTATTATTATTTCTGTCGCCAAGCACTAATGTGAGCATCACTGTGTTCTAATTTTGAAGCATATGAGAGGAAAATTTTTCGTTTAAAAACCAATAATCCCATAAATTCTGCGGACAAAGAAATTCTTTAAGTTATTTTAATTGGTGGCAGTACGTTCCTTTTTTGTTCTCTGGCAGTACAATACTTCATGCAGTAGCAGTGGAGGTCCTTGTGAAAGAGTTCGTCCAGGGAAGTACTGCCACCTTACCTGTTGCAGCCGCCAAGCAGTAATGTGATCATTACTGCGTTCCGGTTTGGAAAAGCAACTTATGTCTCAGGGTGACGGGCACAGTGGTAGTGCCTCTCATATCTGTGCGATTTAAAGCTCTGCGTGGCACTTCGCATCATAAACAAGTTAGATATGCTGCTGGTGCTGGTTTCATCACGATGGTTATTTCACCGCCAGTGAGAGATTGCTACTATTTTTATTTATTTATTATTATTGCATTTTAAAAGCACTAGAAAACAAAAACATTCAGTGTAATATAAACTTTAATTAAGTTTTTCCGTATACCACTTCTATTAAAGGGTCGTATCTATATATCGATTTTATATAGATACTAAATTTGGAGTTAGTACATTCTTAGTTAAAGTTAGATAATCCTTTATTTCATGTGAATAATATTTTTTTTTTCTAAAAAGTACTTTTTAATTTAGGTTGAATGTTTAAACAAAATAACAACATTATACATCCATAATGTAACTTAGAAATTAAAGAGACAGGTGCACCTGTGAAGGCAGTGACGTGTGTTTCTGGGATCCGATTCCAATACAATACACACAAAAAAAACACCTCATTAGTAATACACACGTACTAATTTTAAACTAGTAGTGCCATCTCTTGGTTGCGTATAGTACTGAATGCGTATAGTAAATTGCGTATAGTACTGCAGTGGCGTTAGAAATATCAATTTTCATTTCGTTTTTTAATTTTTCTGGTTTCATTTTAATGTGACAAATGTTTCTTTACAAATTGCGCAGTAAAATCGTAAACTTGGTCATTTACGTCGCTATCACAACACGTGTTCGTTAACCACAAGGTTCATTAACGTATATTCACAACATAGTAGTAATTAGATTTTAAATAAAATGGATGAGTTAATAAATCGATCAGTAAATATTATTTGAATTGAAGTCTTCGTTACGGCTCTTGAAAGAAAACCTATGAGGAGGAGTGAAAGAAAAGCTTACTAAAGACAATAGAGAATTGAAGAGAAAAATGATTGGGCTTCTTAGAAACATTATAAAAGGGAAGAATGGAGGAAAGAGAGGCAGGGGCAGTTATTCAGATCAGATAAACGTGTCGTATCAGGAACTCAAAGTTAGGACGCTGAATATATGTTAGTCCACCAACAAGACCTAGTTCCTTGAGGAGTCTAACAACCCCAAATGGCTTTGGTTGATTCCGCATCACAGTGAAAGCGTTGAAAAAAATATATAGTAAAATTGAGCATATACATTGATATACTCATTGACTTACAATTATATGGACGTCGGGTCCGCGCTAAAAAGTGTCCGCACTTGTAAGGCGCTAAAATCGTATACAGAGCGCTACACTCCGCTTTAGTCTTCATTTGTTCTACTGACAGCGCGATACTGCGATGACATTACAATTTAAATTTCGAATAGGTTGACTTGGGACATTTTTTTCGTGGTTTTTTGTATTAGACCCGTCGTCCATTTATTTGTAAGTCAATGGATATACTATACGATGTGAAAACACTATTCCTAAAAATTTTCACGATAGAAAAAAAACGAAAAACTTACCTCGAAATTTTACAAGGAAACCGCTGTATTCAATAAGTTACTTTATGTATATACCAATGACATTTTTATATCAACTAAACTACTTATAATACTATCTGACACCTTTTATATCTGTATTTGATAGAATAAGTTTAAACGTGCGAGCGCCCTCTGCGACGACCCCCACCTCCGTCCTGCTAGAGCTATTACCGTTTAGAGCGGTCTATTGAAATCTATTTCTTTTTGTATAAAAGTAAAATATAATTAATTATTAAAAGTTATGGAACAAAAGTTGTTAGTATTTTGTTTACGAACCGATTTTACGAACACCCACCCACAAGTCTAAAAAGTGTTACAAATGACGAAGTGTTTTGTTCCCGACTGAAAGACCTTTTATTGGATAATTAAGTCTACAGTGTAGAGGAATTTCTTTTGAAGAAATTATAATTATATTTTAATTTTGAAAATATTTAATTTTTATTTGTATTTTTGTCGTTCGTATTTTTCTTTCAATTATTTTATAATAACAATAAAATTATTGTTTGACGATCATGTTATCCCTTGACATTATATTTCGAATTGTAATATGAATTTGATAATATGAAATAAATGATTCTATTCTATTTTATTCTTTAAAAATAATCCTGTATATGTATTGTATTTAGGGTACTTGCAGCTATTTATACAAGATGTTATTCTAAGTATACGGCCAATTACTATAAACAATTACAGTTACGAGAACACAACAATCGTATTATTCACTCGACACTAGTCCTTGAGCATAACAGTTTTTATAGTCCGAACGCTATTATAGAAACTATCGATGTGACTATATTTATGTAGCACATCATTGCTTCTGTCAAAATTAGTGCGACTGGATGTTATTTACATGTTAATTCTCTCCAAACCAAAACACACATTAATAATATATAATAATATAAAGCTGCTGCACTTTGTGTGATGCCACTAACTCAATACCTTGTCTCCGGTAGAATACAAGATACTTATTCGCTGAAAAGTGTAGTTAATAACGAAGGTGTTATTGTATCTTATATAAGATGGTACATTTCACCAAAACTTGGCATGCGAATATTATAACATTTCTTATTTCAGTTTTGATATAGGATGCTATATCAAAACTGAAATAAGAAATTTAAGTTTAAATGCATGCATTTAAACTTATTACATAATTTAAATCTTTAGTGAAAGTGAAACTTGCCGTATTGGTAAGAAACTAAATACGCAAATCATCTTATTTGACGAGTAATAAACGCATGAGCCAATTCAATAGGTACCTTCTTGAAAATGTCAAGATGATGTCATTGTCTCACGTCAATGTAAATGTTTCTTTGTTATTGTTGCATCTGTACTTCTTATAAATTCGCATATTTCGATTCCATATGGCATTGATTTATAATAAAAACAAGTGATTATTTTGAGTAACACACGCATTGACTTACAAATAAATGGACGACGGGTCTAATACAAAAACCACGAAAAAAATGTCCCAAGTCAACCTATTCGAAATTTAAATTGTAATGTCATCGCAGTATCGCGCTGTCAGTAGAACAAATGAAGACTAAAGCGGAGTTTGGCGCTCTGTATACGATTTTAGCGCCTTACAAGTGCGGACACTTTTTAGCGCGGACCCGACGTCCATATAATTGTAAGTCAATGAACACACGTGATAAAATAACTAAGACATGACAATTTAAAAAATCTGTCATCAGGGAAACTAGAAGCGACAAAAGATGATTTTTGTTTGCTTTTTATTACGAAAAGAAATTAAGCGGTAAAAACAAACAGTACATAATTTGGAAATATTAGGGGTTAAAGTATGAAATTGCCGTTTCGCACTGAACAATTAAAACAATTTTTTTTTAAATTAAATATATTTGTTTAATCAAAGTTTTTTCCCTTATTGTCTATACATTTCTGCCATGTAATCGGAAGGTCATTTAAACCTTTGCGATAGAAGTCTGGAGACCTGGACTCCACAGCTGTGTGAAGGGATTTTTGTACTGCTTCCTGGGAATTTTATTTCCATACAAAAAAAATCAAATTGCGGGAAAAAATGGTAGTCGGTCGGGGCGAGGTCCGACGAATATGTAGGATGATGGATAATTTATATCTGCAGGTCTTGTAGTAGTAAAACTGTTTCTCAAGCAGTGTGAGGTGTTGCGTTATCATAGAGTAACAACGGTGAAGCTGTTTTGCTGCGAGTTCCGTCGTCATTATTCAAACGCCATATGTCATATTGTGGGTATGCTAACATTAAACCATGACGTTTCGTGGTAGTTTGATACGGATAGGCTTCCATCATTACCTTCAATTCAACGTTATTTACATTCGTGACTGGTCTTCCTCGTGGTTCTTTCTTCAAGTCGTAATTTGCCGTATTGCCGGCGTTTGCCGTATTTGCGTATGCCGTATCCTCTCCAAATACAGCATTGACAGTTTCTGCTACGTTAACTCCATGTGGAAATTTGTATTCGAAAATTAGGTACTCAGATTTTCGCTGTATCTGTCTTCACGTTAAAAGCTGAATGTAAAAACAATTGAAAGTCGAACAATCAAATATCATGTTTTTTAAGTTAAGCATGTTTTACTTTTCGTGTGAAAAACGTTGCACTCTGAAATCGGACACCATACAGGTTTAATTTTAATTTAAAGTGGCCAGTAAAATAAATCGGCAATTTCATATTTAAACCCCTATTATAATGTAAATTCGATTTTTAAATTTTTGCAGCCTTCTGTTGCAGTTTTAGTAGCAGTAGAGCTCCTTGTGAAAGAGTTTTTCCAAGGAATTACTGCCCCCTTACAAATCTTCCGTCCATTAACTAAAACGCGAACAAATAGCCAAATATCCGTTTTAAATAGCAAAAGATAGAGCACAAAATTCTCTTTTAAAAACAGTTAAAATTAGTTAACGTGTTCCACTTATCGGAACTTGCCCTAACGATGCGTAGCTGAAATATTATTAAACAATTTCAATATTTTAAAACTGGATTATGGTCTTTTATGCCATCTCAAAAAATATTTTGTCACTTAGCCGTGTTTTAGTTAGCGGACGGCAGGGATTTCTGCCGCCAAGCAGTAATGTGACCATTATTGCGTTCCGGTTTTGAGGGGTAAGGCTGCTGGTGAAATTACAGGCGCAGTAGCAGTGTCCCTCAGATCTTTGCGAATTAAAGCTTTGAGTGACACTGCAATTGTTATTGACAGGCGTGTCTCTTAACACCAGGCGCACTACTTGTTCATCCTGTCACTTGGTATCACAAAAAACAAATTCTATTTTTCCATTTAGGTCATGTCAGGCGAGGAGTTCATTGCTGTACCTCGAGAGAAACCAGCACCCTGTATAGGATGTGTCACGCATATTGATCCTCAAGCTGTTGGAGTCACAGACTTGGCGAACCTCGGCGTAAAACAACTGGATAAATATGAACCTAACATAAGACATATTTTAAATACTGTTCATAACGTCGAGCGAATAGTCCAAGTGAGTGTATTTATTATATACATAATACTAAATTTAAAATAATCAAACATCTTCGAAGGTAGACCAATAAGGTGTACTCAGTGCAAACGTTATATAATAAATGGTATGGTAAACATTGTGGCAAGCGAGTAGTATTTCTATTGTATTTTTCCTTATTAATACGCTAAACATTTATAGTTAATCGACCCAAATGTACGACTCTTCAAACTAGCATTTTCTTAAGATTTGGGCGCTTATTATATTTTTTAATTACAGGTCGTTAGTGGAGTCCGTTACATCTTAACAATGTCAGTCGATTCCTATAATTGCTCCGCGACAGAGTCAGATGCTTGCGAATTTCAGAAAATCTGCCGAGTCTCTGTTATAGAAAAGCCTTGGATTAAATTACCAGACGGTTCCAAGCACAGAGCAATCGTAGCAAATAACTGCACCGAAGAATGGCTTTTTGGTGATAATGGAGAAGTAATTAACGACAATAATAAAGGAAATAATAATTTTAACAATGATTCTACAGGCAACGATAGCAATACCAAATTTCAAAAGCCAAATCCTGATTTAGATGATGTATTTATTAAGGTACATAACTCGGAAGTCCAAGTACAGCCAACTACAGAGAAAGTGCTTACATACGATCAATTGAAAGAATTGGAGCAACAAATTATTCCAATGCATCAGTTTAACGCGAAAAAATCGCAATCCTCCGTAATAAATGATGAAGTTGGACAACAAAATGTGCACTCAGACCTTCCGGGCGGAAGAAAAAAGTATACTGACAATTATGTCCCCAACGTAAGGTCTGCCGATACGACGGAAACTTCCATTACAAATAAACAGCAAGCTATCGATAATCTTTTGAACTTTTTCGACTTCTCTAATTTCAATCCAAAAATGCAACCCAGGTTTGATAGAAGTAGGACGAAAAGGAGTTTTGCAAACGACTTAAAAACGATGGTTTTTGTAGAAAAATTCCGAAAATTAAAGCAAGTTATGCACAACGCGAAGCATATTCATAAAATAGCACAGTTATTAGTCGATCATCTCAATGAAATGAAAATGAATATTCTTTTAAAAGAAATCATTAGTGCAGAAGAAGAGAATGGAAATAATCAACAATTCTTATACATGAAAGTGCGTGTGTACCTTTGTAATAAAACACAGTGCAACAATGATAATGCAACTAATATATGCAATGGCATCGTCGATAATTCGAAATCGCTTAACCCTCGAGTTCTTGAAGCGTTTTGTTTAGGAGACGAAAAGGTAATGCCTAATGTTGGGATCTCTAGATCAATTCCTCTGAGTGATCCTATACTAAACAAGCTTGCCAGCAAAGCCTTTAAAAAAATTGAATATGAGCAATCTCATAAATATGCCATGAGCCTTAAGAAAATAGTAAACCCTAATACAAAAGTAGTTTCAGGCATACTAACGAAATTCTCTCTTGTCCTTGGATTTACAAATTGTAACAAGACAACCCCAATATTATTTAGAAGTAACTGCACAGACTTAGTCCATTTAGGATCAAAATTGTGTGACGTTACGGTTCATGAGCGACACTGGCTAAATAAGAGAACAATAACTTACTTTTGCTCTGACAGACCTAGTAGTGAGAGCTTTTCTGATGTAAATGATGATACTGTAGTTAATGTCAGTGAACACAAAATTTTGGAAATAGTACATGAAGCTTTAGAGTATTTGGAAGTGCAATCAAATATAAATTACAAACAAAAACTTGTTGAAATAAAATCAGTAGAAAGGTCAATTGTGGCTGGCATAGTGATGAAAGTAAATTTTAGCGTTGGATATACGACGTGCCCTAGCGGTTCCGAAGTTGATTTATCTTCGTGTGAATTAATGGAGAAAGTACCACTCCGTAATTGTCAAGTGCAAGTTTGGGAACGATCTTGGTTAGAAGATGGCAGACAAGTAAAAGTGATATGTAACGACGCGTCAAAAAAGTCACAAAATATTGAAATCAATCCTAATCGAAAGAAACGTGATTTAACACTGGTTGGCGGACCACTAGAGAAAGACGCAAATGATCCCAAATATAAACAATTGGCTAAAGAAAGTATGCAGAAATATTTACAAACTTCTGGAAACAACCAGCATTATAAAATAGTGACAATTGACAAAGTTACTGTTCAAGTTGTAGCGGGCACATTAACAAAAATCGATTTCCAAATATCTCCAACTACTTGTGAATTAGATAACGTTGGAAAAGCTACTAACTGTGACATACAAGAATTTGATATCATGAGCTGCCATTCCGAAGTGTGGTCAAGGCCTTGGTTAAAGAGCAAAGAAATTAATGTTACTTGTGAGCTTAAAGATCAGAATGTTAGAAAAGCTAGACATGTTTTGACAGACTTTCAGGAAAATCACATCATAGGCGGTGTCATGGAACAGGATACAACTGATTATAATTCAAAATATCAGTTATTAGCCGAAGAGTCCTTGACATCATATCTTCAGAATCACGGTGTCAAACAACATCATGAGATCATAAAAATTGAGAAAATAAGAACTCAAGTTGTATCTGGATTATTAACGGAAATAAATTTTAGAGCATCTCCTACTAACTGTGAATTAGGTGGCAAAACTTTCGATTGTAAAGTTATAGATGCAAATAATTTTATTGATTGTGTGGCAACTATTTGGGAAAAACCTTGGATAAATAGTAAGAACATCAATATAAATTGCAAACTTGGTATCAAAGACGAAGAGAAAGATATAAACTTTATTAAAGTCAAATCAGAAATAATTAATAATGGATCTAGGGAACAAAGACAGTTGGGAGAACCGAAAGAACAAAAAGCGTATGACGAACGGTATAAGCTGATGGCAGAAAATTCATTATCTCATTACTTGGTAACGTCTGGCATCACTAAGCATTATAAGGTTATCAAAATAGATAAAGTGACAACCAAGGTAGTGTCTGGTAAGCTGACTATAATCGACTTCAGTGTATCACTCACCGATTGTCAATTAGATGGTAAAGGTCAAAACTCTTCGTCAAATTGTCATTTAGTAGACCCTGCAAAAACTATGAGCTGTAACTCTGAAGTTTGGGAACGTTCGTGGTTAACCAGTACACAGTATACAGTGAATTGCCAGGAGAAAGATGTGAAAACTAGAACCAAAAGACATGTTAATATCGTGAGTAAAGGAAATAAATCAAGAATGAAGAGACAAGTGCCTAGAAAGCGAGTATCTGAAGGTCAAGTGCCTGAGAGAGCAGCGCCTGAAGGGAATGTGCTTATAACTTCAGTGCCTGAGGAACAAGTGCCTGTAATGCAAGCAAAAATAAACACAACGAACATAACAATACAATTCAGAACGAACTTAAGAATGCCAATCGATCAAGTCGTAGATAGTAAAACTTACAGACTGATTGCTGACGAATCTATGTCAAGTTTTTATCAAGACCATGGCTTGACAGTGTACTTTAAAGTGGTTGAAATGGTCAGTGTGCAAACAGACAAAGTACAGGGAGCAAATACAACTACTGTCGTATTTTATGTGTCACGCACTAATTGTAAATTAACGTGTACAGGTATACCTGAACATGAACATTGCGATGTATTAAACCCCGGAAACAAGATAAAATGTCGAACTGTGTTGACAGAGTATAAGCGCCAGAAAAACTATGATGTGAAGTGCGAAGATGAAATATTTACTGTAAGACCTAAACGAGAAGTGAGTCCAGGTGGCTCAAAAGATCAAAATCCAAACGACGAACGTTACAAAGTATTGGCTGAAAATTCATTGCAATATTTCTTCTTGACTTACGGTATCACCAAGCATTATAAAATTGTCAAAGTAGATAGAGTGACTACTAAATTAGCGGCCGGTAAAGTGACCACGATAGACTTTGCGGTATCTCCAACCAGCTGTACAGTAGATAGTAGCGGTCAACCCAGTTCGTCTAATTGTGATATAGTATACCCAGCTAAAACTGTGAGTTGTAATTCTGAAGTTTGGGAACGTCCTTGGTTGAACAGCACACAGTACACAGTGAATTGTCAAGATGACGATAGTGAAATTAGAACTAAAAGACGTCTTAATATGATCAGTGAAGAGAATAATCCAAGAATAAAGCGCCAAATCCGTGGAGAATCGAAAGAGCGAAACCCAATAACTGGAGGTCTAAAGGAACAATACACAACGGATGAAAAGTATAGACGCATGGCTCAAGATTCCATAACTCAGTTCATGGTAGAGCAAGCTATGACACAACACCTTAAGGTGGTTCTGGTTCATAAAGTTACCACACAGGTGGTTTCTGGGATAATAACAAAGATAGAATTTTCTGTGTCTCGCACCAACTGTAAAGTGGACTGTAGCGGTAGACCGGATAGACCTACATGTGATGTAATTAACCCCGAGGATACCACTCGTTGTAATGGATCAGTTTGGGAGCAGCCGTGGTTAAACAAAACAGAATATGAAGTAAATTGTGAAATTAAAAACACAGAAACCAAAAACGAGAGATCGGTTGTAGTAAATAAATTTGGAAGTCGTGAACTCATAAAAGATCCTACTAAAGAAGAGTACTTAAAATTAGCCGAAGAATCTTTGAAGAAGTATTTGCGCATAAATAACAGTAAAATTAGTCATAGAGTTGTAAAGGTTATAAAAGTAACCAAGCAGAAACTTGCTGGAGTAAAATATACAATAGAATTTAGGGCCGTACCTACTGATTGTACTTTTGAAAATGAAGCTGCCGTAAAATGTAGACATGACCGTAACAAAATGCTACTCTGTTATTCTAAAATTTGGGATCGTCCTTGGTTGCACATCAAAGATAAGGATATTACAGTAAATTGTTATTTTGCTGACGCCAATGATGACAGTCAGGAAGGGCAAACACACTTTATTAATAGAAAGAGACAAACACCGAATGAAGTGGGATTCTTAAAAGTAGTGGATCCCAATAATGAAGTTTATAAAGCCCTTGCAGAAGAATCATTAAAAAATTATGATATACAATCTGGAGCGCAAAACAGTCATAAAGTTATCAAAATACTTCGCGTATATGAGCAACTAATGCAGGACGTTACTACATACATTGATTATATTGCTTCGCCAACAACATGTTTGATAGGTGAAAATCCGCGTAACGATTGTGAAGTTCTTCACGAACCTCAGGTTTTCTTGAAATGCCATGCGCAAATTTGGAATCATGGCGCACTGGAATCAAAAAAGATATTTATAAAATGTAAAGTACACAATACACAGAAGATGCGTGGAAAACCGGATAAGTTTAGACCAGATATTAGAGATAAAGTCCAAAATCTGAGTCTTAACACAAATAATCTACTAAAAGAGACGAAGCCTGTAGAGACTATACGTAAACATGTTGGAGAAGTATATGAACGAGATCCTGCAGAAGACCAATTTAGACAATTAGCTGAGGAATCGCTGCGACAGCATATGCTGGGATCCCGACTCAAGCTTGTGCATAAAGTAGTTGATGTCGAAAGAGTGACTACTCAGGTAGTTTCTGGAGTACAAACTAACTTAGTATTTACCGTTGCGCCGACAGATTGTATAGTAGATAATCTTAAAGGAAAAAAATATTCAGATTGTAAGATAGACGAGTCTAAAGAAATCCGTTGTTATTCTAGTGTTTGGGAAAGACCCTGGCTTTCGGACGATCACAAACGTATTGAAGTTACTTGTGTTGACATCGATGTAGACATCAATGAAGATTTGTTTATTCGGAATATAAACGTAAAATACAATAACAGCCCTAATCAATCTGGCAAGAGAAACGTTAAGTCAAAAACAATGAGTCTCGACTTTGAAGATAACGATATTGCAGGTGTTGTTGATGATGACACGAGGTCCAAAAGATTCACCACCGAGGATGACGACTATATAGAGGAAGAAATAAAGAACTATTACGCCGATCGCGCAATAAGTCAATATAATAGCCAGACAATTACGAATAACTTGCATAAAGTTTTAACTATACATGATGTTCAGCGTAGTGTGCACATGAAAACTGTGATGGTGAGAATGTTCATGGAAATTGCTATGACATACTGTTTACGTAAGGCAGAGGAGAGAGATCTTAATAACTGCGCAGAGATTGAAGGTTTGCCTCATAAAAACTGTTTAGTAAAACTATTTCCTTCACCTGATGATGAATTTGTCGTTAAACAAGTTTCTGTTGTTTGCGAAGACGATCCACAAAAGTTTGAATCATCTACTGGTTTGGATGTACATGAATTCATAAAGGTTTCGATAAGAGAACTTGAAAAGTCTACCGATGTCGTTTATAAGTTGGTACACGTTGGTGAACCGTATATGGTACCTTCTTTGAGATATTCTCAACCTATTAAAGTTAACTTTTTAGTAGCGTCTTCTAATTGTACTAAAGATAAAGACCCGTACAGTAGCAATAATTGTCAACTTGACTTACAAAGACCACCAAAACCATGTACATCTTACATTTCATTACAACCGAATACCAAGAACATACGAGCAATGAAAGTAGTATGTCGAGATCAAACCCAACGCAAGCGAAGGTCTATATCGTTGGATAAAACCAATGCTACCAGTGAAGAATTGGTAATTCAAGGCTTAGTTCAAGAATCACTGGAGAAAGTTGAAATGTCTTCTTTACACCGCTATAAGCTAAGAGTTTTGTCTATTAATAGTTACTCGACCACAATTACGACGGGCCGTGTGACTACTATTGACTTCGATGTCGGCTTCACTAACTGCTTAAAATACGAGTGGGTTCACAACATCTCAACTTGCGGCTTCTTAGAGCACTTGCCAAGAAAGCATTGCCTATCGGAGGTATATGAAAGGCTTTGGTCGAACAATGGAAAGCAAATCAATGTAAATTGCCAAGACGACGAAACGCCTTTAGAAGCACACATAGAATTTGATAGTCCTAGTAACGCTATGGAGTTGGCTAACGAAGCTTTAAAGCATATTGAAGTCAAATATCCTCATCCGCGAAAACAGAAAGTTGTCAGGATATTTTCCTTGGAGAAGCAGGTGGTGGCTGGACTGCATTATAGGCTTAAAATAGAGGTGGGATTAACTAATTGCTTCGCGTTAAGCCTTGACGAGAACTGTACGCTTGTCACAGATGCAGGCATAAATAAATTCTGTCGTGTAAATATTTGGATACGCCCATGGACTGATCATCCACCTGCTTTTAGGGTAGTTTGTGACTACCACGATGGCGGCACTGATGACATTTACCATCAGATACAAGCGGAACAATTGTTCCATAATTTTTTGACGATCTACAAACCCTCCTATTTGGAGGATCACGAAGAGCTTAGGAAAAGATTTGATATTTTCAAGAATAACATAAAAAGGATTAATGAATTGAATATTCACGAACGAGGAACGGCCAAGTACGCTGTAACGAAGTTTGCGGATTTGACGTATGAAGAGTTTACCAACAAGTATTTGGGATTGAAGCCAAGTCTTAGGGACGATAATCAAGTGCCAATGAGAAGAGCCACTATTCCGTCTTTAGACATCCCCGCGAAGTTTGATTGGCGAGATTTTAATGCTGTCACTGAAGTTAAAGACCAGGGATCTTGTGGAAGTTGCTGGGCTTTCAGCGTTACAGGTAATCAAACATTCATTATCATCAACCCATTTATACGTCTCACAGCTGGTCACGGGTCTTCTCTAAGGCGAGGGTTTATGCCATAGTCTGCCACGCTGCACCAATGCGAATCGGGGATTTCACACGTTTTCCAAGGGTTGTGTACCTTCTTCGACGTGTAGGTTTCGTCACGATGTTTTCCTGCACCGAAAATATCACTGCAAATTTCACATATAAATTCCGAAAAAGTCAGAGGTGCGAGCCCGGATTCGAACTCGTCATAGTTAATCAAGGAAGTAAGGCTTAGTGGGAAACCTAGAGTATAATATAGTAATGCTTAATCCTATTTTCACAAAATCATTTACGATTTTTTATTGTATCTATTGTATTTTAGTGCACAAGCCTGTCGCTGGTTAGAAATCCATTCAAGACACTCGGAAACGGGAATAAATGAAAATTATACAATGATTACTTTTGAAATCGTATTTTCAGGTAACATCGAAGGTCAATGGAAGATGAAGTCAGGTAAGCTTGTGTCTCTCTCGGAGCAGGAGTTGGTGGATTGTGACACCATGGACCAGGGTTGCAGTGGAGGATTGCCGGATAATGCTTACAGGTGATTTGAAATTTCTTTGTTGCTTTTGTGCTAAACTTTACCTGTCTATAGTCTGTCGTTTTTAAAGATGGATTAAAATGATTGTTCATTGAGCAAATGTGTTGCCCCCTTGCAAGCAGCTAGTGATTGCAGTCGATACATATTCGGTCGATTATCGACTGAATGTTGGTCATAAGCGTATGCAATAAATAGCCGAACTTGTTTCATTTGCTGAAAAGAAGACTGAAAAATTATTGTTGCAAACACGTTGTGTCAAAACAATGTTGTGTTTTTCGTGTTCTTGGTTGTTTATTTGCATATTTTTGATGACAAACTGGCTGACGGATGTTTCGAATGATCGTTTCTTATAAACAAAACTACTTTGTAACACGAGAATTTGTAACATCGCTTTATTTACTAAATTTAATAATTAATTTTTTTACATAAGTACACACCTTTTCAATTTCAAGTTTTTTTTATTAAAAAAAACCGACCTTAAAATTCTGTGGGATTACATATTTGACAAGTTTTATTGAAATCGGTTAACGGAAAGTGGGTGAAATTTAGTAAACCGGAATCATCCCCTGATTTACTAATCTTAGAGGTGGAATATTTTTTACAAATTTGAATATGACCACTAACTGAGGTACCCCCTTTCCAACAAAAAAAGAGTCATCTAAATCGGAATCCAAATGTTAGAGTAATCGCGTAACATACACAAAAAAATAATACAGTCAAATCGAGAACCTCCTCCTGTTTTGAAGTAGGTCAAAAACAATTACAATCGATTATAGCTATTTTTTTGCAACACGGTTTTATGAGAATCGATGAATGAGTGCGATTAAACTTGAAGTCGATTAAAAATACAATATTTTCTTTTTAAATTTTGAACCCAATCAGTCCCCGTAGCATGGCTACGCATGATTGTCGCGACGGGCGCGATAAAATTGGAATAAGCGCGCGGTATTGGTTATCTAAATTAGACCTGATTGAGACAGCCAATAGCGCGCGCTTATTTCAATTTTATCGCGCGCGCCGAGACTATCATGCGTAGTCATGCTACGGGGGCTGAAAGAGCTAATCGGACCGCTCCCATGGATTTTGGTTATCCGAGTATCGTATTTGCCATCGTAAGACAAAGTCTGAATATCAACAGGAATCTTTTTGTAGAACCGTATACACTGCTCCGTAAATAAATTTGTCTAGAACAGCCAGTTCATTTTTATTGCCCATGTGTTTGTCAGTCTAAACAGTTCTTTTTAAATTTACCTTTTGTGTTCCAGAGCCATAGAACAATTAGGTGGTCTAGAGACAGAGACCGATTACCCGTACGAAGGTGAAAACGACAAATGCGTGTTTAACAAAACAATGGCGAAGGTTCAAATAAGTGGCGCCGTCAATATTTCTTCTAACGAAACCGACATGGCGAAGTGGTTGGTGCAGAATGGACCTATTTCTATAGGTACGTTATGAAGTAATATCAACTTTATTTTGTAGTCATTAGTGACTACTATGGGTTTACAGAGACAGTAGTTGCTAGCGATCGTGTAATAGTACAATGTGGGTGGTAAGTAGGTAATTATGAACAGAGGGATATGCAAACCTCGCCTTCGGCTGCGGCTTTAAGGGCTCTTTCAAATTAGAAGCTTGTAGAAGCGATGCAGTGGCGCGGCGGCGCATCATACAATATCTAGTCATATCGAGTTCTTAGGTTTTCGCGATTGTTACACATAGGAAATTAAACTATTTTTCCGGATTTAAATCGCGTATATTTCTTTTTTCAAACACCAACGTTTCGGACCCTTTACAAGCCCCATGGTCACGGTTGACTGAGGTGGTAAAGTGATCAATCAGTTACGTCTAATATTAATGAAAACCACCCTATTTTTTCCACTATAGTTACAAAAGTCACTAATTAAATACCTTATTTTTAATTTTACAAAGAACATTCCAATTTACGTTTTACAAATTATTTTAACAACTTGAATTTGTATTAGGGTAAATTTATTATTAAATAATCGAAATTAGAATAAATTAAAACATATTAATCAGTACTGCAGTCTTGTGTCTGTTTGGGATTTTTCATCAGAGGAAATACTAGATCCCAAACTGGTGGTACGGAGAAACCATCTTCCTTGTTGAAATTAGGATGCTTTTTAATTTCAACAGCCTCTCGCAGCATCCTTGGTAGATAACGGACTTCTTTTGCAAGGACCTAGTGTTTGTTAAACTTGATTGAATGTATAGGTTTATCCATGACATGCTCACAGACCGCAGACTTGTTTATGCAAGTGTGTTTGACATTAGCTATAATGTTCTTTGACGCGGGTACAAATACTTCGATTCGTTTGTCCAATATAAGAGAGACCGCAGTCAAGCTTGTAAACTCCTGCATCCTGTAGGGCTAGCACGATGGGGCGCGACATGCGCGAAAACGATATGAAGCGCGAGATACAGCTGTTGTCGCATAGACATCTCGCGTTTTATGTCGCTCTCGTGCAAGTCGCGCTTGATTGTGCTAGTCCTACTGTAAGGAGATGTTATATTTCTCGAGTCTCACCATATCTAGTCACTTCACATGGCTACTTGTATTTACGTATTTGATATATTTGGCAAATGTATATAATATGATGTGAAAAATTTCGTGTTACCTTTATATCTGCGGAGAAATATAGCTGATGCCTGTTTTTGCTGAACGTTGCACAGAATAAGATTGATTGTCCAGAGCTCCTCAGAATAATACACCTTGTCCAGTTAGGAAATTTCGTAAGAATAATTTGCTCCATGTTCCATTTAGTCGTACTAATTTTGGAATTAATTGTTATCTACCAAGATCATTAACATAAAATAATCAATGATGACGGTCGAATAGATCTTTTCTGCAACGGCGTTAAGAATATAAAAAACTATACAACTAATAACTTCTTATCGTTCTTATCAAGTGACCGATAAAGCGAATGTTGTGTTCTCGTTGATGTATTAGTTTGTATTCTTGTGATGTTATTTTCTTATTTACAAATGTGGAAGCTTTTAATTGGCACTTAATTAATTTTTATTTATTTATTTATCATTTAAAACGTAATACACAACAATGTTTCTAGTCGCATTTTAAACCACTAAGGTTCGTAGTAGTGCGAACTGTATACACGCAATGCTCTATGCGCTATGTTCAATTTTCTAACAGAAAGGTTTTGCTAATATTTAAATAATTTGCATAAATAATCTATCATTAACCAAAAAGATTATACAGAAATTGGATATTTTACCTTTATAAACATTCAAAATCGCAATTGATTAGCTGTTTACAAAGTAATTTTGAAGTTAATTTTTTATATTAGTGGTTGTTAAAGAATTACATAATTCTAATGGTTACTCGTTGATTAGTCGGGGAACAAGATAGGTAGAAGTTCTTTCGCCGTACACATTATTTGCGACACTCGTCTGCTGCAACCGGTTGCTAGCTCCGCTCATGTACACACAGAAGAGCGTTTTTAAAAACATGTACTTGAATTGATCACAAACAGGTAACATTCTGCAATGCTTAAAAATGTAGAATTTTACTTGATACAATGTATTTCAGAATTTTTACTTAAGGGTTATATAAATCCATGTTGTAAAAGTGGCTGTAATCTCCTCTAATAAAATAAAATAAAACAATCACCAGGTGATAATATGTGTGTTAAAGTATTTGCTTTGTTTGCCTATTCGACAAATACAGCAAACACTAAACTCGCGTTAACGCTCTCTTCTCGGTGTTTCGACACACATCAAAGGAGCTAAATAGACAAATACATAAGTAAACCGTCCACACTATGATCATATTCATTATTTTAACTGTTTATTTGGCTCCATATGTTGACGGTCATATTTGTCAGTCTCTGCATGTTTGTCTGTTCGCCAAATGTTTTTGCAAGTACAACAAATAACCAATAGCCAATACAAATACCTATGTGACATTCATAACTGCCTCCGTGGCCGAGCGGTTACCATGCCGGACTGCCACGCAGAGGTCCCAGGTTCGATTCCCGGGCCGGGAGAAATATTTGTATGGTCTACAATTATTTCTCTCGTGAGTTTGGGTGTAATTTGTGTTTGTCTATATGTGTGTCCATGGCACCCGCGACACAGGGTTTCCCTAGTGCGGGGCTATGTAGAGTGTGCGCGTTATTTATTTATTTATTCTACTATATGAAAATTAGTACTGGCACGGCTGCAGTGCCACAGGCGCGCCAATGCAGCGATTCTACAAGCGTCTAATTTGGTTATAGTTAATTCATATTCTCAGTGTCTTGCAAACATAATGTAATATCTCTGACTGTGTGTTATATTTTGATTCTAGTGTAACTATTATGTTTGTAGAGAAATAAATAAATAAATATAATTTAGTAGCAGAAGAGCTTCTTGTGAAAGAGGTAGTCCAGGGAAGTACTGCCACCTTACCTATTTCTGCCGCCAAGCAGTAATGCTCACATTACTACGGATTTTGAAGGATGCTGGGGAAATTACAGGCACATGGGATTTGTCAACTTATGCCTCTGGGTGACGTGCGCAATGGCAGTGCTCCTCAGATCTTTGTGATTTAAAGTACTGAGTGGTACTGCAATTGTTACGGACAGGCGTGTCAATTACCAACAGGTGCGCGATTTGGTAGACCCGTTTCATAAAAAAAAAACTATTCATTTACAAACTTTTAAGTATCTCATATAAATGATATATTTAAGAATTTACATTTTTTCTTTGCTTTTAAATGAAAAATGTCTTAAATTTTTTAATGTTAAAATAGTAGGTTCAATTCATGCTAAAGGTGATAAAATTTTTACCTTTCAGGTATAAACGCGAACGCGATGCAGTTCTACATGGGCGGTATATCCCACCCGTGGCGTGTGCTCTGCAGCCCCACGAATTTGGATCACGGCGTGCTCATCGTGGGATATGGTATTAAAGGTAAGTTACTTTGAAACTCAGTAGCTACAAGACAAATATCTTTACGGCCCCAAATGAGAGGGGGGCAAGGCCTCGGGCGACACACTACTGGGAACAGCGACAAGTCAAAATTATTATTATTTACTTAAATAAATTCCACTATTTGAGAAAACGATATCCTGAACAACACAAAGATGGCGACTGCAGGCGAACATAAAAACACAATCGAGCCGAGCCTACCCGAACGAACTACTTTTGTAATCGTGAAAATAGAGGCGGCAGCAAATTTAAGGAAGGTTCTGAGAAATCGACGCTACGCCACTGCAATTTGTTGCAACAAAATTTAATTGTTATGTGCCGATGAAAGCCTAAAATTTTCGGATTAAATCGTTTTTTCTAGTTTCAATTCTTCAGACTTATGAAAAATTATGTTTTTTTAACCACTAGTCTTGATAGTGATACCTGTTGTATGTGACGTTAATTCAGTATCTGACAACTTTGGTTGCCATGGACTGTGTACGCTTTCAAAAAATGTTGCCAGTGTTTATTTGGCCCTTTTAAAGCAAAAGACCCATTTTAAACCCAAATATAGAGAGATATTTAGGGTTTCATGCGTTGATTTATTAGAAATCTAATTTGGTGTTATTGTTGATACATAGAAAGAACAAACACAAAGAAAAAATTCTTTGATCCGACTCATACCTACACATGGGCCTGAGCCCTGTACACTCATTCTCCGTCCGACATAAAAAAAAACCATCCGAAACAATTACTGTCAAATAAGTAACACTCGACCAAAGTAAAAGATACATGATGCGAATGAAGCTTCATACTAGACATTGTTTTTTAATTTGGTCGAGTGTTACTCATTATATGTCCCGAGGCCACGGATCGAACCACGAATTTCTCTGTGTTCGTTGCGGATCTTTGTATTGGGTATAAACGGTTTTGTACCATGGCAGCGCCACCTGTGTGAACTTATGAAAATTTCTTCACTTAGCCAAGTACCTTTACATCTAATAGAAGACTGACAGAAATGTCGCGGTATTAAATACAATATTATTATTGAATTCATTATTCGTGAAAACGTGGCCGCGTTGAGGCGACAGATTCGATTACATTCGGATCGAAGTACTTTTTATTTGTGTTTGTTAGAACTAATAATAAAAAAAAAGATGCATTTCATGGTAGTATCATCATGATATGCAATAAAAATATTTGTTTTGTTTTCTGCCGTACATCAAACATGGGTTTCACAAGGCTTTGCATGAATTTATTAAAGTCTTAAAAAAGATTTTTGCTTCATAGAAATCTTGTTTTACGTTTCAGAATACCCGCTCTTCAAGAAACGTCTTCCGTACTGGACAATAAAGAATTCATGGGGAGCGTCATGGGGTGAACAAGGTTATTACCGCGTGTTCCGAGGAGACGGCACCTGCGGCGTCAACCAGATGGCTAGTAGCGCTGTCATTTAACCTTAAAAGGTTAACTCGGGCATCATGGCGAAGGTGTTATAATGTTATATGATTCTCATCGGCTTGTTTAAGAAGTATATTTGCCAAATTATACTCTGTAAAATTTAGCTTAATTAAAATGGCTAGTCTGCAAAATTAAGACGACGTATATTTATAACAGCAATTCTCAAATAAACAATAATTATTTTACATATTTACGTTACCATTAACATACAATAATCAAAATCCACAAATCATTGACACAACACTGTTCGAGGTAATTCATTACGCAATATTATTAATGTTTATTTTTATAACTTGCATTTTAAAGTTACGTCTGACGGAAAATATTTTGTGATGGGACACATCTAAAATATAGAATCGATCAATTCATACAGAGAAATGATTTGACGGTATTTTTTTAAATGTTACTTGTTTTGGTCTACTTTGTGTTATTTTCAGCGAAATTAGTGAATTTTATTCGATATGGATCAATAAACTACAATTAACGAAATTAATCTATTCTCTTAATGAAACTAGTCTATTCGTCACCATTCGTGTGGCAGACACTTAATGAATTATACGAGTTGATTTTAATAATTGCCATGAAATTATAACACTGTTATAAATATGTCAGTATACTACAGACGATATATTTTAACATCGACTGTCGCTTTTACTGATTGTGTCCCATCACTGGTTCATGAAGTTTCGCATTTTAATCAAGCTAAGTTTTACGGAGTTTGACATTTTGACATTGTCATTTGCTGCGTGCCTTCTAATTGTCTGCTTGCACTCTACGAAACAGTTGATCAACATTAACTGACATTTCGCTATTGTGACAATACGTTGATATATTGATTTAAACGTTCACGATTTTCATATATTATTTTGATTTTAAAATCTGGATTTAATCGTGTAAAAAAAATATATTTTACCTCGATGTTTCGGACGTGTTGCAACGTCCATGGTGTCCAAGGGACTAGAGATTTCAAAATGAAATAAAATACGTGCATAAATTTATTCATTGCTTTTAAGAAAAGAATCTCTCAGAAATTGAATCACTAATAGGCACTGCCCTGATAGAAACCACGACCAATCACTATTCTGCCATTGTTTGCGTATTTTAGTACTGTATTGAGTAATTTAAATTAAAAGCATTCTACACTTCGTTTCAATCAATTTTGAACGGAAAGTAAATAAACAAGTCACTGACCCGACCTTAGACGGTTTAGTGATGGGCAATTGTAATGCCAAGTACAAATCGATTAATTCATTGAATGAATCGATTTGTTCAATTGAGTGATACTAGCAGTTTTCCTCACATAATATATATAAGCATATTTAAAATTTCCGAAATCTTAATTTTAAATCGTCCTTCAAATTACACTTAGATACTTGTTCGATTGCGATTGAAATAATCGATTTACTAATCGATTACAAAAACTTGAATTGAATGAACTGATTTTTTTTCCTACAGCACTATGCAACCATAGACAAGTCGTCATACTTGTATAGTTGAAAAATAACTTCACTTTTGGACTGCCAGTTTTCAAATATGATTTTACGATGCTATTCAAATGAATATTGTTAGAAAAAGTGATGAGATATCAAGTCAAAATCTTCGAAATATTCGTGAAAGTGTTACTTATTCAATTTATTGAGTGATAGCCATTGACTTACAATTATATGGACGTCGGGTCCGCGCTAAAAAGTGTCCGCACTTGTAAGGCGCTAAAATCGTATACAGAGCGCGACACTCCGCTTTAGTCTTCATTTGTTCTACGGACAGCGCGATACTGCGATGACATAACAATTTAAATTTCGAATAGGTTGACTTGGGACATTTTTTTCGTGGTTTTTGTATTAGACCCGTCGTCCATTTATTTGTAAGTCAATGGTGATAGCTTTACAATTTCAACGAAACAGTTTTGTTTACATTTTGTTCAAAATAGATTGGAACAGAGTTTACCAAGTATGTTTTCTCCTGCACCCACGAGATTACAGAGATTACATTTTCTATAACCCATAGATCATGGACGTACTTAACGATGAAGCTAGAATAGGATCTGTCTTTGAAAATGCGGTGCCTTAAAATAATCGTAATGTGTCAGTCAAATTTCACGTATACAATAAACAACGTCCAGTCAATCATGAAGTCATATCGCTTGTGTAAATTGTGATATTGTTGAGATTGTAATTCTTTAAATATCGGTAAACAAGCTTATCATCCACGTCATACGACACGTTTAACTTATTAAAGTTATTAAGTAAATAAAAGAAGCACTTTTGTCGCGGCTACTTAATCCGATAATGACGTCATTTTAAAACTTTTACCACACACTTATGATAATTTATAATGCCTTAAGATTTTAAATTAGGAGTCAGCGTGTACATAGTTCTATAAATTAGAATAAAACTGTAGACGTACGTAATAGTAGGGTAGTCTTGTGATTATGAGATAATAAATAGGTAACATTTTTTAGGTAGTAAAAAAAATGCGCTAGCAACACAAAAAAACATTATTATCACGTGAAGGACTTGAATCCCAAGGTCATGAAATAAATAAAAAAGAAATTGGAAAATATTTCTGGAAATATCGTCAGTCCTGCTCTGCCAAAATGATTATTTATTGTCAGCTTCCGCATCTGTGACAATTTCCTTTTCATCTCGTAAAGTTAAAAATCTAGTCAGTGACGGAGATGTTAACCGAGGAAAGCTAAAAAATGGTTAGAAGAGACCAGCACCCATTAGGACCCCGATTCAGAACTCTTCGATATTTTAACCAAATCGTTCTATTGGATATCGTTCTCGAATCGAAGGGCGCTTTCGAGTTAAACGTTCGATTCGGACTCGGATACGATATCGTTATCCAACAGCGTTTACGGAGTTAGTCGTTGAAACAGATTATACGAAAAATTAAAATTAAATGAAAATACATTTTAACACTTTAAAGGCCTAAAGTATAGGAATGCATTAATCTTGCATTAAAATAAATCAATAAAATTGAACAAAATCCAGACTTTATTTAAAATAATAAGAGATTTCCATATTACATTCTTGCTTTGTAAACAATAGGACGTTCGGTAACTTTCGTTCGATAACTGTGTTTTGAATAACGTTTGTGGCCTTTGCCGGTCGAGAAGTTCGGGTAATCGGACGGGTGTGACGTCATTTAGGTTCGGTTTCGAATACAACGGTTTGACGTTCGATTAGGGTGTTGTGAATAAAAATGAAAAGAAATCGTACCATATCAATCGAATCGGTTGACAACTGAGTTATCGTAAGGTTCTGAATCGCCCCCAGGAACGGGACGTATATGAGTAAATGCAAATATCATACCATGAAGAGATCTTTAAAGTTGAACGTCTTGTTATCCTCGGAATGTGGAAGAAATGTCATACTATAATGATAATTAGGCCCTATCGTTACGGTTAAAGTTAGAACTCGAATGCATACTCATATTCATTATCTGACTACGATATATGACAAGTGTGAAATATAAAATGCTTCTCACTTTTAAATATATAGGGTAAGGGTGCTGGTAAAAATTATAGGGATTAGTCAACTTATGTCTCAGGGTGACGGGCGCAGTAGCAGTGCCCATCTTTGCGATTTAAGGCTCTGATTGGCACTGCAACTGTTATGGACAGGCGAGTAGCTTGCCATCAGGCGCACGACTTGTTCGTACCGTCGCTTCATATTATAAAAAAAAATGATATTCCAACAAGAACACTGATTTGAAATACGTTGAAAAACAAAATAGTTACAGGCATTTACAAATCAGAAGATAAAGAAACGGCCATACTTGTTTTTGACGTCATTTTCAATAACACCACGCGAGAAATTAGTTCACGAAATGTAATTTGGGCCGATGAATCGAATAGTCAGAACGATATAACTAATATTTTAATAAGGATAATAAAAACGAAAACATTTACAAAAAAATTAAACGAAGTAAACGGTCTATATTCAGGGTTATTTGTAAAATACTAACAACCTTGCAGGAATATTATATTATTAACATCATAAATATACCATAAAAATAAATATATTCATAAAAATAGCAACTTTTGTTCGAATGGGAGAAAGGGAAGAAAATTCAACCTTTGGGATTTTGGGAACGTATATTTTAGCAATTTTTATGAATTCAAATTTAAAAGGAATAAAACATGATTTAACTTTCATACAAAAATAAAAATATCTAAATAGGTCGCGCCAGGCGGTGATAACTCTGTGCAAAACGTCGGGGAGGACGCTTGCGCGTTTGAATTAAACGCGTCAAATAGTACTAAAAAACTTCAAAGTTTATGTTTAAACTTTAAAAGTTTATTTTTGTTAAATTTATTATGTTTTGTAAAAACTCATGGAAGAAAAGTTATTGTTTATGACGTTAGTAATATAGTCCTACGAGGGTATTAGTACAAATAACCAGACATATCTAAAATAACCCTCTATATGCAGCCTTGGCCAAAAGTGTTTGTCATCTTATAATTCATTTGTGTTATTGGCCGCAAATTTTGAATATCAACAGGCATCTTTTTGTAGAATCGTGTACATTGCCCTCATAGATTTAGTATTTTGGTACATAATACTAAATCTATGATTGCCCCGTAAATCAATTTGTTAAGATTACCTTGTCAAGAACAGCCAGTTTATTTTTAAAGGAGGAGGTTCTTAATGCGACAGTATTTTTTTGTGTGTATGTTACGCCATCACATTTGTGAACCAATTTCGAAAAGATCCTTTTTTTGTTGGAAAAGGGGTACCTTAATCGTGTCCCATTCCAATTTGAAAAAAATATTCCATCTCTAAAGTTGACAAGTTAGGGGATGAATCCGGTATATTAGTTTTGACATGGATTTGACCCATTTTCGACCCATTAGATCGTCTCTCCAGAGACCTCTCTAGAGACCTCTATACACTATCCTGACTTACGTCTTTGGCTGCCTCTAATCGCATCAATTTGTTTATTGCATCTATTATATTCACTTAAAAATAATACTTTTTAACTTGTTTAAAGCTGTACCGTACTGACAGCTGATTGAATAATAATAATAATAAAAAATAATAAAATGCTTATTACAGTAATACAATTAACTTTCCATTAACAGTGGATGGTGCTTCCTATTAAGCTTATCAAGCCTGTTAAGGAGGTACCGCTCTTCCATAGCTATAAATGCACATTTAACATTTTTAACTTAAACTTCATGTAGCGTTTAATTTTTGCATTTCCAAACCATGTTAAAACAAACAATTTTTAACAATTTTCAACGTTCTTACCTTCTAATTTTAAATTTAAATTTAGATTCATGTCAAAAATCTACACGCGGTCGACTGTGCTAGTCTTTAATTGAGATTAACCTTGTTACATCGAGTATATAACAAGAAATAGAGACGACGAAATAAGGGCCACCCATCCCTGGCAACTCATCAGGCAAATGGGCCGTATGTCACTTTTAAATATCAACTCTCGTTTGCGCTGAAATCATAAATTAGAAAGCTGAAATAGTACAGCGCCAACAACTGACCAATGTGTTCGTATATTCCAAAAATATTCTGTATTTATTGTAAATAAAGATAATATCTCAAACTATGGGGGGCTGTTCCATTCGGTGATATGAGAAAAACAACAAAACTACTAATTACAAAACAAACGGAATCACGTTTCATCGGTAATTAAACATTAAATTATGTAATTTTTAAATTTTCGTCCATTATAGCGAAGCTCAAGTTAACTGTTCGATTTGAAGTGAAACAATTGGCGACACCCGTCAATTGTTTCGAATTCGGACTGGCCAATCGGAGCGCAGTTGTCATCGTAACGTTTTGGCAGAATAGTTTTCAAACAAATTAAATGACATTTCGTCTCTATTTCTGGTTAAATAATCGGTGCTTTGTTATCACGAAGTAAAGGTAAATTTTTTATAAGAATCCGACTTTAAATGTAGTAAACTATATTGCCCTCGTCATAAATATCGTAATCGACATTTTTAGCGAAATGGAGTTATCAACATAGCTGGAAACAGCGAAGCAAGATTTACAACCCCCTGTAAGTGGTTTTTTTATATCTTATCTTGCTTAAGTTTTATTGTTTTATTGCAAAATGAAAGTTGCAAAATCATCCTGATTGACATTTTAAAAAAAAAGTTCCCAAAACGCAAATTCGTGAGTTATGACAGAGGGGCAGTATACATTGGAAATGAAACATTTTTGTCGGATCTAAAATCGTGTATATTTATTTTCCATAATAATAATGTATTTCAGATTATTGCATCCACAGAATAGTTAGACATTTGGTACTTACATCTATGTTCATTAATACAAATAATAACAATATGCCTTTCTTGATCCCGATTCCCTGACCCCGGCCGACTATGCCACTGCCGGGGAATACCGCCTCTCGTATTTAAAGATTCAAAATTTATCTTTTAGGCCATGGGAGAGGCGAGAGTCTAAAATAGATAATAATAATAATGATAATAATAAAATTTATTTATTCACCTACATTTAATCAAGTCCACCCAGAACTCACTCATTTAGGATGGAGCAATCTTATTTATCGGTAAATACCTTCAGAATCCCGTGTAATTGACCCATAGACTGCTCCTTTAAAATGCTTGACATAACCCCTTGAAAAGGGTTTTTTTTTATTTCCTTAGAGCGACGAGC